ACCGTAGAACGATAACCTCCCGTTTGTTAGTTCGTGTGTGTGTGGTGTGGATGGCAGGTTTGAGATTGTTTATGGTATAAGTTTGGCACCGTAGGATGATAACCTCCTGCTTGTTAGTTCGTGTGTGTGTGTGTGTGGTGTGGATGGCAGGTTTGAGATTGTTTATGGTATAAGTTTGGCACCGCAGCACGATAGCCTCCTGCTTGTTAGTTCGTGTGTGTGTGTGTGTGGTGTGGATGGCATTCGCGCAATGCCAGATAGCGCGAGCGATGTTTATTGTCCTCACATTTTTCAGAAGGACCTGTTATATTATCATAACTGTCCCTATACCTATCTTTATGAGAATATTTTACTATGTTGTATATAGAGTTATTAACAATAAACACTCCAAGGTTATCCTAAAAACAACTTAGAAATATGTTAGCGGTTGCACCAACGCACGTAAACACAACACACCCCCTCATAGACGTCACGCGATTGGCTCATCGTATCTGGCGTCAGCTATGGCCAATGAGAGGCCTCGCCCATGCTTACGTCATCCCCACCGAGTCACATGATCAAAACAAGAATTAGGGAGTTAGTCAGTGAAAGACGAACCTTTGTAGAGGTTGGTAGCGCTTCAAGTTGGCGAGACAACCGTGTCAACTACAGTGAATTACTAAGTGGTGCTTCATAAATATTATCGTGTTTGTGTAATATTGATCTAAGATAAATATTGTGAGAAATATTTAAGTGAACACCCAGCTGCGAGGGAGAGTGAGAGCAGCAGAAGGTGAGCTCAGCCAAAAAGGTTTCAACATTGCCTAACCGCGGTCGAAGGCACACAGTTCCTCGCTGCCAAACGTACGGCTGCTGTTTACAATGTATGTTATTCTTGTTTTATTATGTTTATACACATTTATTATCTCTAAGTTGACTTATGTTACTTATATATAAACAACATAATATTTATGTAACTTGTTATTAGCAGATTTATATTTTACGTAAGTACTGCCAAGCTAATGTTGATATCCACAGTGTATTTTATTATATTATTTTACACATATTTATTATCTTAAGTTACCAGTGATTATGCTGACACTAACGTCCATATAGGCAATGGAAGACGAATGTTGTAGCAATTTTATCCAACATCCTTCTTTGATGTTTACAAGAGTACTGCCTGTCACTCGCTACTATATACAGACCAGTGTTAATATTTATCGACGACTGTCCCTCTTGATAACGTTACAGCTCGATATGAAATTAGGTTTGGTTAGTGTGGCTCTGTTCTTGTGTGTAAACAAAACTTCATATACCACTTTTAGTAATACCAGTAATAGTAGAAAGATATTAAAAGTTTATTTAGTTAAAAGCTTCCACAGCTAGAAAAACAAATATATGTAGAAAAGTTGTATATAAACAGTGCAGGTATATAATGAATGGTCAACAGTTAGGGACATTGACCACGGATAGCTTCAGAAAGTCATTATCAGTTTGTCATTGTGATCATTATAAAAGATGGATGATAATGAGTGATGTTTTTGTGTATCTTTCGTGAGAAGTGTTTGTGTTGTTCTTTGTTGTGTTGTTTGTGTTGTTGTTGTGTTGTGTTGTGTTGTTATTGTGTTGTGTTGTGTTTTGTACTTGTTGTTGTTCGGTACTGTTGAGTTATGGTGTTTATTGCCACAGGACATCACAACAAATTACTACTTTTTCACTCAACACCTGACAGGCTATTTGTACTATCAAAGTTTACAATGTATACGGTACTACATAAGTTTACAGTGTATACTATCAAAGTTTACAATGTATACGGTACTACATAAGTTTACAGTGTATACTATCAAAGTTTACAATGTATACGGTACTACATAAGTTTACAGTGTATACTATCAAAGTTTACAATGTATACGGTACTACATAAGTTTACAGTGTATACTATCAAAGTTGACACTGTATACGGTACTACATAAGTTTACAGTGTATACTATCAAAGTTTACAATGTATACGGTACTACATAAGTTTACAGTGTATACTATCAAAGTTTACAATGTATACGGTACAACATAAGTTTACAGTGTATACTATCAAAGTTTACAATGTATACGATACTACATTAGTTTACACTGGTTGTTATGAGGCAGTCATATCTGTTAAACCACACGTGACTCACTGATAGCACACACACACACACACGTTTTTTGTTCAGGTTAAGTTTGGTGAAGTTACTATATGTAAGTGATTAAGTAATGTTAGGTTAAGTAAGGTATTTTTAACTACAGGTGTTAAGTGGACTGTAAACTACACAACAGCAAGTTACACGCTAAGCTAGGCCAGCATAATCCCCTCGGGTAGGTGTTTAATCTTCAGGTGATTCATTTACTGTACGTTGGCCGCCTCAAGATGGTACTGTGTTTATGTTTGATCACGTCATAGTCGGATACTGTTCCTGCCAGTCACTAGTGCCACAGTCCAACTACCAGCCCTAACGCCACAGACTAACAGCCGCAGAAAGACACTACGATACTGTACTAGTGTGGCAGCGTCACCACTAGTAGACTTGTGTGGCAGCTGTGAGAGAAAAAACTGGTCCTGAGTCTCATTCTGTACACAACCTGCAGACGGTCCACACTTTCCATGACCTACTATGTACGTCATAGATTTGTATACATCACTGTGTACATCACTAATACTTGTGTACGTCATTGATAGTTGTGTACGTCGCCGGTACGTTATTGATAGTTGTGTACGTCGCCGGTACGTTATTGATAGTTGTGTACGTCGTCGTGTAAGTCATTGGCAGTTGTGTACGTCGTCGTGTACGTCATTGATAGCTGTGTACGTCGCCGTGTACGTCATTGATAGCTGTGTACATCGCCATGTCCGTCATTGATAGTCGTGTACGTCATTGGCAGTTGTGTACGTCGCCGTGTACGTCACTGATAGTTGTAGTACCAATAAACAATGCAAAAAAATGAGTACAAAATGTTTCCTAACACTGGTACCTAACACACTCTTACTTTACCTAACACACTCTTACTTTACCTAACACACTCTTACTTTACCTAACACACTCTTACCTTACGTAACACACTCTTACCATTCCTAACACTCTTACTTTACTTAACACACTCTTACCATTCCTAACACACTCTTACCCTTCCTAACACTCTCTTTACTTTACCTAACACACTCTTACCATTCCTAACACACTCTTACCATTCCTAACACACTCTTACCCTTCCTAACACTCTCTTTACTTTACCTAACACACTCTTACCCTTCCTAACACACTCTTACCCTTCCTAACACTCTCTTTACTTTACCTAACACACTCTTACCATTCCTAACACACTCTTACTTTACCTGACACACTCTTACCATTCCTAACACACTCTTACCCTTCCTAACACTCTCTTTACTTTACCTGACACACTCTTACCATTCCTAACACACTCTTACCCTTCCTAACACTCTCTTTACTTTACCTAACACACTCTTACCATTCCTAACACACTCTTACTTTACCTGACACACTCTTACCATTCCTAACACACTCTTACCCTTCCTAACACTCTCTTTACTTTACCTAACACACTCTTACCATTCCTAACACACTCTTACCCTTCCTAACACACTCTTACCATTCCTAACACACTCTTACTTTACCTAACACACTCTTACCATTCCTAACACAACTTTACTCACACTCTTACCACTAACACACTCTGCCTTTGGCACTCTTACCCTTCCTAACACTCTCTTTACTTTACCTAACACACTCTTACCATTCCTAACACACTTTTACTTTACCTAACACTCTCTTTACTTTACCTAACACACTCTTACCATTCCTAACACACTCTTACCCTTCCTAACACTCTTTACTTTACCTAACACACTCTTACCATTCCTAACACACTCTTACCATTCCTAACACTCTCTTTCTTTTATTACCATTCCTAACACCACTCTTACCATTCCTAACACTCTCTTTACTTTACCTAACACACTCTTACCCTTCCTAACACACTCTTACCATTCCTAACACACTCTTACTTTACCTAACACACTCTTACCATTCCTAACACACTCTTACTTTACCTAACACACTCTTACTTTACCTAACACACTCTTACCATTCCTAACACACTCTTACCATTCCTAACACACTCTTACCATTCCTAACACACTTACCATTCCTAACACACTCTTTACTTTACTTAACACACTCTTACCCTTCCTAACGCACTCTTACTTTACCTAACACTTTTACTCTACCTAACACGCCCTTATCTAAACTAACTTAACACTGCCTCATATTATATCGCTAAACTATACCACTTAATATATTGTATATATTATGTGTTAATTATTGAACACCAATTGTCTTCACTACACTGTACTATTACGAATTACGGACATAATTTGGGTTTAATAATTTGAACTTTGCGGAGAAAATGACAACTTTCAGTACTGGGAAAAGCTCTTAGAAGTTTAAGGAAAATGGCTACCAGTACTTTCTTACCTTCCGTGAACGCTTAAGGAAATCACATTTTCTTTCATTAACTCATATAAACTAACTTTTCTTTCATTAATCCTTATATAAATCCTCTTTCAGTAATCCTTATATAAATCATCTCTTTCATTAATCCTTTTATAAATCATCTCTTTTTTATCAATCCTTATATAAATCATCTCTTTTCATTAATCCTTATATAAATCATCTCTTCTTTCATTAATCCTTATATAAATCATCTCTTCTTTCATTAATCCTTATATAAATCATCTTTTCTTTCATTAATCCTTATATAAATCATCTCTTCTTTCATTAATCCTTATATAAATCATCTCTTCTTTCATTAATCCTTATATAAATCATCTCTTCTTTCATTAATCCTTATATAAATCATCTCTTCTTTCATTAATCCTTATATAAATCATCTCTTTCATTAATCCTTATATAAATCATCTCTTCTTTCATTAATCCTTATATAAATCACCTTTTCTCTCACAGGAACTGGACAGCTTCAGACACCTGTTATGAATCCCAACCTCAGCACCGTGCAATGGTGAGTTGATTACTGTATGATAGTTTTTCCCGCCTTTTTAATTCTTGATTACTGTACGATAATTTTTCCCGCCCCGTTTACTCTCTAATGTAAATATTCTGTGAGTACCATCAAGGGTAATATTCAGCTGTTAGGACCTTGATCACGAATAATATTTAACTGTTTAGACCTTGATTACGAGTGATATTAAGGTCATGTGAAAGGTCAGGCATCAGCGCGACCAAATGTGGGTGACAATCTCTTGTTGACATGAAAGTTTGTGATGACTTTTGGTAATTTGGTTAATTGTTGTTGTTATTGTCATAATGATTAATGACCTTAGTATATGTACTGACTTAAACAACACGAGTTTATATATCTTACTTCGGTTGTTGAGGCCGTTGTGATACGTTACATAACACAACACTGTCTCAGTCGGTGTGAGTTGTAGTGAGGAAGATTGACGGCGGCTGAGTCAAGTGGCGCCACCCGCTATTGTGTTGGTCCTAGTGACGTCACGGGTACATTTTTTGCCCCCACGGATTATATGATGCTCGTTGTCGCGGCCTTGTGAGTGTTAAATGTCCTCTCCAAGAATGCAGAACTCGCCGTGCCTCTGGGTATTGTAGCTTTCGGCGTTTTAACAGCAAGTTAAAGAAACTATAGGTGACTGACTATTCTCAATGCGTAACTTTGGAGTAAGAGTTGTGAACTTTTGGGATAACCTGCCAGAAAATATTGTGACGGTACCGTGTTAGTTCCTTTATATCCAGATCTGACCAACACTGGGAACATGTACGGCTTCAGTGTAACAGACAACACACCGACCTACTACAGTATTAAGCTAACAGGTGACACAAGATAAATAAATTAACATTTCACAAAGTAGAACAGTCCTAGCCTAACCTTCCTCAGCTCACGCCCATGTTAGGTGAGGGAGGGTCGTGGTCATCAACCCTCACATGACAGTAACTTCCTTGGGTGGATCGACTGGTCTTAGAGCCTAGCCTAGTGTGCATACCAATTTACATTGAAGGGGCGGTATATAAATAATGTATATAGAATACAGGTATATAATATAATGTATATAGACAGTACAGGTAAGTAATGGTTAAACAACTAAGGTCTTTCAACCTCCCTAGTAGCCGGAGACAGTAAGTGAAGACGTGGCGATCAGACAACCCCCCTCCCCCGTATAAACGTTGCTGAGTAGTTTGGAACTATCGTGGCTGGTGAATTGCCTGTGTCAATATCTGCCTCACTAGCCGTGGCTCCGGGGTAGTAATTACTGTTTCTGGCCGCACTGTAGATACACAAGCCATCAACAACCAAAACATGAGCCAACCAGCCGAGTAGAGTGTGTGTGTGTGAGGACCCACGTGGACGTTACATCATGTGGGCTACTAGTTTTTCACGGGCAGCTCACCTCCCCTCCCAACCTTCTTTACTCCCCATCACCACACCATCCTCCCTCCCTCATGACACACACTTCCTTGGTTAGATCTAGTTACTGTGTACCATTGTATACCCGCAGTGTCTGTATACATTGTTTGTTTACGTGCTGTTTATGTATACATTGACAAATTCCAATATTCTGAATCCTAAACCGAGTCTTCGAACTATAAGCTTGACTGCCCGCCCTCTGGCTACTTGGTTTTCAACTACAGAAGCCTTGACATTGTCTAATGCAACACATTAAACAAATTACGAATGGATCCCGCGTTTCCTATAGTGCAACATTCTTTGCAATGTGGTTGCAAACAATAAAATAACGGAATTCGAAAGCTGGCTACCATCATAAATTGACCTAAAACTTATTAAATAGATTACATAAATATTTAAAGTTATCAACTAAGGAAGACAGAAGATGATGACCGTCTCCTTAATAATTACCCTCATTTCCTTTATACCTTTAGTTGGCCACACTATCACCCAATCGTGACCAAGAACAGTCAGGCCAAAATATGGCTCAAATTCCTCCTCCTCTCTCACCTCCATATGCACCGCCTCCCTCTCCCTCCCATTTCCCCATCTTACAACCTTTCTAAGATAGATATAATAAAAACAAAGATGTCTTTACTTACCACTTCAGAAGCAGCGTAAGGCAGAACTCAGCACCAGATACAGACAGCGAAACTGTGCATGATTACACCCAAGATTAACACAGCTCAACGACACACTGAGTAGATCATAACGTAAACCGTAAACAACAGACACAGAGAGGAAGCTCACTGGACTCATAGCTAACTTCCATAATCTAGGAATGTAGTTTGAGAGCTAAAGCATAGATGGCAGTATGATAACACTTGTGGCCGACAGTGTATTGTGTGCACACCTGTCTTGTTTATGTACATTGTTTGTATCCGCACCTACTCTGTCATGTACTGTATATATTTTTTTTTTACTTTAACTGTCCAAGTTCATTGTATATAAAATCGATTACACTTCATTTTCAATTGTTGTTTTTCTCAATTGTTTGTCTTTTTAGGGGTTCGTGCACACTTTGGCAGAGTTTGGGTCCAGTTTTTTTTTTGTGTCGGGGACAGTGTAGATAAGTACACTACTTACTATAAGCCTCCGGTACACAAGGCGGCAGCAAGATGACCAGGGCGCTGCGCTTGACCACCTTCACTTCCTCAACTTGTAAAATTAGGTACACCATCACAGCGAGCCTTGTATCCACTCAACCACCGCCACACATCATCCCATTTGTTACTTCATTATAAACATTTAGATGGTCTCCCTGTAGCATGTGGGTCCTGGTGCTCATTACATAACACAGCAACAAAACGACGGCTTTGTTGTATTGATTAGATAACACTTGATAGAAATCAAGTGTGTTTTAACTGCAAATAATTGTAAAGAGTTTCTCAAAAATATGAATGATAAGATAACGTTATTGATTCTTCACTCCATAATCACCATGAAGTTCATGCATTCGCTCACGCTGCCAGACGTACAAATATTCACTCACTGCCAGACGTACAATTAAACGCTCACTGCCAGACGTACAATTAAACACACTGCCAGCCGAAAAAATATGATATTCAAACTTCCGCTGGAACTTTATCTTTAATTTTTTTTTTAAAACTTTAGTGTTTAGTGTCAAAATGACTTTATCCAATAATACAAGTAAGTGAATTGCCATCGTTGTGTTGCAACTTCACATACCGATGAATCAAATTGACGGTGTGTGTGTGTGTGTGTGTGTGTGTGTGTGTGTGTGACCTTGTGTATTGCTTCTCTCTCTCTTTCTTATCTTTATTGAGTTATTATTATTAACATTAACTGTACAGGTTTACAAAATGCATAGAAAGTGCTAGTATAAAGGCAATGTACTTAGTGCAGGTATACAATGTACTGTACATATACTGTACATAGCAGGTACAATGTAAATAGACAATGCAAGTGTACAATGTAAATAGATAAATGCGGGTGTAAGTACGTTGACAGTAAAGATGTACATTGTACTTATATACTGTAGTGCAAGTATACATTACATAGCCAGTGCAGGCATACAAACAATGCTAAACAGTACATCGATTTGACCAGTACATATGACAGGCGCTACAAATAGTATATATATAAATAAATAAACTTATAGAAGCTATTTAAATACTGTGTAAGGAAGAACATTTTCAATACTATTACACAAATACATGGCGAGTGTAAGGGAGCAACATCACTAAACAACAGGAGGACATTAAGTGGTGGTCCAACAAAATTACTGCCTGGGTGTTTTGTAAGGTGGCTTCCTGGGACCCTCCTATTCAATTAATATTATTATTATTGTGATTTTTATTATTATTGTGGTTTTTAGTATTGTTGTGGTTATTAGTATTGTTATTAGTAGTACACCATAAACAAGAAATTATAAATATATTAGTTCAGCCGTAAGAGAGGAAAACACAAAATGTATAAATTGTATAATAATTCCCTGATATTTATGTGTCATTGTAGGAAAAGTTAATATCTTTAGTTCTTATGCCCTTATTACCTCGTTCGTTATAGGATTAATCCGTTCCAGGCCCCCAAATACAACCACTTAACACTGAAAAAATTATGTGGAAAATGTAAAAAAATACGGTACTTTATCTTACCTTAGTGTTATTCAGCATGCAGGTACCCCTAAACACTGGCACATCACTATCATATCCACTGGGAGTCTTGGCTTTAAGGTCCTCAAACAATTGTCTGGTCTTCTCACTTCACTAATGTTACCACCTGCCATTTCTTTCTCCTTTATCCACACTAAGAGTAAATTTTCCATCTCTTCAATCACATTACACTTTGCTTTGCTAAGTCTAAAGATTCCCTTAGCCACTTGCACAGTTTTTAACTCCTCTTTATTCTTCAAAATCGTACATATAGTCGATTTAGTCATCCCATACATCACTAAGTTTCGTAATGCTTCTTCCATTCTCACGTTTCTTTATAATTTCTTTCTTAGTTTCAAGGGTTATTAGCTTTCTCACTCGCTTTGGACGACTCATTGTTACAATTGTATACTTGTATAACAAAATAGTTATACAAATAACGCGAATTTCCACATCAAAAGACGAAATGTCAACAATAACACTGGTGCACAATGAGACAAAGATGGCGCCTGACGCTCTTGTTGTGGGTCGCGGTACAACAATATTCATGCGCCAGGCGAAGTAGTCCCGTATTCATCCGCGTTCGTTGTAGGAGTTGCGTTCGTTATAGCATACCCCACTGTATATATATATATATATATATATATATATATATATATATATATATATATATATATATATATATATATATATATATATATATATATATATATATATATATGGATCATATGAAGATCCTCCCCCCCAAACCTACTTGGGGGGGAGGATCTTCATATGATCAAGCCCAGTCGCGCTCATCTGAAGATCCACCCCCCCCTAACCTAACCAAACCTCCCCCCCACCAAACCTACTTGGGGGGGAGGATCTTCATATGATCTAGCCTGGGGGGGGGAGGATCTTCAGTTGGATACTTTGGGGGGGAAGATCTTCATATGATCCATATATATATATATATATATATATATATATATATATATATATAACAAAATTCATCCCTCTTATCTCGTGTTTGTTTTTATCTTTAAAATACAACAAAAACAAATGAATAAACAAGTATTTTATATATCAGTTGCCAGTGTTATCTAATGTTATGATAGCATTATCTTTGTTATCACAACCCCCCCCCCCATGTGTTATCGTCATTATCGTTTCTCTCAAAGACAACCTGTCCTTGTTGGTTAAGGTTAATGATCTGTAGTGTAATAATGGTTAAAGTTAATAATCTGTAGTGGTTATATATCAACATAAGCTTACGGTATATTTAAGGGTGCGGTGAACGAGTGGATACAGTACTCGCCTAGTGTGCTAAAGATCCCTGAATCGATCCCAGGCCACACTCATTCCCTGTCCACCTGGCTTTAAATGGATACCTAAACTAACTTTACTATTTAGGGAAGTGAAAGTGGTTCAGTACAGCATCGACTAAAAAGTTACAGTACACATTATTCCAAGTGATATTGACTGCTTGTGCTGGTGATTGTTCGACTGGCATTAAAAACAACAGACGTTAGTTCGTGATTATCATTTGGAGTAACTCGATCACCAATGTAAGGTGCAGTTGAGAGTTTGTTCACGGTACACTGTAATCAGTGACCAGGTCTTATAGTACCGTTCATGGCACCGTAACATTGCGTCGTGTCACACGTTAAGGATCCGTCGAAGCTCTGACTTCCATGTCCCACATCACTGATTTCCTCTCACGTGATCTGACCTTAACTTGACCCAACCTAACCTTAACCTGATCTGACGTAACTTGCCGTAACCGAATTTAATTTGACCAAACGTAATCATCGCATAATCTAAATGGGTCATAACTTTTACCTAACCAACGCAGCTTAATGTAAACGTAACAGAACATAAACCTTAATCTTCTCTAACTTTGATGTAACTTGAAGCTAACCTAACCTTAACCCAACCTGTTGTGAGGCCCATGCATGATACAAATATTCTCTTCTAAGAAACAACGAAGACAAACAACAAAGTGGTGCGAGAAAACAAGACAGCTGAGAAAGATGCCAAGCTCGCAGTCAAAGGCTAGGCGGAGTCCCAAGTCCCGGGTCGACCCGTTGTTAGGGCTCCGTCCACGGAACTGTGACCACTTCCTACCATTTAGCATCCAAGTAAGATATTTGCAGAAATTAGCTTTTAATAACCATTTTTCCTCCGTGGTGCAGTGGCCGACTTGGTATAGTGCTCGCTTCTTTTAAAATGTCATAGGTTCGGTCCCGATGCATTCCCAGGCCAACCAATTGTAGGTTTAAATGAGTATCTAACGTTACATTTGAGGAAGTGAAGGTCGTCGAGTACAGTGTCGGCCACACTGAAGGTTTGGTATACAGAGGACTGTACGTATTGTACCTACACAGCTGACCGTCCTGCCTAACGGACCCACCACTTCAAGTTATAAAAATCCTGCTAAGGCTTAATTACTCCACCAGTTAAAGTTTCTTTAGTAAGTTATGGTCTCTGTATGTCAGGTTGAAGGGAGTTTACCACAACCAAATATTTCCTACATTACTACAACACTCGGCAGATAGTTGACTGCAGCCACTGTTGTATCACCTGGCATGAAGGTTTTAAACTCACCACACTAACGAATGTTAATATTGTTAATAAGTTTTTTGTATTGATAATAATATCACCCTATTTTAACATGTGTAAACCTTTCCTCTTGGACGTACATATCAAACTCTTCCCCGAACATGAAACAATAACTTGATCATTTGACTCGGTTTGAATTGTAAGATGACCTTTGTTGATCAACTTCTTCATAAGGCGTTAATCTAGTTATTACGCCAACACCAAACTTTATCGAATATATAAGTAAAAGAGAGAGTTTTATAATTTAATTTGATTTAATTACAAAACTGATCATTGGCAATTAAAGTGAATAAAACATAACTTAGTTTTCACCCGATTCTCAGAGTATTGTCTTACCAGCCCGCACCTATTGGTAGTGCTTACTTACTGTTTATATATACTGTTTGCATACCTGAATTATATATGTACATTGTTTACATACCTGCACTGTCTGTACCGTAACGTGCTAAACTAACGTAAATATATATGACGGTTTGTCGGAATAAATATCCATCCAATTGCCTATCTATCTATCTATATCTATCCAGATGTGGTTTTTTTATATAAATAAATGAACTGTTAAAGAAGAATACAAGCAAGTCAGTCTACCAGTGTGAGAGACGTGGTGCAACTGAGAGGCGTGGGGGGAGTAAGTGAAGGGGGGGCGGTGATAGAGCCACCTTGGGAGGAAATGGGGAGGGGGGGTGAGAGAGGAAGAGGAGGGGGAGGGAGGAATGTGGTAGGCAAGCGGTGGGGGGGGTGGGTGTGGTAGGGGAGAGGAGGAGAAGGTGGTGTCGTGTTGATAGAAGGAAGTGGGTGTGGTGATGGAGGCACGGAGGAGGAGGAGAAGAGGGAAGGGAAGGGTGAGATGAGAGGGGTTGAGTAGGAGATGGAATTGGGAGGAGATGGAAGAGGAGGAGGAAAAGGTTCATCTCAATATTCTTCAAACGTTGGAATTCTATTAAACAAAATAAAAAGATTAATTCATATTTGTGAATTGTATTTATTATTATTATTATTATTATTATTATTACTTAGAAACATTAAAAAATGTTAATATATTATGGTTACGTAAGACATGTTTGGGGCCACTTTGTTTGTACTACTTCCGGTGACTCAACTGTTTTCGCGATATATATTTCCTCGAGTATTATAAACACCAATACTTGGACACATCTACAAGGTAATACATGATGTGTAGTGTTTTATTTTATTTTGAGATGATCGTGTGATGCATGTTTGTTTGCTGTACAGTAGAGAAGAATGTTTTGGACTGTTTGCTGAAGTGATACATGGTGGAGTATTTTGTTGTTGGAGTGATACGTGGAGGCATGTTTTGTATAGACTGAATTATAAAGTAGCTTCGTCTCAGGTACAGATAACGAGCCCAGCTAACAGACTGTCCTTCAGCTATACATATCCTAGTTAATAAAACGGTGCTTTTTGTGTGTCTGGATTAACGTGGTGTTTTTTTCCTGTTTTACCGCGGGTTTTAATGTGAACCAGGAAATTACGTGGTGGTATACTATCTGAAGGGTACCTACACAGTATAAATGTAAACTGAATGATAGTTGAGAACACAGTATACATGGAAATTGAATGATAATCAGTTGGGAACGAACACGGAGTATACATGTAAACTAAAGTATACTCAGAAGAGAATACAAAGTTTACATCTTAAGCAAATGACAACATGTAAACTCAGGTACTGATCTGGCGTTCTATGGTAGACGGTAAACTAAGGTACTGAGCTCTGGTAGTCGGTAAATTAAGTTACTGTTCTCTGGTAGTCGGTAAATTAAGTTTCTGTTCTCTGGTAGTCGGTAAACTAACAACACACAACACTTCAGCAGGTCCGTCTTCACTCTTGCTGACTCAGTTGGCAGTGAGCCATATTTTCAGGTCTTACGCTATGCATCTTGAAGAAAAACTAGTCCCACACCCTTGTTATACCCCCCCCCCCACACCCTTCTACCCCATCTCACACCCTCATACTCCCTCTCACACCCACCTACCCCCCCTCCCACACCCTGCGTAGCTCAGGCCAGTAAATTCCGGTACAGTACTTCATGACACGGAAGGACTATCACTGGGCAGACATGGAGTGGGTTTATTCAGAAAATCGTAATACCTGTACTTTATTCTGGAGAGGAATATCATGTTCTTGATATAGATAGATAGATAGATTGGTAAGAGGGTTTATATTTATTCAGTAAAGTCGGCACACAAGGTCACATTGATTTATCGTGTACAGTACTTAGAAAGTGCAATTATACAATGTACAGAGACAGTGTAGGTGCAGTAAACATTTGTAAACTAAATAGATGTGTGTGTGTTTGTGTGTGTACGGGAGTTTCCCAGAGTTGCGCAACCAAGTGGCATGTGTAAAACTGCCCATGGCTCAAACGAGATGTCCAGTGACGTCATGTACCCCGCCTCTAAGCAGGTCTTGCGCAAATGGTGACAGTGAGCCCAGAGGAAAGTTGCAACATTGATGGGGAAACACGGGATAGTTAACGGGAGATAATTGATGAGGACTAAGGAACAGGAGATAACGAGAAGTACTTTAAGTTTTGAAGACTAGGAAAACAACAGCTGCTATAATAGTAAATAACTTAACTGATTGTAAAAGATGATAAGGAAATTACAGTAGATGTGAGCTGTGATGTACTGAAGAAACCAGATCTGATCTCTGTCAAAACGAGGAAAATTTCAATCCTCCCACTACCACTTGAGGCTTAAGGTCTGCTCCAGGATACTCTTATTGTTGTTTTAAGAAAAGCAAAGCAGGAAAACTTTTTAACTACAGTACATGTATACTCCTTTGTGGCGTGAAGACACATGATTATTCGTTCAACTAATATGATCTCTACTCACATTTCTAATGGTAATCTGGAAAATACAGAGAAATATAAGCAGTAGGGTGAAGTCAGGAATTTTGGTTATCGAAAGTTATCTTGTGAGGCTCATGAGTTGTTATCAGTTTATCGTAACCACCGATAACACTTACTCTCTCTCTATACCCATAACCGTCCTCACATTTAATAATAACAAGTTAACACAAACTATAAAACTGATATTTCTAAGGTGTTGGTAAGCTCTGTTGATCACATAAACAGCTTTGAGGTACACGAATTAATGCAGTCTTCCTTGTTGTAATAATGTTAACACTTGTGGATAGAAACAACAGCCATTATGAAACAGTACAAATTGTTAGGTTGATTATAATGAATTTTGTTAGTTCTTCATCTGGATCCTCCAACCCTCACAGGAACGGTTAAGCTTTTTATTTCTTTAAACAAAATACTTCTGTTTACAAAATTACTTTACAGGTTGTTTTTGATGATGTTAAAGGCGGGTTTCAAGAACTACAGGTGGCAGAAGCACATGTGTCAATCTAGAGGTTATTTCAAATCATCAAGAGGCATTTCCAGAACTGATAGTATGCGTGTGTGAGAGAGAGAACCAACCATCACACACTTGCGAGTCACGAGAGCTGATAACAACTATCTCCCATGTTGTTATCATGTTCTAGGATATCCATACCTGTTACGGCAAGCAGTAATGAGTAGGATGACACATAAACAAACATTATGTTAGGCTGTAAGTCAAGTCATGTTTATTGGGTGTGCCTGCCTGTATACAGTGTGTAGAGTGTTGAGATGGTGGAGATGAGAGGTTCAGAGGAGGTTGGAGTGTGTAAGGGGAGCTAGTTTATGTATACAGTAATCATAATCACCTGACTCAGCCAAGGTGGGCCAGGAGATCGGGCTGGCATTGTAGCTACCCATATCTTAGAAGCAACACCTAACCTGGTTTCTCTCTAGACTTTCAACACGTAAGTTTAACTAGTACTTATTGTGTACACAGGTAGACTGTGTCCATTGCATCATTTATCATTGTGACAATATAGAAATATGGTAAATAAAGTACTCATTGTAAGTGTTAAGATTAGACTAATTACATGGCTATAATTGTTATGTAAATATATATTGGATTAAACATTTAAGTAGGAGTGCCTATGTATGATTTATTTGAAATACTAAAATGAATTGTATTCAACAGGTTTGACCGAATTATAACGTTCGAGTTTAACGTGACGAGTCTAATTAATCCTTTAACCGCCCGGATGGCGGTTACAATACCCATGTTGTTATCATGTTCTCGGATATCCATACCCCTACCTGTGTCTGTGATATCAATGGGCAATCATATCAGTTTATCTTGATTTCAGTTTCATCCTGGTTTCCCATCAATGGCTTGGCTAACACTATACTATACATTATTGTGTATCACTCAATTTTAAGATACTGTACATATATTACACACTGATTTACAGTAATAATAATAATATTATTATTAATGAAGGTATAGATGGATCCATCAACACAACAACCACACCCTAAGTTGAAGAACTGTATAACCTAAGGCTAAGGATTCAAATAATACAAGTCCGGACAACTCGCCAACTGCACTGGCTAATCATTACCACAAAACAATATATCAATGAATTAATATCCTTGTTCCCAATTACTACCTGTACAAGGTACACAGAGGGAAATGGTATAAATTCATCCATTGATTAACCCTGTCAAGGGATCAAACCAGAAATCACTCACTCACTTATAAGGCAAGTTTCTGAGATATGCACTCTATATACATTGTACACGGAAAATATTTTACATTGCATGTACAATATTGTACATTACAGTATTAGTATACATGTGTTGTTGCAGTGGCCAAGTGGATAGAACACTCCTCCTGCACCCAGGGCACCCCTCAATCCACCCAGCTGTGAGGGGATTCCTAACTTTACAGTTAGGAAGTGAAGGCAGGAAAGTACAGTGCCAACCACACTGCTTCTATAGTGTTCAGTGAGTTGTATCTGTTCTGCCCAGAACAGGCAACAAGGCCAATAAAACCCCACTTCCAATTTAAACAGATGATTTACTGCTTGTAACTGACACAGTAACCTAACTTAACCTAATATAACTATACACTTTCTCCTTATTAAATAACTTATTGTAGAATACATACAGTATAAATTTAAAATGTAGAATAATGTCTTATTTTGTGCAGCATTTGTGTCATGTTTATTTAATTTAATTTTTATTTTTTATCTTTTCAGAGTGATTTTCTTCTTGAATTTTGTGACAGTGGAATGGGGGTGGAGAGTGGAAAGGGTGGGGGCATGCCCATTCCCCGAGGCCCAGGCAACAGACCTCCACAGAACCACCACTTCCAGGGCCTTTCATCAATGGCTCTGCAGTTGGACGACCACAGCCCACTGCCAAACCAGCAGTCCGGTCACAGTTTGGGTCCTCAGTGGGATGGCAACATATCTTTCTCTACCCCAACTTATCAGGACAATAGTGGTCTCTCCCCTATTGGGCCATATTCGCCATCCCTGTGGCCACCTCAGTCAATGGACCTTGACTTGGACATCAAGCTGGAGCCTTTAGATGACCTTCTTGGTGTTGATGACTTACTACCAGGTCACACACTTGGCTTGAATTCAACAGATGATGCACTGCTCGATGATGTGAACTTTGACGATTTGCTCATGCCAGAACATTTTGCTAATACAGCAATGGAACAGCCAAATTCACCCATTTCCATGCTGACGGTTCACCCCGATGAAGTAATGGGCATGAACAAGGGATTTTCCACACCGACAAACTGTAATTTCCCATACTCGTCTTCTGTGACCCAGCCAGTTAAAGCAGAGAGTACATCACTTTACTCCTTGCTAGCTTCTTCATTCCCTCCTCAGGGGGGAGGTTGGCGTGACCCACTCCTCACATCATCATCGTTGCCTGGCCAGCAGGCCAACAACCAGCTTGGCAGCATAGACGAGTGTCCAGGCTCAAATCAACAGCAACAGAATGTATCTCAACAGCCTCGCAGTATGGATCAAGCCTCGGGCTCAACGTCAGCTCTTCAAGAATTACTCTTGCGTTCTCCCTCCACCCCATTATCTCCTCACAGTGTTCCATCCCCCCAGGGGGCGCCGTCTCCCCAAGAACCTCCAATGGGTCAGTCAGTTCCACGACCCACTTCTCTTTCAGCCGCCAACCCACTGCTCTCTGCTAGGCTTTCTTCATCAGCGCCAACCCGCAACTTTTCCTTAGAGCAAGCATGGCAAAGACGAGAGCCTCGACAGCATCTTTTGTCAACTGGTTCTTTGGCTGAGGAATTTGGTGGTTCTGCATCATCTCTGAGTACAGGTAACCAATAGTTTATTTGTTTTCATGGTTACACTTCTTTACATAAAATAATTTATAGATATAAAAGTGTGTGTGTTTGTGTGTGTGCACGTGCGAGACATAAATGATACCATTACATATTCCCATCACGTTTTTCATCACTATCATCATCATGCTTGATTATAATTACTTATACCAGCAAAGAGAGAGTGTGTGTGTGTGTGTGTGTGTGTGTGTAATGCATTGAACAGAGTTTAACATGTAAAATCTAACATCAGTGCCTCTGTCTTGAAGACCCAGGGCATCAGTGTCTAGGTACTGTATGGATAGTGAAGACAAAGGAACTGGTTCCTAGCTATGAAGACTAAGGTGATTATTCTCAGGCTCCAAATGGATTAACCCAAGATGGTTAACTGCAGTGTAGCCTGTGTCTTTTGCTAACTCAAATTTTAGTACAGTATAAGATTTTACGCAGAAACTAGTATGTTATTGGACTGGCTTTTAATAATCTCTCTTTAAGTGGATATATTGTACAATATTAAAAAGCAAGTACAATACTTAAGAAATATTATGCAGTATTATCATCGTGCTGTATACAGTATAAATATGAGAGGGTTTAGGTTGTATAGTACTATATTAAGGAGTTTGTTTGGGAAGCCCTGTTAGATATTGTAGTGGGAAATTTTGTTGAATGCATATATTATTGTAGAAGACAAAATCTATTCACATATCAAGGAAGATTATCACAATTTTCCATGGACAATCCTTCTTTTATTCTCTGAAGTGAAGTAGCCACAGGTGACATCCACTAAACAAGTAGTTCAAATGATATTTCTCAGACAATTTTCTGATCTTAGCCGGGTAATCACATACTACATGCTGAATTTTTCATTGCAGTTGGAGGCATTCTGTCTCCAGGTGGTCATGACTTATCCATAGATGAAGGGATTGACTCTGATGATGAATCAGACAATGAGCACTATGATTCTGAATCTGATAATGGTAAAGTTTTAATCATTTTGTTTTAACATAAGTTTACTGTGTATGATATTATTATTTCTCATATATTTGTCTTTTACTACAGTTGAAATGAACACCTTGTAAGGACAGTCATCCAGTGCTCAAAAGTTACCATTTGACTCCAAGAGCAAATGAGACAATTAATGAAAAATATTAATTACTATAATTTACTCCTCAGATTCAGTGGTAAGTGAGGACACTGGCAGCATCTCCAGTTCGCTGGGGAAGAAAGAAAGATACTTTTGGCAATACAATGTCCAGGCAAAAGGGCCTAAAGGACAACGCGTCAGTATCAACCAACAGCAAAGAGACCCACACAGTTTGCCCACAATCATGGATCCAGTCTTCTCTCCTCTGTGCTCCATCCAGGGCATCAAACACAGGTATGTCTCAGCTCCTTGATGCCCACATCTCTTACCTTTTACACACACACACACACTACATTCTAATTTATTTTCCCCAAATGTATGAAAATTAATAGCTTAGTTTCAAGGCTTGAATTTTAGTACTGTAATTATAACGAAATTATGATGATAAGTTTAGGAAAATGATGCACTAGAAATGAGGAAATGAACATACTGTATGAGTAAATGACTGGAGATGGCACCAGGTGGTGTTTGGAGAGAACACAGAGTTGTGTTAAGGAAACCAGATAAATGTTTGGGGCCTTGTTGTGGAAAGGGAGCACTAGTGCAGTACACACATATTACAGCAGGAAGAGTGAACAAATGACAGTTAAAAAAGAGTGAATGCTGGACAAAATTATCTACTTCAGATATTCTCTCACTTATTTGTCTATTAAATAATTTTATAATATTAATTGATAAAATATTTTGAACTGAGTCACAGGGAGCTTAAATTTTAATTTTATTTTGTCCTCATACTGAAGGTGATACTTAACCAGTTGTTATTATTAGTTGTTTTTCAACATTTACTTTCAATATATTGTAATTTGAACCGGCAAGGAAAACTCCACCACACTGCATTGTCACCAGTTTATCTCTAACTCACAGTGGAAAGGCCCGTAGGGGCGACGGCAATGATCTAACGCCAAACCCTCGTAAATTAGTCAACATCGGGCGTGAACTCGAGAAACTCAACAAGGTACGTCACTTCTTAACATATTATTAAGTCATAAGGAGTCACTGTAAAACAGTGTCACAGTACAGTACTGTACTTAAGAGAAAGTTTCTTGAAGGGTCATGTCAAGGGTTCAAAGTGTACTTTATCCACACTGTCCCCAATGGGCAGGCATGCCTATGGGATCCACTGTCACTGTAGATCACTATACAGTACAGCAAAGTTTCACACAAGATAAGGTACTGTACAGTTTGTAACTTTGTGCATGTGAATCCTCAAGTTCCACTTAAGAGAAATTGAATACCATCATAAAGTGTTCACCCATAGTATTAATCTGGGGTGTAAGATAACTATATATACAGTACCTGTATATAAAAAATATATATTTTCCAGACAATCAATGACATGACACCAGTGTCAGAGCTGCCATTCAATGTGAGACCCAAGTCCAGAAAGGAGAAGAATAAGCTGGCATCACGGTATGTTTGTCTCTCATTTTATTTCAGTTTATGAGTACCGTATCTTTACTGTACAATTATTTTTCACTTCAGTAAACAAGATCTTTCATACCTTAAGGTAATTAGCAATTTATTAACAGTATGTAAACAGTGACTGTCATTTGAGAACATTTTCCTTGTGCCAACCTTCTTCATTTATAGTAACTGCTCATAAATTAATTATTATTTATGTTACATCTTCTTAATAATTGGTTATGAGTGTTACAAGATGTTTCACTATTATTTTGCTCAATTTCAGAGCATGTCGTTTAAAGAAGAAAGCCCAGCACGAAGCTAACAAAATTAAGCTGTATGGCCTGGAGCAAGAACACAAGGGCTTGATATCCCTGATTGAAGATGCAAGAGCCTCACTAATACGGAAGGTAGAGCTGGGGGCATCAGGCGGTAACCACTCCAACTCTGTTGCACCTCTCGGTCAGCTCCAGTGTTCCCCTGGCACACCACCCCAGAACCCACAAGCACAAATTGTACAACACCTGGAAAAACTAAACAAGCTTCGGAACAGTGAGTACAGTCGGCCTCTGTTGCAGATTTAAGTTAGTCTTTACACTGTGGTCTGTAATGGTGACGCAGAACACACGTCAGACGGGGCTGTATCTTCAGTTAACTAATCTCTGAAAGCCTAACACTGGTACAGGTTTATGAAGTGAAAGTTTTTATAGTTTGGGAAGAGTAATTTTTAGTACCAAGGTTTGGAACTTGACCTCTATGAATATGAGTACAGGTATAAGTAAGTACAATGTGTGTTTCCTTCTTCCTCTAACTAATTTTTATGGCCAATCTGAATTTACAGTAGCAAACATCTACCGGTTATACACCATGTATGCAGAAGCCAGTGTCTATATACCATGTAAATTAAATGTCTAGATTACTTAAAAGTGAACCTTGATAGAAGTACAAAAATTTTAGTTTGGAGAGAAGCCATAAGAATAGTGTTGAAGACACAGAGTAGCTGGAAAAACTGTCTTCTTTGCAAAACATAATTTATACTTACTGTATGATATATATGGACACAAAGTAGTACCTTCAGCTGTATATTGTTATATTACTCTTATTAATTATGTATAGTAAAGTATTGCAGAACATGTATTAATTCTATGTAATATAACAATATACAGCTGAAGGTACTACTTTGTGTCCATATACAGTATATCATACACTTACCGGTATTTGGATTTAGAAGCAATAAATTTTTCAAGGTTAAGAATTTCACTTGGGTGTGATGGTTGTGACCTAAGATTTAAAAGATTATATGATCCCTAGGTGGAGGTGAGCGGTACTGTGGGTGCATATACAGGAATGGTACAGCAATTATTTTTAAATTTTATTATAATAATTCCTCAAACTGCAAGCCACTGACAAGCACATTTATATCAACTCTTGTATGAAGGCTTCTTTGAATGTTTCTTAACACTGACACACAGGTTTTACCGCTTTTGTTTTGAGTGCTGTGGTTTACAACATGAGACACCACAATACAGTACAGTACTGAATTTCTTGAGTACAATAAGAAATAAATGTGCTGAAAAATATGTCAGCATTAAGGTATGTGTGTGTGCTTCCAGCATGAGCATTTATTATAATGAAATTGAAAAATTCCTTCTTCTGAACTTTTGAATCACTCTGTATGGTTTATTATTTTAATCGCCCAGTAAGGAGATTTAACCCGCCACGTCAACTCGATACAGTTTATTTCGGACAAACCTCTCAAATACAAATCATCAATTTACTAGACGAAACTGAAGGTTCAGTGACATATCAGATGCGGATACATTTACTTAATCGCAACAATATAAATTGCATATTGTCAGAAGTTCCTCAATTAAAATTCTTCATGTCCACAATGAAACACGGAATAGTTTTACACTTACTTGTTGCAGGTCTGGCTCAGACCATAAAGCCAAGGTGTGTTTAGGGCGATCAGGTGAGAGGTACTGGTTATTTGTTAGCGTCTAGAGTCCCGGGTGAATATAATCATGTCAACTCGGCATAGCCTACATGCCTTGCTTTTCATTATGTCACGAGTGCTGATTCAGCCTCGCCTGCTCGTTTGATACACAACAACACTCCTCTTTCCACCTTTCCATACTTGCTGCTGTCTAGTGGAAAAAATAGTATTACTGTATATTCTTGGTCATAAATTTATACTTCTAAAAAAATACAGTAAAAAAATAAGTGGAATGCAAAATCAAGTTAGACAATGTTTTCTTCATGTTTACAGAGCACAGGATTGCTGGCCATACGACAGAATTTGTCAACCAAGTCATTGAGAACTGTCAGAATGGAGATTCAAGTGGTGGCTTAGAAGAGATCATGAAAACCTTCAGCAACACCAACCTGGCAACGAGTCCTTCCTCAGGCATCAGTTGTGGTGGGTTTTCGCCTCGTTGAAAGCTTCTCGACTCAACAGAGAAATTCAGCATTGCTAAGAATGACAGGTGCTGAAACAATACTTTATTTTGGCACCCTCATAAACTAGAGCAAGAAGATATCCAGGCTTTAAAAAACAATGTTTGGTAATTTTTAATTAATCCATGACTAATCATTGTTCAGATAGCTTAGAGATGTATTAGATACAGTTGTTCAGTCAGAATGTGACTAATTCTGTACAGTTCTCCATAGCCATGCTTATAGGATGGGTCATGGCTTATAGTGTATAGAATTTTTTTATCCAACTTTTTTGTGGAAGACAAGATCATGATTAAAAAAAAAAATCAAGCATAAAAGAGACCATTTAAAAAAATTGTCATACTAGGTGATGATGTTCACCATTAAGAGGTGGTGACACAGTAAGACTAGGCTATGCTCTAGTAGAAGAGGATAGGGTTAGCCAGGCTTAGCTTTCCCGCATGAGACGTAGGCTGTGACAGTCAGAGGAACGATTGAATTGCTACAAAATATGGAATGTGTGTTTGTTGTTAGTTTTAGACATGAATATCCAACGGGCAGTATATCACTAAAAATAAGTAATAATAATTCCCCTTTGGAGTTTTCCATGTTTTTCTTTGTTTAATACTGATAGCTTTATTGATCAGGAATTATAGACCAGCTGGCCTTGGTCATCCACTGTACACTTGCCAAGAAGAATTAAGGCTCTGTTCTTCTTCCTCTTGATGGTCTTCTCTTTGGCCACGTTATATTAATTAATTTAACTACATTTCCTTGGATTCTGTATTTCTTTAGTCATCTTTCCCTGCTCAGTCTCCATTTCTTCATGTACATAATTGCTGCGGCAACCCTAATTCTCTTAAATGTCCTTATGTTTTAATACAACCAGATAGTGGCTGCTGTCCTTATTTTATCAAGTCACAGTTATAGGCTGTTGATTATTCCTCTTAACCTTTCAAGTTTTGATGTTTCCAAAACTTGAAAACATTTAAATGATTCTGTTTCTGACATGATGAGGATAAATTCTATTTGCCAACTCTGTTTGAAGTAACATGCAATGTGATATTGTATTACTGTATATATAACTTGGATTGTCAAATAAGAACGTCCACATCACACACACCCCCAGATATGACAGCTAGAAATTTAATGGGAATTTATATTTTAACATTTCCTTATTGACATGACGATGCTTTTAGCAACACTTAAGGAATATATATATATATACTGCCCTGAGGTCCACCAACGCTTGTTCATTTGGTTAATATTGTTGCCATTGTGGAAATATTGTTGTGCATTACCGAGTCAGTAATAGCAGGAGCTTACTTACTCCAGTATCATATATACAATTATTTTTGTTGCAGCTTTGGTGTTTTGTTGATATAGGCTACAAAGTTTTATAAGTTAAGAAAGAAGTGTACGTATGGTGGTCTGTAGCATTCCTGCTGGTTGGTATTTATATTATAAGTAATGTTAAGGTAATATTAAACTAGATTTTTTAAATAAAAAGTAATAGTGTATGATTCTGTGCTAGTAGTGGACTTGCCATACCTCCCAAATATGACTCTTCAGTATAGTGTTGTGAAAAAAAAATTTGAGTTTCAGCCATAGAAACACAAGAATTTATTCTCAGCCAAAAACGTGGAATTCAAACAATATTAAGCCTTGTTACAACACTTTTGTAAGCCACAAAGAAATGCTTACCCAAACACTACCTCTACTTCATGTTTGTCTGCTTCCTCAATAAGGATTTGGCATTTTGTAAATAGCCTGCTAGATGTGTGGCAAGGAATGCAACATATTTCAGGCCTTTAGCCAAAATTTTATCATGTGGGTTCAGTTAATAAAACAGAATACATTTTAGAATTCAGGCGTCAAAGTCAAACATTGCTAGTTCAAAAGTGAGAGTGGGTCCCATCTGTTCGGGACAGCATGGACACAGCACACAGTATACTACTCTGCTGCTTCACTGCTGTTGGTAAATGAGCTGTTTCTGGTCAGAGACTCTTGACAATGGAGGTGTTGGAGTAACGTGAATTTGATGTACCCAACCAGCATCCAGTCATAAATTGCATCCAGAAGGGTAATGAGGGTTGCTCGATACTAAATGTTTTTTCTAAATTTTCTGTAACCAGTATGAGGCATAAGACTGCATCAGCATGTACTGTACTATAAGCATACTCAGACCTGCTGCTCACTTTCGTACAGTATATCTACTGTATTAGCATTAATGCATCCTATCTATCGAATAAACTTTTCCATCTGAGGACACATAATTCCCCAGTGTAGGTTCAATCAAACCCTTGAACTTCACCTCATTATGGGCCTGAATATCCCTTTGGTTATCAGTTTTGGGTGCAGTTAGTGACATGTTAGACCAAACAGGTATGAATTTTCCATTGTGTAACATTTACTTCACAATAAACCACCCCAGTGAAGTACATACAATAGTTCAATGACAATTAAGTCTGCACTACGGCTCATTGAAAATTTTTGTGCAACAAAAAGATACTGGTTTTATTTCTGCAGTTCATAAATCTTGTTAGTTCAATCCATCTGTTTGGCAAAGCATAATTAAATGCTTTTTTAATCTTTAGTGCACAGTTGTGTAGCATTCTAGGGAAATAATTAATATATAGAGGCTTATTTTTTCTGGTAATGTGGGACTTGATAGTTAAGAATGATTCTATGTCACACATCAAACCAAGGCAGAATTTCTAGTTGATATTATTTTTATATAGTTATTGATGGCCCACTATTGGTATACTTTACAGTACAGTATAGTGGTTTCCTAAACTGACTGTCTCCAGTCATTCTAAGATTGCCCTACATTTGTTTTTTTATATTTTATTTTAGTTTTATTGTAAAAATAAAAAAGTTTTTGAAAAACATTAGATATTTTAAGAAAATTTGCACACAGTGCAACAATGTTACTGATATTGTGATAGAAACATTGAGAATAGCTGTAGTGTTCATTGTTATAAGAACTTAAAAATATTATATGCAGTTTGACTGTATCCTTATACAGTACAGTGTACCTGTAGTTATCAAGGTAAACAATTATCGTATGGAGGCACGTAGCTCAAATTTATTATATGTACATTTAATGCTGGTAAAAGTCCATAGTATTATTTTCTTATATTTCATTTATTGACAACAACATTCTAGGTTTTTGTAAGCTCTATGTTTCAGGCTGCTTTTTGCAAGTCTCACAGGAATGAACAAGGAAACATGTACCCTTGGACTAGCGAGTGTTATCCCAACTTGGTATATAGTTGTACAGGTTTTCCAGCATAACTTTATAGGTGTGGTTTTTCCTCCATGTGACTAATTATATTCTGTACATAAATGTTACAGCAGGAGGCACTGCCCCCCTGCTGCAGCTGCCATTAATACATGTAATAAAACCACAAGAGAACAACACAAAGACACCCCTAAAAAAAATAAAACACTTATTTAATTATGAAAAAATTAAATTAGGACTAAAGGGGTGTAAAGATTTTTTATTCTGGTAATAATATCAGTTAGTCATTACTGAGTGTAACATACATACATACATTATCGTACAGTATATTCTGATTTTTTTAACCTTATTAAGTTGGTTACTAAAATACAGAAGATACTAGAGGATAACTGACTCCACCTCCCTCAATAATAACCTCCAGCTCAGATACTGTACCTGCTGTAATCTAAGATCTATCATTGTCCCCCAACCCCTGACACCTTAACAGATACTGTATTATTGTATATGACTGCACTCTCATCTCCTTATGATAAAGAAACATATTATGTCTGTTAAAAAAATAAATTAATTCTATTAATATATCATATCACAGTCAGCAATGCATTTGATAACATGGGTGGTACTGCAAGACTGATGACATATGAGGCTGTTTCTGTTAAAGAATATAAGATGTGAAGGTAGATTAAAGAATGAATACAAATAGGGTTGGCTAATGTGTTGCCAGACCATTATGTCAAGAATATTTTGGTTTCTGTATGTTTGTTCTACATTGTGTACCTTTACTAGTGGTCAAGGTGTGCGTGTGTGCGTTTGATGTACTGTGTGTAATACTCATATTACTATTTATAGGAGAAAATATGAGTGAAAAACATGGCACAGGAGTGCAGTTCAGTATTGAAAAGTGAGCAGTACAGTGTATGTGATGGAGATGCACACACTCGAGAACTGTTAGTGAGATTAACCCTTAAATGGTGGTCATCATTAATGGATATTTCTTGTTCCTTGCATTCCATTTTTATTATATGGAGGAGTAGGGAATCCTTAGCTGCCATTAAAAGGTTAAGGGGAAATTTTTATTCTGGGGAAAAAATTCCCCAAGTACAGTATGTCATCTTTGAGGTGTAGTAATAATACAAGTTTTACAAAATTCTTTTAAGATAACACCTGCCAAGCTCTTTCAATAAACCGCTAATTATTATTATTATTAGACTTATTATAAGCAGATCAAATTTAAACATTACTACTGTTGGGGTTGTCCACATACAGTACCAGGTATTTTGCATCACAATTCAGGACAGTAATTAGCTTTTACATTCTGCATGTATTATTTTTCAGGAAAAAATACAGTGGCAACAACATACGCATTTTAGTAGACAACTTTAATCTTGTATGGAGGTACCATACGAATAGATGCAATAACATGGGTTCACTCTAGTGGTAGATTAAAGATTAGATCCTGCCATACCACAGTCATAGACTGCATATATTATTTTAATATTAAGTATTATCACCGGTAGTACAGTACAGACAAACAGTAATATAAGCATTATCACCTCTAGTGCAGACAAAACAGAAATAAGATAATTATGTTAAAACTGTATCATGAGTATTTAATTTTTTTATCTTCCCGGCTCTAATTAACAGCTAAAACTTATCACTAAATAAGTTGGTTTTTGTGAGGTAACCTTGCAAACAAAATCACTTGGTAGTGTTAATATTAACTTTACCTATACAGTAGATATTTAAGCATAGCAAAAGTAATTGTTTTCATTTGTTGGTGAAACAAGTCTTTTTGTTAAGGAGTTTTGCTTTTGGTATTATGTTAAATAATTATATATTGTACTGTACATAATGTGTGTGTGTGTGTGTGTACATTATACACTTTAATTATGGTAAACATAGGTAGGTAGCTGGGAAAATGGGGTCAAGTTATGGCAAACCCAACTAGCACAAAATGGATGAGTTGTGTACCTGATAATGTAGGTTAGGTTACCCGGTGCCTGTCTAGTCGCACTTATTCGTCAGAGCAGATGTAGTCCTATGAGGGGTTTACTGTGGTCTCTCTCTCTTCTTGTTCTCTCTCTCTTTCTCTCTCTCTCCATCTATATATATATATATATATATATATATATATATATATATATATATATATATATATATATATATATATATATATATATATATATATATATATATATATATATACAGTATCTCCATCTAAGCTGATAACTGAAACTAGACAGCTCAGGTGGGTCAAGTAGACAGAAAGAAATCTGTCGACTACTGCCTTCAGAGGCAACCTGCATTCTGTAAAGGAAACTTCCATATAAGCTGACCTGAACAAATAACAAAATCTTGTTAAGCATTTTATATATATATATATATATTTTTTTTTTTTTTTTACAAATACAGTATAGGTACTGTACTCAAATATGTATCCGGGGCACCGGTGTGTATTAGTATAGCAAGAGACTGTTATATTCCCTCCCTCCCCTTCCCCTCATAATACATCTCAACATTGTACAGACGAGCTGCTACCGTGGTTGTAATATTTTCTTCATACGGGAAGAATTTCAAACTACTTTAGTTAAACAGCAGCTGTTAAATCTAGACTTGGGACCTTAAGGTAATGTTATAACCTTGTCCTACAGGGTTTAAGCAGGAAAATGTTCTCTATATCCTATCATAATACAAGCTGTAGAGAGGACATAGGGCATTACCTCTCTCAAACTTTAATTCTTTATCAAATTAACAGTCTACCTAAAAAAAAAAAAAAAAAATGGATTATTTTTTTAAGTTTTCATCGGGAATGTTTACCTAGTTATTAAATATTTGAAAGCTTACTCTAATTTGTTTTACTGAGAAAGTTTTGTGTTGATAATTTGTTACTGTGCTGAACCTATAATTATTATATCATGTAGATGTTATTAATCTCATACATAAAGTTCTTACATAAAAAGGAAATTGTGTTCTTTGTCAGCCCTATTTCCTCCAAGCATAATGTACATACATAAATACATACATATTATGACATATCCTTGCTGCATGCCATTCTAGAAAGGGTTTGTGGTGATCAGAAACCCAGTGTGATGACGAGGTTCTCCCCACTAACTCGTGGTCATTTCCATGCATCTTCCACCTGCAGATGATTAAGAGATAATTATGTGTTGATTTATCCCCTCCCCCACAGTGAATGTTTTACACGCTCGCCACTGCTCATTTATTATGTGTAGTGAGTGAGTTTTGCTTGGTGCGAGTGAACCCACCACTGCTTGTCTAGCATGAATGAATGAAATAAGCTGCTCCAATCATTTGTCAGTTTTAATCTGGAATCTTATAAAAAAAAGAAAGAATTAGACCCAGAAAGCCACTCGCTCTACACTCTTCCAGCCTCACATGTTTACTGTTAGTCAGTTGCAGATCAATCATCTGTGATATGAATTCAGGTTTAATAATATACAGTACGTATGTCCATATTAAAAAATTATAAAAAATATAATAAAACAAAAGTAAAATATTAAAAAAAAAGGTACATTATGGTCAATAATACCATAAGGAGAAAACAAAACTCTGGTGAAGTGACAAAATCATTAGCTTTTGATGTTGTGTTGCGAAATGACCACACATTTAAGTGTAACTAAATACCATTGATATTTTAGAAGGTAAGCATGGTATATATAACACATGCATATGTATTATAACCATTGAGTGATTATCAGCCTATCAAATAGCTGAAATGTTTAATTAAGGTTTCATGTAATATATATATAATATATACATTAGGTATATTATATATACATATATATACATACAGTATATAAACCAGTTCTTACAAGAAGGCTCTGATTCTGTGGAAACCTTTTGAGTACAGCTCCTCTCCGATTTACGACCTACCCGACTTACGACCACCCGCACTTACGACCTGCCTCAGTCGTACTAATATTTTTTGTCAAATTACGTATTTTTGAGTCCCAACTTCAGTGCACAGAAAAAAATTTCGTTTGTAATTCACTTTAAAATGGCTGGCAAGCTTAAAAGTGAGAGTTTTGTGGTGCTGAGAAGAAAAAGAGACGCCCATTTTAGATTTTCTATGTATTATTTAAGCATTTTCGACTTATGACCTGGATTTGGGTCCCTAACCCTGTTGTAAGTCGGGGAGGAGCTATACTATAATAATAATAATGATACTAATAACAATAATAATAAAAAGAAAATTGACATCCTTTACTTTGAAGTTGTAGGTACAAAGTTGGTGCTGAATAGTTTCAATTTAGTGATGCCAAATTTTGTGATATTGGTAGTTTTACTCTTGCCATGAAATGACTTAATCTTAAAATTAAAATATTACTTGTGACTGCCTGTTAAGTGTATCCTAATGTGCTGTCAACAGTGAACTTAATAAAACCTTCTTGGATCTGAATGTCACAATAATTTTTCCCAACATAATAATAGTAATGTCTCTTCTATACTTTCCACTTAACTTCTACAATACTGTTACTAAAATATGTATATATATGAACATTATTTTTGTATTGCTTTCACTTCTTCAGAGCCTCTTGAAAATAACACTTCAAATATGTAGTCCATTATAGAGTAGAGATGAACCAACAAAGTTGGCTTGGCTTAGGTCATTAATGACCTTTTAACTTGTCAGTATTGTAAATGACTGATTACTTTAGCAGGATCTTGGCTCTTCTCAGTCACATTGTCAACTATACAAAAGTTTTTAACTAGCAATTTTGGATGAAATAAATTTTCCATAATTGTTAGTTAAAAGTCTGTTTGATAGCCACAGCTTCTTCACTTTCACTGTTCTCATCTCAAAGGGCCATGGCAGCATTAGCCTTTGAGTTATGATTTCAGTTGTCAATATGATTATGCTGGGTTTGTCTATGGACAAAAGTGCACACGACTTGTATATCGTATTTAAATAAACGAATTAGTATATTACATAAACTTGTCTTTGATTATCCTTCACAGTCTTGGATCTTGACATTTGAAACATTAACTATATCAACACAACTATAGGTATGCAACATGTGTTTGCCATCAAAGGTGGCCTATTCCTACACTGCACCACAGCAACATCCAAGGTACCACATCTCTACACATCATTGCACCACAATCCTAATATACCACATCTCTGCAGTATGGCAGTCCAAGGTACCACATCACCGAGGTGGCAGAAACACGTAAGGCAAGCTGTGCAGATTATCAGTGCCTGGCAGCCCAGGTTAGAAGCTGGGCAAGTGATTTTCCATGTCCATGTGCCCAGCACTTGCCTGGGAGACAAGCTAATATTTTGATAGGTAAATACTGTACCTAGGAAATCTGCCAGGTGCTGCATGACCCCCACCTCCTTGTACAGTCGGGGTCAAAAGTCTTGAACACTTAGCAATATCTGGCATCTACTTCTGAGTTATATATGATTGGGATATACTAATAACACTACTTGTCATCACACATTATGTTTGAACCACAAATGGGATAAAACTCTCCTTAATACCTAAGATCTTCAGGTACTTACATGCCAAATACTGTACTGTTAAGTGTTCAAGACTTTTGACCCCAACTGTACATGTTTAACCCAGGAGGTCTGTACCAGGATTAGCCACCATTGTCAGCTGCAGGTAATTTATCTCTACATTAAGCTGCCAACTGGCCTTTAGTTAGTCGGTGTCAAGTTATCATCATTTCAAAGAAACCACCAAGCTGAGAGACTATAGACCTGAGATAACACGAGTTATGCCCTCACATGTCATGTGTAACTGATATCAGATTACAGGAGGGAATGGTAGTTAAGGTAGGTGATCATAGGGGCTGCCTCCCCACACACCCTGCAGATGTGAGGTGACAGTAATTACGATATCACTTGACAAGGCTTACCACCAACCAGAAGCTACAGTTATCCACTAAATGGGGCAGGGTGAGGGTAAAGGCATTTAGGTCTGAATTATTGAGGGCCAACTGTACAGTATTAAGCATGATTTAGGAGCATTTTCTAAAGAAGTAAATGTGTGTATGTTTAATATGTAAACAACTCTTGCTACAAGTACTACTTCTACACATCTAGAAAGCTCTAGTTCAGTGCAAATGATTCTAATTATTTCTTAAGTACCTGTGCTTTGAAATATGAAAAACTTGTATTCTAGGGAAATTTCAATATACTGTATATACGTGCACCCGTGGGGCAACTCGGACCCCAACATTCATACCAGAAAAGTTGATCTCACTTACAACAGACCTTCCCTACCATTTTGGATTGCTGTATACCTAATCATGAACTTCAGTGTTCCTGATCAGGGTAATTTCCTATGTCTATTCATATAATCTAATCAGAGATTGAGCTTGCCAGGAAAAAGTGGAAATACACATGTTGAAAACATTAGTTATCCCAACCTAAGCGAATTTCTAGACAAGGACCCACTATGGGTATAGGTTGAGATCTTGGAGATAAGACATGACATGTTCTTTCATGAGATTAATGGCTTTCTTGAATAGGCAACTGACACTAACTAAACTACAAACATCAGATTCTCTGATGTTTGGGCATCAAAATGATCTAATTTCAGTAGTACTCAGAAATGCCTGGCTCTAACCAGGGACCATATCCTTGGACGCTATTCGTACTGGCAGTCTCGACACTCGCTTACTTAACAAGTGTCACGAATAATAAAGACAGTTAAAGGTTTCAACATCACTCACAAAGGATCTTGTATGACTCAAAACAATGGTGTTCTCTCTCTCACCTTCAGATTTACTTTATAGAGAGGTTGGTTTCAGTAAGTCAGAGAAAATGGGATAACGGAGGACTGAGGCGTCTTGAAGCGATGAGAAAACGGACTCCTCAGATGGAGGACTCAAACGAAAGCAGAGTTACATGTTTTGTGGGCTATTGAGCGTAATATGAATCGTCTGATTTTGGCGTTAACTGACGTGTATGACCGTGGTCATTACACCACCACTACTACAACTACCGCCACACTGCCTCTCCACATACACATCACAAGTTGTCTAGTGAGTATAACATGACTAACATCCTCATTTCTTTAATAATTTTACATTTTATTATCAATCTGTAAGTAAACGTATTTCTGGTAGTGCACTTTTTGCTACAGTACTTCCATAATCATATGTGTAAACATAAGAGTTTTAAACTCACACATGGGTGACCCATACAGTACAATAAATATTGTCTATTGCTACATGAAATTTTTTTTCTAACTAATTAATGAAAATTCTAGATTAAAGAAGGGATAATAATACTTCTATTAGAATTTACACATTTATTGACACAATTCACAATATCTCACCTTACTAGAGTGGAGAGATGAGATAATTGATGGAATGTGACCGGACAACCAACGAACTTCCTTAAACAGCATCACAACTCTGTTTGAAGAGGTTATCGCACCTAAACTAAGATGAACAGGAAAGATGTTTCATCACCCTAGCATTAACATCTCAAAAGTACACATAGTGTAGACTGTAAGCAAACTACAGTATGTATATAATGTATAAATTTTACAGTCATTCAAACAATGTCTGTTCCAGAACATCACCACAGTACTGTATCTGGTAATAATTATACAATGAAACCTAAGAGGAAAAAATATACACTAACTCATGATTTATAAAATCAGACTGTTGAACCTATGAATGCCCATCAGGGAAGTCAAGATGGGTAGGGCTGGGAAGAGGCCGAGTGGGGGAGGCAGAGAGGGGAGTGTGAAAGGAGGGGGATCACCTGGCTACAAAAAGTCGAGGCTGAAGGCACGTCCTGAAATTCTGCATCGTTCTCCGTCAGACTACGCTGCTCGTTCAGTCCCAAGATAAGAGTGTACTGCAGAAGTAGCTTGACCGAGTCTTCATTGCTTGCTCCCAGAAGGTAATCCTGTGAAGCCCAAGGTCACATTACTTTTTTATAAGACCAATAAATACACCTTACAACCTAACTTTGGGTACATCTAACTGACAAACCACATTCATGTCTGGGAATACTAAATCCGGGAACTAAAGTGAAAATTTCCTTGATAAAGTTCACAAGGAAATGAGTACAGTACTTTAAACATCAAGTTCACAAAGCTCACTGTTATATACCAGCTGTGGCCTACCATCTCTCAGATCACACACATGTAATATGCACAAAATAAAATAATTTTTTAAACAATTCACTGGTATATATCAGGCAGCTGTATCAGTGCACAAGAAAGACATTCTACAATGACAAACATGTATATAAAATGTAAGAAGTAAGCTGTGCAGAACACGTGTTTATTCATTATCCTGGACTGGAAAAGATCAAGTCCTACATAGACTGCTCTCCCTATCTGCAATGCATCGAATACTAGATCAAGTCGGACAACAAAATTTACCTCCCAATAATACCATTATTATGTCCTCTCAAGCAATAAAAAAAAAAGGTCCATTCCAAAAGGTTACTGTTCCTCTACATGATTAATTATAATGAAAGGGTCTGCTGTTTAAGCACGTTTTCATGGTCACTGTAAAACACCCACTTACCTCTTAGAGACAAATTAAGTGGTACAGACAAAGCCTTGTTCGGCTACACCAACGACAATAGGCTCGACTGGTAAGACAGTAGGTGTGGTCAAGAAAACCTGAATTATTGGATCAGGACAATAATAAATATGAAATAAATACAAAAGCTTAAAAACAATACAGATGAGTAAATCCCAAATGACTTATACTTTTTTGAAGGACTGATGACATGTAGTAAAACTCTTTTGATAATACTAAATAAAATAAATTTGTACATCTAGTGGTAAACTGTATTGCTACACCTTCTTGTGTGTGTGTGTGTGTGTGTATATTGTAAGTGTGCTTGTGTGTCGTCTACATGTGTGTGTGCATATACATGTATATGTGTGTGTACATTGTTAAGTGTGCTTGTGTGTGGTATATATATTGTAAGTTTGTGTGTGTGTGTGTGTACATGTGTGTGCGTCAATAAATCTCTTTTGTGTTTTAAGACAAGTTCACATATATCATGACTGCCCACACAACTTTGAAACAAATTTTATCTTAACCAAAAATATTTATTTCTCTTTTAGTAATATTTATTTTTTCTTTTACATAAATTTACAGGAGTCTCTAGAAAAAGAAACCTTACCTCCAGATGCATGATAAATGATTCCCCTCCACTGACAGAGAATGGTGTTCTAAAGTAGTCAAGGCCACGGAGCGCGGCTGAGGAGGCATTAACGCAGTGTCGCCATTCATGACCATATGACTCTCAAAATGATGGGGCTCCATGTCAAATAGGTCCCCAACCTAACCAGTAAGACTGAGGCCTAATGAGACAGAGCCCATTCCTAATAGATTGGATGAGGGGGCCACTTTGGAATGGGGCCCATCTGACCTGTTACCAATGATGAGGTATCAAACACCTGCCACCAAGTCGTCCTTTATTTCTTTGTTCTTTACACTTGTCATTATTAAGAGAAACAGTTTTAGAGAAAAGTAATCAGAGAGGGGAGTAGACGTGTCAGGGAGTATTTTAGTTCATTAAAAATAAATCAAACATCTGAAATAACATTAATGATTCCAAGAAGTTAACCTCCATAGTAGCCATCTTATACTGTACCAAGGTGTACAACAGCAACACATTCATAACATTATAAAACTAAAATATGCTTGTAACAGAATAGTGTGTTTCAATAGCTCACACACCATACCATACAGTGTGTCTCATAGGTCACACACCATACTGTAGTGTCTCATAGGTCACACACTATACTGTAGTGTCTCATAGGTCACACACCATACTGTACAGGGTGTGTCACAGGACACCCACTGATATGTTACACATATTTGCCCAGGATGTCTCACATGTCATACACAAGTATGGAGTGTCTCATCTGTTTTACACCAGAGGAAAATCGATGTTCTTCTCTTTTCCAGGTGAGGGAATCAAAACAAACCAAGAAAAAGTCAGCTTAATATTCATGTAGGGAAAGCCAGATGCTACACATTGATCAGTTGCAAAATAATTTAACTGACAACCACCATATGCCTGGGTGTTGTTGCTTAAGTGTTTCTGTGTACTGTATTATCTGGTCTTACATAAATATTACTTATTTTTTTCCTCTGACATTAATTTCTCCTTGATCTTTGTTTTGATTACCTCACCTGAATAAAATAAAAACACAGATTTTTCTATGGTGTAAAACTGATGAGTCACCCTGTACAGTACATGTGTATGACCCAAGTCACCCTGTACAGTACATGTGTATGACCCAAGACACCCTGTACAGTACATGTGTATGACCCAAGTCACCCTGTACAGTACATGTGTATGACCCAAGTCACCCTGTACAGTACATGTGTATGACCCAAGTCACCCTGTACAGTACATGTGTATGACCTGAATCACCCTGTACAGTACATGTGTATGACCCACATCACCCTGTACAGTACATGTGTATGACCCACATCACCCTGTACAGTACATGTGTATGACCCACATCACCCTGTACTGTACATGTGTATGACCTGAATCACCCTGTACTGTACATGTGTATGACCCACATCACCCTGTACTGTACATGTGTATGACCTGAATCACCCTGTACTGTATACTGGTTTTCATAAACCCAGTGAGAAGAAATAAAATATTGTATCTAAATAAAGAAAATGTAACACTATTGTAGAGGGTGTTCAGTAGCATAAGCCATGGACCAAAATAACCAGTGTATAATGATGTTTTGGGCTGCACTGAACATCCTGTACAGTATATCACAGGAGGCACCGCAGTACAGTACAAGTCTTACACATACCTTCAATAAAATACACACCTCACACCAGCGGTTCACCATAAATCATGGAGATATAATATATACTGTTATCAATTATGGTACTGTACTGTAGTGTATACAAATCACAGTACTGGGTAATGAATTTTCTTAAATACTGCCTAAAGCATTCTCTTCAACAGTCAGCTTGTCGGATCTGCTACCACATAAGTTAAGTCACCATCAGCTTACACTACAAACTGCAGGCAGACTAAATGATGAAGGTTGACGACGCCCTATTAGAAGCCAAGGGTGGGCTTCATGCCGACCACCTGATGGAACCAGCGCACTTATCCAAAATTATTTAATTTGTATCATTGTTCCATAAACCAAAGTACAGTACAGTAATGTACTATCCACCAATTTTAAAAACTTAAAATCCACTCCTTAAAAGTGATGCCATAAAATGCTCTATATTGCAAGCAAATGCATTTATAACCACCCTTATAAATAATAATTATGAATCTGCATGTTCTTTGCAACTATGTGTATCGATTTTGTGTAACATTATTCGTTCCTGTCCACAAAGAAAATGGAAAAAAATCAGCGCATAGCATCTGTTTTTCAGTCTTCGGTAGTTTAAAAAAATCACAGTTGTTACTTCCAATAAATTCCTTCAGTCATTTAATGATGCTTAAAAACTTTTCTTTCATTCAATTATTTCAAATGTTAGATACAAAGTATTCCCTTAAGGTGGCAAATATTTTGAACTCGTAAAAAATTGGGTGTCCTAGTGGGAAATTTATTGACTCAACAGGACTGAATCTTAATTAAATCAGCTTAGCATTTCAAGAAGACCATGGTAAATGCTAGAGAAAAGTTAAAGTGGGTCCCATAGGCATAACTACCCATTAGAGAGCGTGGACACAATACTAAAAACTTAAGTGTTTGGTACACAAGGAGGCAGCATTGCTGGCACCACAATCTGGGGCATACCTCAAGGTGTCTTACTGTTTGTCCATATTAGAATTTGTTGATGCATGATGTTTCCTTAAGATATTTTACATTATATATTAGCTTAGTTTTTTAAGGTGTTGGAGGACACAGCCCAAGTTATTTTAACCCTTAAACAGCTACCACCACTAGAAGAAGTTAGCTGTAAGAATGGCAGCTATCATCAGTTTCCTGTTCCCTGCATTCCATTTTTGCACACAGAGTATTGGGGAGGAGTAAGGAATCCTTAGGTGCCAGTCCAGGGTTAAAAGTTTTCATGTGATATTTATACAGTACAGTACTTATTCATTGTTTTAGTAATGAGCACTTGGTAGTAATGAACAATTGTGCCCATCACACCAGCTCCTCATCCTGCTTCATAACTGACTAATAAGTCTATAGAAAAGATGTACTTTCAGGGGAATTAAGGTAACATTAAACATCAAAACAATTCAAAAAGCATCAGATTCATTCATTAAGCTATTAGTTGCCAAGTCTTAACATGGAGATTCTGAAATATTTTATATACTCGAGAAAGATAATATGTTAATTCATAATCGCTCAGTCTAATGCATTTCATCATAATGGAGCTGATTACTTGCCCTTCTCTCCTTAAACAACTCCTGTGTAATGCCTGAATACACTCATCTACCTTCACTTCCCCAACTGTGAATATCAGTACCCCTTTACAGCAAGCTAGACTGGGATTACCCAAAGATCAATCCAGAGATCAGTAAGACAGGAGAGGAGCACAGTACCCACTCAGCCACCACACCAAAACAGAAAGTGTTGCACAAGGAGTAATTCTCTCAAGTGATAATCCACAAGTTTTGCTAAATGATGCCAGATACAGTACAACTATTACAGCCAGAGTAAACCCAGGATATATAAATACAGAACATAAGATAAATTATAATGTCTGAGTCACAAATATTAACTCAATGTAAGACTGTCTTCACTTTCTATCCTGTAACATCATAAAAAAAAAACCAAGGAAAAATAAACGGTAATGATAACAACGAACAAATTTTAAATCAATCCATCCAAGATTAGAATATATGTTGAGATGAAAATACCAAGGTTCACACACACACACACATCCTTTTGGGTAAATCTGGCAGAGAAATAAAATGTTCAGTTCAAGACAGAGACAACACAGTCTCTACAATACTAATGCAACACAGTCCCCTAATGACAAATGCAACATAGTCCCTACATGATTGGGGCAACATAGTCCCAACATGACTGAGGCAACATAGATAAAAAAAAATGAAGAAAAAATGTATTCACTTAACAAAGTACACATATCCACCATAACAGTTGCGCTAACCCACAAAAATCGCTGAAAAAAAGCCAAGTTGACAATGTAAACGATGAATGGCTACTATGGAAGGTAACGAAGTGAATGAAGCCACAAATACAAGCAAATCTAAGTCTCGAAAGCCATGGCAGCTCATAAACCCACGTTGTTAAAACTGGAGATCTTAAAAATGGCATGAAAACACTGTCTTAATAATAACGAACTTTAACTAGGGGGGTGGGGTGGGGAGAGGGGTGGGGAGAGGGGTGGGGAGAGGGAGAGGGGTGGGGAGAGGGAGAGGGGTGGCTAGAAACTTGTAGTTACCATACATACACTAACACAAGACAACACCATTACTGTACTCAAAATCAACACTTGCCGTGACAAAAAATAAATAAAAAGAACTTCAAATGTTTCGAAGTGATCTACACCTATTGGCCGTATACGAACAACCAGAACTATAGAGGAATATTATCCATCACTTATTAAAGCTTACAGGAGCATTTTATTGTTAGTATTATTCTCTACTGTATTTTCTTTTCCCTAGTATTTCAAAACATACCTGCCCCATGCACTGAGTAAAGGCATTCAGTGTATTGACTCATCGGCCCAACTCATCGATATATTCTTGGCACTTCTTTAAACCTGCTGTACAGTGAGTGTTTGTTTTCTGTTCTGATGTGTGAAGGAGGGGTAACAAGATCAGACACATTGATAATTACCCAAAAACTATTACAGGTAAATCACAATAAGTATCTGCAACAATGATTAAAAAATAAAAATCCTTTAACTTAAATACTAGATAAAAAAAAGTAAACTCCATGACCTACCAGTTTTAAGTCTTCTCAGCTGATAGCTTTCTCATCAGTATTTTCATAAACTCTTGAGTAAAGTGTGGCCATAATTTCACAACCTGTTCTCTAACTAAACATTAAACACCCGGGAAAACTATCAAAGTGTCCGAGTAAAAACAGACTGGGGAAAAAAAAAAAAAAAAACGAAACTAGTGAATGGCATTAAACTTACTCCCACTAATAACAACTAAAATAACTGTGCTTAAGTAAATTAATAGATGACAGCGGCTATCAACTACTGTACAAGTTTAAACACATCTTGCAGTCACCTTCCGCCGTGTGATCTCGAAAATAAAAAAACAAAAACTACAACTAGCCAAAAAAAATCAATACAGCATCTATTATACAGCCAAAAAAAAATTAATAAATAAAAAAATAAATAAAAAATTACTATATTTGCAAAAATATTCTGGGAAGAGTATTACAACTTGCCCAAAAAATTATGAGATCTAGAAAAACAGGTAAAAATTCATGAGACAAGAGTAGGTTAATGATGAGTTACCGATACAATAGACGACAGAAGAAAGCAGGAATAACAGTCAACAGAGGAAACAGATGTGATACAAGATGTGAAAATAATCATCACGATCAAAAGGTCAAATGAATTGGGGGTAAGGAAAAAATAAATAAATAAATCCGTAGCTTCTATCAAACACATGAAGATCATGTCAGGTTAAGTTAGATTGGATTAGATTAGATTAAGTAAGGTCAGATTAGGTTAAGTTAAGTCAGGTTAAGTTAAGTCAGGTCAGGTTAAGTTAAGTCAGGTCAGGTTAGATTACATTAGAACAAGTTAGGTTACTTTAGGTTAGATTAAGTTAGGTTAGGTTTAGGTCAGGTTATGTTAAACCGACCAATTTAGATCATCCTTCCTCTTCCAATTTTCCACAGTAGCTACCGTAGTAAGTCTGTGTAACTTACTTGTACTACAGGTTGACAATCCCTTATCCGAAATTCTTGCCCCACAAAAATAAATTCGGTTTTCGGATAAACGGTTGTCAACCTGTATACCCAAACTGTTAACTGGATTCACATTAAATTTCTTCCAGAATTAAATGCATAGATGAACCAACCAACTGTGGGGAGTAACTAACTACACACACATTATTTCCTTATGCCTTAGCCAGCTCATAACTATACACATGTTATTAAAGTATTTCCTGAAGTCTTAGCAAGTTCATATAGTTTATATACTTGAGAATGGCAGAAAAGTATTGGGAAAAAAAGGGTAATATAAACAAGGAAAATAAAGAGAGAAAATGCGAGACTAAGAAAAACTAAACAGGTATAGCCATCAAAAAAGTGAAAAACATAACGAATGAAAAAAGTTGCTGAACAGGGAAGAATGAGAATTGGAGGAACTAATGATGATGATTACCTAAGAAGACATTAAGTAAAATCATCCCCCAATTGTACATGCAAACTTTAATAAACATTACAGTTAGTATATCGCCGATACTGTATAATGATGAGCATAAATGTTCTTGCTGGACAAACAACAACCATCTGCTATGACTAAACAAACACACACACTGGACCCAAGTGTAAACATATGTCCTTGCATCCACATACAAACATACATCCACACATAAACATACATACATCCACACACAATTTCATATCTGCATACAAATATGCATATTCATCCCAAATCACATATATCCACATATACAAACATGCTTACACACACACGTGCTTGCATATATATCAACATCCATGATCACACAACCATATACACCCACATCCACACATACAAACATCCAAAAATTAACAAACATAGGCATCCACACAAAGAGCAATACTGTACAATAAACTATAGTTATGGTAGCATTGTGTTATCCTCTATGGCCCACCTTAAAAACAATATACATATGAAAAAAATTTAGAGTTCATAAAGTTGACATGATATTGTTTTTAGAACCCATGTGTACCTCTACATACAGAACTATATATAGATGAGTTTTAATACATACTCAAATTCGGGGTTCAAAGCTGGCATGAGCAAGACACTGGTTTTAAACACACATACGCACACAGGTTCTAAAAACATTACCTCACCAATTATGAACCCTCGATGGAACACCTTAACAAACAGCTTCACATTATGAGTTACTGTACCAAGAGTGTGCACCTGTGTGACAACCACTGAATAATAACACACCTTTTACTGAAAAAAAATACTGTACCTTCAATAGTTTATCTAATGTTGAAAACAAATATAAGTAATGGATAAAATTAAATAAGGACATCGCACTTGTAAAAGAACTACAGTACATACAAGTGTTGGCTACATTCAGTATACCAACTCAACATCATTTTAAAACCAAACATTATTGTCGTCAACTCCTTACAGCAATAAAATAAGGCAAACAAATTCTTTATATGTTAAAATTTGATAAAAAGTCATTGGAGGTTAGCAGGGACCACTGACACCAGACCCTGGCAGGCAAACAATTGACCACATCCACTCACCTGGTGAAGACCCTGTACTGGAGAAAGAATTACTAATATGTTGCCACTTACCTCAAGCGGAGATCACTCACTGCTTAAGCCTTCACTCATGCCCTGTTCGTCCACCTCGTCTCTCCGCGTCTCCCTCTCGGCTTCCTCCCTTAAGCCCTGTTGCCATCAGTAGTCACGGGGTTGTACGTGTCCTGAGATAAACATCAAAGTAATAAAATTGAAAGTGGTATACAGTACTTTAAGTGGAAAAAAAACATTTACATATAAAGTTACAATCACCATTTTATAGGCATTTTCCACACTTGTGTTGGTTTGTGCACCAAAGAACAAATGACAGGCAGCAGGTCATTGTGGACACCCTGCGTTCCACACTAGGTTACAAATATAAACTTATCTCTTACTGTGTCAAAGAATTAGTAAATTTTTGTAAGTAGACATTGCTACTTCATAAGGAGAGAACAATACCATTTTTAAAGGGTGACACTTAATCAATTTGACTAACACCAGACGATTTTATTCAACTCAGAGTGGACCATACCACTTTTTAAAGAAATTGCTCTACTCCAATTCATCATAATTCCCACATGTACATTCTCAAAAAAAGTCAATAAATAATGTACCATCCAAACACTTTCAAGTGTCTTTTCAACCAAATTTTGCACTAACATGATAAAGTAAAAACGGGCCCCATAGGCCTAACTGCCCATCTGGGATAGTGCAGAATACAACACACTATGAAAAGCTTTCAATAACAAGGAGGCAGCAGCGTAACCAGCATATACTCGAATGCTTTCAAATCCCCAACTTGCGAGGCCTGAGTGTACCAGGATCGAACTAACGACCTTTAGGAAAAGATAAGTGCTCTATCCACTCGGCCACCACAACCCTTTGCTCACATGCACTAATCATTTGGCAAATTACCAAATTCATCTCAAAATCTAAATTCGAACAGTGAAGTTGTTTACATGACAGTATCACTTATACAGCATCAAGGAGGGAACCATATTCACACTATACTGTAAAGATTTGCTATGGCAGTTTTTCACCTTAGTCCACTATTATATTCCCTTTCTTTGAACTTCTGTAAAAAAAAAAAACACACACACACACCTATAATAAACTGTAGTATATAGACATACCAAACCATAAATACTACATTGTAAAATAAGCATGAACTAAGAAACAAATCATCTAGAAATAAGAACATGGTGGAGCTGGGGGGAAGCACATGCATCTTCTATGGTGATCAAGTTAATACTGAGGGTGTAAGGGAGCAGCCAAGATACACCAGGAACTACTACTGTATTACTGTATATATGAGGAGCAGCCACCAACTATCCCTGACAATTCAAACAGTGGCACAGAAAATCCAAGCCATGATCATGGTTTGGAACAATGGTTTGATTAGAACATTACCACAACACAAGATCACCGTGGGATCTTATAAGTTTATTCACTAGCCAGTTAAGCTCATACCCTCTATACTGTACTGTACTACTCTATGCTTAAGGTGTAATAAATAAAACATTCTTTATAAGCATAGTAAGAAAACACTGCATACCTTACCTTTCTAACATGAAACAAGTGGTATACACATTAAAGAGAATATTATCCTGTAACAAGATAACTAAACATATACAGGGGACCCAGACTTACGAACGCCCGCCAATATGAGAGGGGTTCAACTTGAAATTTACAGTAGTTTATTTACCGGAGGACTTATTTTTTACTTTCATATACTGTACAGTATTTTGTCATTCTATTTCTTTTGTCTTAAATTAAGTTAGAGGACTTAGACTATGATATAGTGGGATTTTAAACGTTGTTCTGTAAGTACAGTATGCACATAGCCGTGTTTCGACTTATGTAAAAATCCGACTTAAGAACGTCCTCGGGAACGTAACCCGGGGACCCCCTGTAATGAATCGTGACCTTGGTGTACCAGCTGGCCACCACATGGTCACCTACTTCCTGCCTTGCACATTCAAGATATTTCTATTGTCAACATTGTTTTGCTAAGGTAAGCTTCAATACTTTAGGTTTCCTGTAATGTCTTGCTCGATCTACTGTCAATGGCACTTCAACAATGGCCTTCTCTTAGACCTGCAAACACCACATCAACTTTATTTTTGGGTTTATCTTATTTATGTATAGTACATGGTACATCTCTTCACTGTCTTTTATCTTAATTTTCATTTATTTATTTATTTATAATTTTCTCTTAGTTCTCGGATGCCATTTTCCCCTAAACATTAAAGTATTAACATCCTCGGCTGCAACATTCACATCACTTTCCAGGAACATAACTCCCCAGAATGTTGAGGTCCACCTTTAATACAGTACATATACTCTACAAAAGCAGATATTTAATAACATAAATGCAACCTACTTAATAATTACCATTCTCCTCCCTGTATCTTCTGCGTTCGTGATCACGGCTATGAGACCGATGATGTCTGAAAGAAGTTTGACTGTTAGAAAGAATAATATAATTTCCTCTTGCCTCTACAGTGGTATACAGTACTGGGGAATTGGGAAGCACTTCTAACTTGTCCACATAATAATACAGGGCCTCTCAATAAATTTATACACACTACCTTACAGATTTCCGTGGAGATCACGAGAATGCTTGGAATACCGTACAAGCATTCACACAGTCTTCACAAAAACCTGTAAGGCAGCATATATACATATTTTTCTGAGACACCCTGTAGATTTGCCTAAATTCTAACTCTCGTTATCATGTAATTGCACATCATAGTTTCTATTTATGGTACTGTAATGGCCGGAGTAGTCTAAACAAAAGAGGATACATACACCCTAAGACTCACCTGTCCCTGTCTCGTCGATCTCTGTCCTTTGAGTGAGAGCTTCTGTAACTCCTCTCTCTGCTACGAGATTGTCTTCTCTCTCTGCTGCGAGACTGACGTCGATCCCTCCGGTCGCGCTCTCTGTCCCGGTCTCTGGTTCTTTCACGCTCTCTGTCTCTCTCTCTACTACGATCCCTTCTCTCCCTGTCGCGCTCTCTATCCCGGCTAAAACAACACAATATCTCATGTATTATCACAGTTAAAAAGAGGCCAAGATAAATTGATCATCACCGATAAATTCTGGAAAATGGTTGGAAATATTAGCACAGATGAAATCACTATTCAAACCTAATCTTACCTTACACAGCATGCATGTCTTATACAGTCCCTATAAGAGGATAGGTGGTGGACAGCTGGCATCAGTAGGTCAACAAGAATCCTTACATCAGTGTTGGTGTCAAGAGATAATGTTAGGATAATCCCTATATCTCCTGGGAGGTAGTTTACTTTGAGAGATGATAAGTACAGTACATCTGAGATCTATCAAGAAGACCTCTAAGTGATCATAAATTTATACATCACACTAAGGATTAACATGTATGGGCGACACCGAGGGTAACTTATCTGTTATACTTACCTCCTTCGTTTTCTTTCTTCTTCTTTCTTCCGTCTATCTTCTCTTTCTTTTTCCTTGCGTTTCTCTTCTTCTAGCAATGCCTTACGTCTCTCCTCCCGTTCCTTCTCGCGTAGTAGCTCGCGCTCTGTTCTTGCCTTTTCACGACTCTGGTGAGTTGGAGTACGTAAAATGATGAAACACAGTCCAGTACAGAGATCACAAAGAAAATATTTATGTTCTTACTGCTAGCAGCTTAATTATACAACAATCCATGACAATACCTAAGCCTGCAGAATATTTGTGAAAATCACAACACAATATTTTAATAATTCTCACAAGTTTATGAACATCATATAATAGTTCCCTATCAAAATCAACTATTACTTCACTGACCCCTTACAGTCCACGAAAATAAAATGTAACACCACCACATACCACTTCCCTATTACAATCAACTAGTTTACAAAGTCCTCACATCTCTGATTTCCTGGATGGCCTGGCGGAGTTTGGCAAACCCAACGTGCTGTTTGCCCGTGAGGTGATCATCGATTCTTTGCTGGGCGTCACCCACGATGAGGAATGCACCGCACACCTCACACACTTCCATTTGCTTCTCCTGGGAAGCAGCCATCTCTGCTGCCTGAGTGAGATAAGGGCTACCCTTAACAGGTATCATGTATTTAAGTCAGTCATATATATACATGTTAACCCAGTACAGTATAAATATTAAACTAAACCCACTATAAATATTAAATTGAACCCAGTCTAAATATTAAATTGAATTATGTTTAAGTAAATACAGTGTTCTCTAAAACAGTACAAATACCGGTACAGTATATTCAAAAGAAGTTAAGGAACCTTCTCTTCTTAGAAAGAAGAGATTATTCAAACTTTCTTAGGTGCACCTTTCTTTACTAGCAAGATGTATTAATTACTTTACAGCCCCTAACACTCCACACCCAACAACACTTAGGTGCACCAAGCTTTTGGTCTAACAATAAGTTCTTGATAACTCAGAATATTCTTGACATTAACTACTGTATCATACATAACTGATAAGTGAACAAAGCATGGCATCTAAAATATGTCAACCATAAGGATCATTTGTATAATATATTAAACTGTCAGATTAATTAAGGAATCCAATATATATACAGCACACACACACAAACATACACACCTGGCTTTGTCTAGGTAGAGGGACAGGAGACAGTGCACACCAATAACCTATGCCACCCACACCTCCCTACCCTCTTATCTTCAAAACTGTGGGCTGATTTGTGGATGGGGTCCTTGGTCAGTCCCCTTGGGGAGGGATAGGAGATGGTGCACAACCAGCCCCTAAGCCACCCACACCTTCCCACCAAATTTTAGCTCTCTTTCTTTAAAAATGTGTAAATGCATATGGAACAGACACAGATATACACACACAAAATGCACATTATGTAATACTGTATATAAATATATAATGCAAACTCAGCCAGGGATAGACAATCATTTTAAAGATCTGTAAAGCACCCTACATAAATACTATTAGCATTATTAAGATTTTAATCACAAATCACCATAAATAAATGTAATCCACTGGTAGTCAATCCTCCCTCCCTCCCCTTGCTCCTCTCACTAAATACCAAAGTTACTTAGCCTCCAGATGCTCACTTCAACACTCCATCACTAAGTGCAATGGTAGATGAAAATTCTAGTGTTTTCATATTTATACTTCTGCATGGCATCTCATTAATTTTGTATGAAAACTGTACTGTATAATGTACAGTATTTAAAAATTTAATACAAAATCAAATTTCTTACACAAAGGTGGTAGCCATGTTTTCCCCTAGTTTACATAAGTGTTAACGTTCTTCATACCTGGTGTGGTGACTCAGTTCACATAATAAAAATATGAACAGACAGTGATATAATATCAGGGTCGCCGATCACCCTCGTTTCCACAGACTAATGCAGAGTTAGGGTTAAAAAATAATGACTGTACACCTCATCTCCCAAGACAGATTCCATACAGTACTGTGTGCCTGAGTCTTTAGCTCTTAACATTCTTAAATAATCACACGAGGAAACTACGACAGAATTTTAGTCATTAAAAAAATAATTTTACCTGATGCCATACAGAGTTTTCACTACTGCGACGGAGTGCGTCTCTCTCTTCTCTCAGTTGATCACACAACTTCAGCAAACCTTGTGCTTCTTCAACATTGCCTTCCGACCCTAAACGTTCAGCTTCACTGACTAACCCAGTTATTCTCTCAGAGAGAAGCTCCAGTTGCTCATCAACACGTCCATCACCAGTGGTGCTGCTATCCTGTAAAATAAATATTTCCATTACAAACTTTTCTTCAAGCCCTTTCCTGCTTAATGCAAGGTGACCAGAACAAAGGTAAATATTGTACTGCACATAAATATTTTCTTTCATTCATTAATTCACTCTCACTGTTGTACAGTATGTGTTCTACTATGGTACAGTAGTCAGCTTCCACAACAACATCCACAATCTGGTTTACCTGCCACTTCACACAAGCAATAATCACCCAATAACAGAACATCTTTCCTCAAAACTCACTAATGACATTTTCTCCGCTCATTCATGTATGCTACTGCCTTCTGTATGTCCATTTCCTTCACTTCTAGCCCCCCCCCTCTCCCCCTACCATCCATCTCAGACTTATACCAGCATATCATTTTTTGTTCTCCAAATAGGTAAAAAATCTCTTATATCGTCATCTAACACTTTCACCTTCACATCAAATTTCTGTATTTTTTCAATCTTGCTCTTCTATGTAGCTACTACCCCCAACAAACTGCTCTTTAACATATCAATTGTCACTTTTAATTGACCCATTCCTTTTTCATCCTAAGTTCATACATCACACAAACACACAGGATGCTTATGTCCCAGACCTTTGAATCCCTGGACTGTATACAGTAATATCTCTGTTAGCCAGAACAATTGGTACAGAGCACTTCCACGAATGAGAGATTTCCGGGTAAAAAAGCGGCTCCCTCAAAGCCAGAAACAAAAAAAAATCCCCATCCCCAGAATTTTCCAGGTATCAGGAAAATTTTTCGGAATTTTCTGGAAAATGTGCCCCTCGGAAAATAGTTCCCAAAGACGGAAATTTCCAGGTTTGGGAACGATTTTCAGAGAAAATTTCAATTCCAGCTATCAGAGAGTTCCGATGTCTGAGGGCTTCCGGCTAACGGAGATATTACTGTACACGTATACTCCAGTAATATCAACATGACATATTACAATTACACAACCACAGATGTATTTTTAATTGTCGATGACTTGTGTCAGTAATACATACAATAAATACAGTTGAAGACCATAGTTTGGAATACATTGTAACATCAACAATTACGGCTGCACAAATGAATAACTCACCAATGCTTCCTTAACTGATAGAGACAGACGTTGCTTCCCTTTTCTTATTCTTTTATCAACATCGGTGAGCATAGATTCAGCGTATCTGACGAATTCATCTTCGAAGGCAGTGCGGCGATAGGAATTTGACGCTTCAAATTCTCGCTTAAGGTCCTCATCGTGAATGTTCTGAGGAAAACAAAACCAATATATATATATATATATATATATATATGATAAGTTGCAGATTTGGGGAGAAACTACACAAGGTGATTCAAAAGTCTGAAATAATTGGAATGATTTTCAATTTGTTCTTTTCATACTTCAGAAAATAAGAAAACAAGACTGTACTGTAATATACCAGTCAAGAGAAGGTGGTGCTTGTGTTGTTGCAGGTCTCCAGAAATAGTCAAGAGGAGATCATGTCCAATAGTACAGTATTCCACAAAAGACATCCTGTACAGTTCAAACTTATGATGTCTTTGATGGAATACTGTACCTAGTAAGCACAGGTTCCACCTCCTCTTAATTGGTATAATTCACCGCTAGGGTCTTCGTGTTTTCTGAAATATAGACAACAAAACTGAAAATAACTCCTATGATTACAGACTTTTGCCTCGAGTATACAGTACATACAAATATATAGAGGTAACATGGCTCAGCAAACGGCAGTATGAGCCATGTGTACACTCACTCTAAAGAGTATTTTTACGATTTTGTGAGACAATACGACAACGATGACCACTCTCAACGGCAGCTACAGGTCACACTTATGACGGCTTTGCTAAAAACCAAATTCATACATGAGTGGTTTACTTGTTTACTACCCAAATTTTGTGTATCAAAGCTAAGGTTTAGATGTACCTGGATACACATACTTTTCATCTGTCCCACATGTACTATACAGCAATGCATTTGGGGGGAAATCTTGAAGGCCAGAGCACTACTGGATGTCAAGACTTCTTGACATGTAGTGATAACAGTACTTTCTGTAGTGATAACAGTACTTATATCTTCAAACAAAGTTTATATAAAGATTAAAAACTCCAAAACTGCTTCCAACTATTACAGGATGTTCATGCAGATTTCATAGGAAATTACATAATGTTGGATAAACATGTTTACAAAGAGAAGTTAAGTGTACGTATTTTTTTAAGTCAAGTATGTGTATAATGGTAAGATACATCAAATACCTTGCCAATTGTAAGTTCTCATAAAGTGCCCAATTTATTAATACAGGTACAGTACAGTATCTGTACAGTACTATGGTACACCACGAATAGAGAGGCAGATGACATCATTTATGTTAAATTATTTTTTTATTTGTTGCTTCATATATTTCATAAATACTGTACATACTTGTAATACAAGCAGCTAAGTATCATTGATGCTTACGACTGGCATGAGACCTCAGAAAGGCGTTTAATAAACCCATTCATGTGTGGGGAACTAACTCCGAACATCTAAGAAAATAGCCGTAAGGATAATGCCATGCACAAACTTGCCATTAGTTGCACCTTAATATATGTAATAACAATCTGTATCAAATTAAAAATCTAAAAAAAATTAGTTCTAATTACAGTACTGTAATTCATATTTAACAATACAGTATTTCCACAGAAGATAATCAACACTTACCTTCTCACAAGGACCGAGGTCTGATTTAGTGTTGGTGAAGAGGTCATGAGGGCAGAACTTGACTAAGAAGTGACGGCACACCTGGCACAAAGAAATATAATACAGTGAGCATAAAAGACAACAGGAACACCTTCCTCAACAAGAGAGAAGAGTTTACAATCTACTCAAGATCCATCAGCCTGATATAGTTGATACTACAGAACTTGTAGGCAAGAGTAGAACTGTTTTTGATGAATTAGAGTTTAATATAGGTGACTACGATTCATTATGAACTTGTCAGAGGCAAAACGAGGGGTAGTTATTCATTCAACAAAACAACCTAACCTTGGCTAGGTATTGTTTGGTTGGCTTAGTCTTCTTAAATAAATTATAAGCACTATTTACAGGTATCATTGTAGCCTCTATATACCTGTTATACCTGCATTTGTCTGTAGTATATAACAGTACATATCAAACCATCTGTAAACTTGTATGATGATTTTACTGAATATATTTTATCAATATTACTATTGATACTCTATTACAGTTATTCAAAACAAATGTCTCATAACCATTAACACTTCTGTTCAATATACACAAAAAACAGCAAAAAAAATTTAACACGTTTGTATTGAGGGTTTGTAGTAAATTTGGGTAATTTTATCGTACCTGTAGTTCACACAACATAGCTACCCCAAATCTATTATCGTATTTGAAAAAGACGTCTAATTTTAAGATCATTTTCTTCTATTACATTACCATCAGAAACGTATAATAACGGAGACTGAGCATGACAAATCTCTCTTATTTAATTCCATAAATCTTCCCTTCATGAATCATCATGCGCATGCATTCCCGTACACGTCACGCAGTCAATCTAAAACTTTTTTTTTTGCCACCAATTAAAATGAATTGTGGTGTCTGCTTTTAGAATTTGCAGTATTTTTTGCCCAATCAGATTCGATTGTGATTCAGGTTAGGTTGGGCCAGGTCAGGCTGGGTCAGGACATCCAAAATAAGGTTAGGTTTATATGTTCTAGTGTTTTTTGGTGTTTTGTATTCACCTGGCCCCACCCAAAACCCAGGTTCCCAACAGGGCAATTTTCGACGGAAATCAAGGTCAGAACCAATCAAAAAACATACACACACACACATAAACACTAGAAAAACATAATTTGACTTTCTGACAGAGTTGTGTGAACTACTATAAATTTACCTCAACTTTTTCTTAGTCTAATAACATTCCAACAAATAACAAGGTTTTACAGTAATTATTGTATAACCAATTTGGTGATATTGTCCTGGACAGCAACTTGTACCTAAAAAACTCTGTATTGTACCCACAAACGTTTGGCATCGACCAGCAACAAATGATTTATCAGAAATAAGATAACACTAAATAAGCCTGACCTAACCTACCTGTCCTAGGATACAAGTACAGTACATTATTTTAGGTTTGGTAGGTAGTATACCTGTTATCGTCTTAACAGTTCACATGGAAAGATTGCTGGGAAGGATTTGGCTACTAAGCATTTGGACCGCTCGCTGGCAAGTGTCATCAGTTTAACCATAAACACAACGTCCACACTTCTGCGGAAAGTATTCCCTCAATTACGATAATTCTTTAAAATTAAAATAACTCTAGAAAAAACCACAAGTATTTAAGCAACAATTCCTCCAACTTTTTATTTGGGATATTCAAGAGGGAAGGAACAAGTTATCTTTTATGAACATGTAAACTATTACCCAGTCTCTTCTCAGTACCTACCAACATACCTGACAACTGTGGAGTATAAAGGTTACAGAATATATCTACATCCTATCTATCTACAACACAAACCTATATAGAAAACTCAAGACGAAATTGGTGGGTAATTTACGAGCATTTTTGTAACTACAGTCCAGTACGACCATTACTACATGTACATCCCCTAGAGACTTTATAAGTGGCGAATGAGTAAGGATTCACCTCATTACTGATAAAAATAACCATGTTTACAATATCCTCTAACTGAAAAACAAAAAACACATGTTTACAATGTCCTTTAACTCATAAACATAAACAAAGCCAAATAGTTTGTTTTTCCCACACGATGGAGGTCTCGTCCTCAAGCGGGCACCACCACAATAACCCATATTTCCTTTATTTGGCACCTGAGACATATATTTTGTCAATCATATTAAGGAAAAATGTCTTACATCCGGTGAATCCCAACTGAGCTGTTGATTTCTCTCCTCGGGCAGGACATTTCTGGCTCTTCCCATCAACTCATCGAGCAGAGCGGCCGCCGCCTGAGTCGCCATCTTGTCCACACATGGAGCTGCTCCCAGTGTTGGAACCTTAATATATTCTGTAAAATGCAATAATATAACAAATAATAATGGTAATATTAACTAAAGTAAAAACAATAATAAATATAATAAAATAATAATAAAATAGTGTAATAAAGGTTTTAGTAAAGACATGTACCTGTGTAATAACATTTATAACAATAATATTTTAAAATTTTCCCCTTTAAATAACATGAACCAGCATTACTGAAACCTAACAACACACTAATGAGACTGACTTAATTATACATTCTATATAAAAATATTAAACTTTAGGCAATATTAGATTGTCAATAATATTCCATCGTTGTTGTCTTCATAAAGAGTTTGCCGCGTATTTTTTATTTTGGGGGGAAGGGAGCATTATAAATGACTCGAAAACCTCCCCTGTGTCAATTATTGGATCGATTTGTATATATCCAAGATTAAAGCATAAAAGTTTGAAGCAAAGTTTTAATTAAATACTCAAGTAAAGCAGTAGTCAATTGCATAGTTTGGGCAGGAAAACCCCTGTTTGAGCCCCAAATCCTCATCAGAGATAACGACCCTTTATTGCTTGCCGTAATAATACGTAATTAAATAAAAAAATAACATCAATATCGCTTAAATCTAGGTTAATATTTGTTAAAAATCTACTTATTAGTGCAAATATCAATTATGAATAAGAATCTCAAATTGTCAGGTCTTATAGTTGAGCAGTTCTGGGACTCGAGTGTTTGAGGTCCGGTACCAACGCTTGAGAACACTTTAACATATTGAACAGCGGGAGTGAGTCTATAAAACTGAAACTAAAATTGCTGTAATATATTTTAGAGGCGCAGATCTGTAGCTGTTTAAAATACTTGTTTTTGGCCAGTTACTCAAAACACAGAGCAACTAAGATAATTCCGGAAATATCCCTTCGATTATCCATCCAAGTACACATCCAAAATCCTAAAAGCCAATTGGATTTAAAACGTGAACTCGGAACATTTTTATGTGATGTCACTTGTCACGCGCCACCAACACGACAGGACATAACTACAAGATCGTCAAGTTATCATGCAGAATTAATATAAGGAAATACTCTAATATTTTTCACAGAGAGGCTGGTAGACTTATGGAACGGTCAACAACAGTACTGGGCTTCAAAATAGACCTTGACAAAAAAACCAAGAACAATGGAGGGATCTTACACTCCTTCTCTTGGTATGGCCAACTCTAGGGGATGGCCATTAGGTAAATAAGAATACTTTGCTATCCCGTTTGGCCTCAATGGCTATCCGTCTCAAATTATACCTGCATGTTTCACCTGAATTAATACTTCTCCGGTCATCTTAACTCAGCTTTTAGTTAACCTGGTGATAATTTAACCTAATTTAACCTAACCTAATCAAACATAACATTATCTAACCTAAGGCTAACTTAGCCTAATCTAATCTAACCTAACATAGCATAACCGAATCTAACCCGAGGATAGCCTAAGCTTATCTAATATAACCTAATAACAAATTTAACCCCTATGGCTAACCTAATCTAACCCAGGGTTAACCTAACGTACTTTAACCGGTGACGAAGAGTCCTTACCAAGCAAGGTCTACCATATTGAAGGTTTACATGAGCATGTTCGTGCAATAAAATACGATTAATATGTAACACAGCCTAACAGGAACTAAGAAACGCACAGAATAAAAGTTTGTGAGTAATCTACAAGATAAGATATGCTGCAACACAACTCTAATAGTTCTTATCAAACGTCACTACACCTATTACAATTATTAACACCACAGACTAACAATTAATATCTTAGTTTCAAAGTTTTACACAGGTAGGTCCCAAAAAGAGTGTGGTGCCAACTTTGAACACTTACGGGTGTCGTGTAGCTGAACCTCGTAGTAAATATTAGAAGACTTTTGAGAGTTTCATCCAAGGTTAGCCCCAGCATCTAGGTCAAAATGTGGATAAAATATTTGATTTACGTTATTCTCGTGCTGTGTTATATATTCTTACATATTGAGGACTAATATATTATAGTTTACTCTCTCTTGAAATGTTATTATAAAGAAAAACACACAAGTTAGAGATTGTAATATTGTTGTTTAATATCGGTTCATGTACGTTATAGTATTAGTATATGATATATCTACTCATATAAAAGAATTATATATAATAATATATCACGATTTGAAACGATATAACAGATAATAATAGAAATTAGAGGCGACAATGAGATAATTTCATCTTGTATCCATATTCCAATGACGTCAACGCGCATCAGTGTTGGCGCAGGCAGAGGCAGACATTGCTTGGCAGGAGTTGACGTGAGCGACATCTCTGTAAATTGTATCCAAATTTACCGCTAAGTGCCCTTTTCCAACCTCCATTCCTCAACCCAACCCACACTGGAATACCAAAGATGATTTTACACGCCAAATTAGCATTATGAGGTAAGTTTAAACCCCGGATATCGAGTGAAATAATGAGCTGGACATCTTGAAAATCCCATTTTGTTTAGAGTTGTGAGAGAGAGAGAGAGAGAAGCATCGCTGGGAGAGTCGGATATCAGGTGGATGATGGACGTGCTCTATCACCTCTGCCATTATCTTGTGTTCAACATCCACTACTCACTCTGTTTATGGAGGCAAAATATCAAGGATAAATCGTTTGGAAGAGAGAGAATATATCGTGCAATGTGAATCATCATCATCATCTCTTGACTGTACGTGTAATATTACTCTCTTACATATATACTACCACCATTATCTTCTCCTCGCCTCTCGCTGATATTTAACTGGTACATTATTGACAGGAACTGTGGTAATATTTTCTTGTGTATTTGTCTCAATGTGAATCCTTATCCAAGATTTATTACGTGCATTATAACTAAGGTGTACTGTACTAGTACACAGTGCTTATCTTATCTACACCACAGTATTAACCATAAATTTTAAGATAACTGAGAATAACTTGTGTAGGTATGTAAAGTGAGTCATGAACGTCATCTATTGACTTTATATATATATATATATATATATATATATATATATATATATATATATATATATATATCACCATGCAAGTTTTCATTGGTTCAGCATGTATGGTACATAGTGTAGGTATACAGTAGACAAGGTAAACACTAGGTATATAAAATACAGAGTGTAGGTATATAATTCATTGTAGATATACATTTTACATTCAGTGTAGATGTACAATACAGTATTCCTGCATAGTATACGGTATACATAGGCACCTAAGGAATATGTTACCAGAGGTCACTAGTGTAGGTTGTGTGGCTCTCCTTGAATTTAGTCCTAGAGTGTATACTATACAGTACATAGAGTAGGTATACAGTACATGAACAGTGTGGATATACAATGTACATAGTCAATATTAGAATACAATATACTTATCCATTGTAAATATTCAATGCACATAATGTAGATTTATATGCATTGTATGCCTATACTCTTAATGTACATTGTATACCTGCATTTGCACTGTATACTTACACTTTACATTATTAGTATACCAGCCCTGTCTATGAACATTGTTTGTATACATACACTAGACATTATTTATATACCTTTACCGTCTGTGTACATTGTTTATATATGTACTTTGTATGCCCTGCACTATGTATCTTGTTTGCATGCCTGCACTGTCCATTAAAATTTATACCTACAATCTATGTACAGTACATTGTATACCTACCTTGTTGGTATGCCTCCACACAGTGGTGGAGAGAACATCATCTGTGTGTCAGCAACAGAAACAGTGCTGGCTGGAGATTTTTGGCAAACTTTTTATTTTGACTGTACTGTACTTTGTATACCTGCACTGTCCATGCTTACTTTTGTAGACCTGTACTCTCTACATTATATTAGCTCACTAAGTCCATTTTTGCTTACCTACACTTTCTAGACATTTTTGTGTGCTGTCACTGTCTATACAGTATACATGTTTGTATACAGAACCTGCACTGTCTGCGTCTGTTGTTTGAATACATTAACTATATATACGTACTATATATACATTGTTTATACAGTACCTTCACTATGTTTATTGTTTGTATACATTCACTGTTTATAAACATACAGTACAGTACTATACTGTAGTCTGTACTGTGCTGGCTGAACAATATTTTCTATCCCTACATTACCTGTGTTCACCCGCTCCATAAAGTATCCTAAACGATTTTGAGACAATATGATAACGGTCAAAGGATTTTGATAACCCTACCGAGACAACAGGAATCAGGGTGTTCATTTTGAAATTCGTCGGACCCTTCCTTAAAGATACTTTTTGGAGTGAGTGTACATATGGTACTAAAATAATGTGAATTTGTATGACAATTTTAATGACTATACAGTATTGTTTAAATATGCATCTATCAACTGTGACAATGTTTGTCTGGTACTGTAATCATCATATGTGCATTTTTTATTATTGTCTTGGCAGAACCTGTGACATAAGTCTCACCAGGTGTAACACTTTGATGAGGCTGAGAATTATTTGTATAATTTGGGATAATTTCACATGATTTAACACACACACACACACAGTATAGAGAAGAATTAACAAACAAGGAGTTCACTCATACAGAAGATATGTTGTGAGAAAGTTGTGATAAATGGGTATTTCCGTTGTGAGTGATAGCAGTTGTCAGATAACTTGCATCAGTTTGACAGGAACATAACATGGCCATGTCAGATTATGTCTTCACTGTCCATGTTGTAAATGTGATGTTATTTTATCTATTTGTTGGGAGGGTTGTGCATATGAAGATGTGTGTTCCTTGTTTTGTGCGTCTGAAGGAGATGTGTGTGTGTGTGTTCCTTGAGCTTAATTATAAATGGATCATAAGTTGCATTAAATAGTTTACACCTGTGGATACACAAGAGAACTATAATGTAGTACATTAGTTGCTTTATAAATTAGTGATCAGAATTTATCACTACATGGTATAGTCAAATGTGATTAGGATGTAAAAGTACAGATGCCTAAATGGCCAGTTCACAGTATCTATTGGTAAGTATGACCCCTTGATAGTCAGGATTTTTTTATTTTTTTTTTACCGGGGATTAGCCCACTCGAGCACAGGTCACTGACCCACATCGGGGCCTGGGGGGGGGGGCGAAAGTGTAATAATAGTAATAATAATAAAGATCCATAAAGAAATACAAAAATAAAAAGATATCAAAAGTGAGAAACAATATATGTATGTTGTGTTGTCAATAGTAAGAGAAACAATTGAGACCCTGCAATTGTGTGTAAATGAGGCAGAAAGTCAGATCAGCAACCTGGGACTTGGTTACAATTTTCGTGATGCCATGTGGCAGCAGGGTCTACCATAGATAACACATTATGCTTTACAAACAGAGACCTGAGTTCCATGAGCTGAGCTGTACTGAACAAACAGGGCCGTACAAGCAGTGTAAACTACCCTGTACGTATCTATTGTTAATGGGAATTTAAGATTTTTAGACTGATTTTTTTTATTATTATTTTTAGATGGAAGGCACATAGACTGAGATGATGAGAAAGACGGCCAAGTCTCGGTCTACTGAGAGCTCTGCTGCTGCCGAGCGTTTAGCTGACTACAAGGGAGATGTGAGTGGTTTTTTTGTTTTGTTTTATTAGTGTGTTAGCCAAGTTCTTTGAATGTCAACCCTGATTTACTGACTAAACCTTTTGATTAACCTGCACTTACTCAGTTCATGAGAAACATTTGAGGTTTTCCTTTTTTATTCCTTCACTGAGAGCAAAGTGGCTAGAAAATTTTCTTCCCAAACTCTTCACCTTTGATCATCGGTCATCATCGGTGAAAGTTCGCTGTAGGGACGAGGACGGCAGCCATTATCAGTGGCATTTAGCTGTAGGGATGGGAGTCGTTTTATGTGTCTTGTGTTCCAATTTTACACACATGGGAATCCTTACCCTAGCTGCTGTTTCAGGGTTAAGATCTATTACAATACCAGTGCAGGAAATATTTTAGTATTTAACTTCATTATCACACAGTTGAAGCAGATGATGGCTGTTCTTACCAGGAGAAAATATGCATAATGAGGCTTTCAGAATATTTTATTTGAAAAGGTACCTGTAGTTTTTTCTCAAAATTGGCTTGGGAGTAGCACCTGAACATTATGGGCCAATATCTCACATTTCACATGGCACAGTACAGTACTATGGGGTCCAATATCTCATTTTATGTAGTACAGTACAGTACTATTGGGTCCAATATCTCATTTTATGTAGTACAGTCCAGTACCAAGAGGATCAATACAGTATCTCACATTTCATATGGTACAGTAGCTGATTGGGTTTACTTGTTTATACAGGGTATGTGTGTGTTGGGGGGAGGGGGTATTTTTTTGTGCATTTGTAATAGGAATTTCATCTCTTACTATTAATAGAACAGTTATGAAAATTTTTCTGTATATTTAATGGGGTGAAATTTTTTACCTCCAAACTCTGAAGTGATAGTTTATACCTCTCAGGAGCCGTGTTAGTCTGTTATGGTTGTCACCGTACAGTAAAGCAGCTGTAGTATTGCAGCGTGTCTTGTAGGTGGCCATGTGGGTATAGCACTCGCCCCTTGTCCTAAGGGTCAAGCCTGTCTGGGGCACTTCTTGTCTGCCCAGCTGCAAATAGGTACAGTACTGTACTTAGTTTACTGTTGGAAGAGCAAAGTTAAGTGCAGTGTCAGCCTTACTTCCTCCTTGCTTACCAAAGTGTGCTGTATTTACACACTCCCTAGTGTGCTGTCGTCCCATTTGGACCCATTCTATTTTTCACTAGGGGGTCCTTGAGTCTTTGGACAGTACATTCTCGTGTCAGGTTTGGTTAATCTTTTAATTTTTTTGGGTAGAGCAATCATTCTTCCTTTCCTACATTACTGTTTGCCTCCAATGAAGGGGACCAGTATGGCAGGTGCCCCGATACACTGTGACTACTTAGTTACCACCCATTAAACCAAGGTGGCTATTCATCACCACTCTCCATTGCCTACATTTCATTTTAATGGGTTTATTATTTACAAACTTTTCAGGGGACTGTCAACTAAACATAGTAGAGGTGAAGTTTAAGATCACTAGATGTGAGCTACCCCACACCCAGCTGTTAATAAATATTGGTAGGTAGCTCTGGGCCACTCATTCCTGGGGACAAGTTAAAAGAAGTGGTGGTGTTATGTCCAGTTTCTCTCTCAGGCAGCATTAGTTAGTACATTATTATCATCTACCATTTCTTATGTATTCATATTGAAACTGTAGTGGTTGTTTTTAGAATGCCATGTAATTGTTTCAGTTGGGTACTGCGTGTGAGGATCAGGGAGGAGGTGGGTGCTGTAGCAGTGGCGGTGGAGGCAGCGCCAACTCTGACAATCCTCCGGCCTCCAGCCCGGCTACTACCAACAGTGGTGGAAGTAGTACACCAGTCAGTTCACAAAAGGAAGGATCTCAGCATACACAACCAACCACGGCCAACCAACACAGTTCTTCATCCTCCACAACGAAAGACCTCAGTATAAAGGGCATGAAGGTGAGTTCGGTACAGTAGTGTCTAACAATGAAAAATGGTGGAAATCTTTTTGGAGGTTTTATAGATATGTGTCACCTATTTGATAGTTTATTATTAATAGCATAAGTCCTTTCCTGCTATATAGTAGTACAGGTGTGATGTTTGTCACAGTACAGCACCAGACTAGCTGTTATATTGGCTTGTCCAGAAGAGCAGAAATGGCCTTAAAAAATGACACTAAGTATTCATATGTACTTTAAAACAACAAATTAAACAGGAATACTATAAATATATACTAGGTAAATTAATGTGGAAATAGTACTGATTTTACCTATTTTCTCCCTATTCATGATCTTTTTATTACTGAGTATATTACTGTACCTGACTTATCCATTACTATGCAAGTTTTGTGTAAAACAAATTTTCCATGTACTGTATATGAACCACTAAAGTGAACATAAAAAGTTGTGAAATACTGCACAATAACTTGTGATTAATCTCAGTCCCCCCACCCACTCCCCACCACCCACCACCACTACTTATCAGCTTGTTAGTCATTCGGACTGTGTGTTATTTGTTACCTTGTTATGACTTTTATTGTTCAGTGTTGGTCCAGGAGGAAACTGGAGAACCCGGAGAAGACCTTCCACGTTTGGTAGTGTAACACTGAATAACACTCTTCTCACATCTGTTCTGGACTGGGGATTGAACCCAGGATGGTAAGAGATGAGATACAAGCATTACCACTGTACCACTGAGATTAAATTATATATTTTTGTGGATTAATATAATGGCAATATACCTACTGGAGTATCCCTAGTAGAATGTTCCAGATGTACAGGTGTTGGGTGGTACATTAATAACTGAGAGTTCATAGTTACTGAACAGTGGTACAGTACTGGTATTTCTTTATCAAAACTTGTACTACCTGTACCTGTATAGGACTCAGAGCAGTTTTAGATGTAAAGTAGATGATTAAATATGATTTGTTTAATTTAATTTGATTGTTTACTAAGTTTTTCTTCCTCCACAGGAGAAGAAGTCCTCTACAAGCTCTTTGGTCTCTGGGGACAGCACAATGGTAAAAGTTGTGAGGGTTTTGGTTGATGATTGTAAACCCAAGCCAACAACCAAGAAAAATAAACCCATACAAGCTGATCTAGATGTCTCCAAGGAATTCAACAGGTACGTTCACCCACGAGGAACTTCGTTAATTATAATTACTGTACATCCCCAAAGAAAGAAGGTTAACCTTGTAAATAAATATATTTGTTGCATCACTCAGAGTTAATGTAGTTTACCCAACCTGTTAATGACGTACACCATGTTAAGCCACAGACCAGAATCAAGATCAAACAGATCCTTCATTAGTGACTTCTCCATTGTACTGTATGTTTCATTAAACGTTTCTTTACATTGACATATGGATTTTAGCACATTCATTTATAATACTGCATCACTATTTGAAATAAAAAAAATTAATGTGATTAAACTGATGTGTCAATGTTCAGCACCATTTAACAAAACCTACATTCAAGAATTGATATGTACAGTATAAGCTTGACCAAGGTTTGCCATTTCAGCAGTTATAATGAAATTGAAAAATAAATATTCCTATGATAAACTTTTTGATAGGTCTGTACATACATCCATCCATCCATCTATCTATCTATCTATCTATCTATCTATCTATCTATCACCCCAGCATAACACCCACTCCACAGTTGTGTAATAATTAAAAATGGTTTATAGATGCAAGGATGATGGAGCCCAACGCTTGGACCTCAGCAACTCTAGCATCAGTCACCTACCACCATCTGTGCAGAACCTCACACATTTGATGGAGTTTTATTTATACAGGTAAGGTATATATATATATATATTTTTTTTTAAAGGGGTGATAACTGAGGGGATACAGGACTTGCTTCCTGTCCTGAACGTCTCTAGTTTGATCCTGGGGCACTATCAGTCCAACCAGCTGTACCTACCTTAACAAGTTGGGGAAGTGAAGGCAGTTGAGTATGGTGCTGGCCACACTGCTGCCTCCTTGTGTACAGAAGGCGTGATTATACAGTGTGCTGTATTTAGTACTGTCCTTAATGGGCACCCATGCCTTTAAAACCCACTTTGACTCTCAACTGTAAGACTAAATTATCTATTATTGTCTGACGGTTGAACAAAATTTAATTCCTGCCTTAACAGTAAAGCTAAAATACACCAAGTGTCAAACATAATAAGAAAACATACTTCAAGCTTTGTTGTATTTTAATGGGTATAATAGTCTGCAGGTCATAATTGAATTTGATGTACAGTACTGTATAGAATTTATAATAATTAGTTATTTGTGTGTGTGTGTTAAGTTTCTTTTTAATTCAAATACTCTCTTTCTGTTATGTAGAGAGGGAGGCTGCACATACCCAATTTATTTATATATATATAGTATTCAACATGTAAACATGGATGTATTAAAACAAATTATATTTTGAATAAAAATAGAATTTCAAGTTTGCTTCATGACAATTTGTGTTTTGAACTTATTTTCACAGTAACAAGCTGGTCACGCTGCCTCCAGAGATCGGGTATTTGGTAAATCTTCAAACGCTTGGCTTATCGGAGAACTCCCTCACATCATTGCCAGACACCTTAGCCAAGTTGGAGAAGTTACGAGTCCTTGACTTGCGCCACAACAAGCTCAATGAGATCCCGGACGTGGTGTATAAGTTAACATCACTCACCACGCTCTTTCTCAGGTTCAACAGGATTAAGGTCGTTGGTGAAGACATCAGGAACCTTAAAGTACGTATGTTGTGAAATAAGACTCCTGATGTGATCTTGATTGTACTTGTATTAGGTAACAGTACGCTATCATTCAATATGACTTTTGGATGAATTGCAATAATAACATTAGTAAGTATATGGGGGCTAGAGAAGACTACGGTACCTCATTTACTATTTTAATGCATTTTTTTTTAAATATCTTGCAGAATTTGATAACGCTGTCATTACGCGAAAACAAGATTCGAAAACTACCAGCAGGTATAGGAGAACTTACGGGATTGGTAACACTGGATGTGGCCCACAACCACCTCGAGCATCTGTCTGAGGAGATTGGTAATTGTATTTGTCTACAGACACTTCACCTGCAACACAATGAACTCTTGGACCTGCCACAGTCAATTGGCAACTTAAAAAACCTCACCTGCTTGGGACTCAGGTAAGGTACTGCTTGTATGATTGTTGTATCCAACTTTGTAAAATCATATTTCTGAATAAGATCACTATGTAATAAGATTTATTTCATCAACCTCTAATTTTACCTACCTGAGAGAGAGTGTGTCTTAAGTTGAATGTATGCAAGACATTGTGTTCCAGCTCCCTCCCTGCCTGATTAATTTGCCCCACCACCAATCCAGGTTAACAAGGCCATCTTCTGCAATTACAACTCTAGTACCTTGGCTCCCACCTGTCCACCAGACATAGATGAGATTCAACCTCAGGTCAGATTTGCATTTCAGGCCCTTGGCAGACTGCAGATCTGTGACTCCTGCTGTTGGGAATTGAAACTGTTAACAAAGCTGCACATCTATCAAGCAGTAGTCTTCCCCACAAGGTTGTAGGGCAGCGAGACATGAGTCACATGGAAGACACCTCAGGTCACTTGAGAACTTTAAACAATGTAGTCTCTGTTCCATCCTCTGAGTCCACTGATAAGACAGGAGAACAAATGTAATGCCAGTATTCTTGCTGACACAAGCTGTAGGAGCACTGAGGCTGACACTATCCATGATACTCTATGTTGGACTGGTCAAGTTACCCACATGGACAGCAGTAGACTGCCAAAGCAGCTACTTTATACCAATTCAAAGATTGACAGATGGGCAACATAAGAAGTACAAGATAGTATTTAGACAAACCTGAAGGGGTGCTGAATCATCACTCAAGTGGAAGACAGTCACCCCAACCATAGTGTTTAGAGATGAGTGTGTTAAAACTTTTGAGTTTGTTTAACAATGTGCAGAGGCAGACAGACACCAATGCTGGAAAAGCACTGCAGCTGCCCCTCCTGTACTAGTACGGTGGTACCCCTCCACACATGCATCATCTTCACATGATTCTGTTGATCTCTTGAGCCATATTAGAGCTCACAAATGAAAGGGACATCATAAATAAGATTCCTATCATTTTGTCATTGCTGCTTTGCTGAATGATTTTCAAACTTACTTGTGTGTGACTGCACCAGAGAAATATGTGTACAGTATGTGTCATGTTGTGTATTGTTTTCTATCTTCACAACACAATATTCACAGAACATGTTGGTTATAGTCCTGCTCCAAATTTTCCTGTCAGCAACATAGAAGTTGTATCAGAACATTGGCAGCAAAGTTGAACAAGGAGTTCAACTATGTCAAATGACTACACTGGACAAGAAGTACAGTAGTGTATCATACATTTTTAAGTTGGCAGTGAGGAATGTTTCATGAACAGTACTCAAGAAGAAATTACAATTTCAGATTCAGAAAAATTTAGAATCTGCAGTGATAAAGATAACTATAAAGAGATAATTTAGAATTTAATGTGGCAAGGTTGAATGAATGTGGGTGAGCCTATCTTCATGATTTTGGCTATCACCTGAAGCATAAAAGTAGGTTGTATTTTTTATGAACTCTCTCACTTACACCATACTGTAAATTATATTCCTTACCAGGAGAGAAAAGATTTAGTGGATCTTAGTGCTAGGGTACAGTAGTAATGTATCTTATGAGTTGTATCCTAACATTTTCTTCACTGATATAATCTAAAAAAATATATATATATATATATATTGCAGGTATAACCAGTTGACTGCTGTGCCACGATCACTAAGCAAGTGCATCAATCTAGATGAATTCAACGTTGAGAGTAACCAAATTTCCCAGCTTCCAGAAGGCCTGCTCAGCTCTCTCTCAAACCTCTCATCTCTCACACTCTCACGTAATTCCTTCAACTCATACCCAGTTGGAGGACCGTCTCAATTTACTAATGTTCACTCAATCATCCTGGAGCACAACATTGTGGACAAGATACCTTATGGCATCTTCTCTAGAGCCAAGTACCTCACCAAGCTCAACATGAACTATAATCAGCTCACCTCGCTCCCACTTGGTAGGTGTTGATGTTTGTACAGTATTCATAATTTACAACTCAAAATTGTTTTTGTCCATAAATGATAATTGTTCGCTCTCATAATTCATGAATTAAATGAAGTTTGGTTGAATTTTTGGTTAAAGTTGTTGCCTTTCTTGGATATTCAGGCACTATACTGTATATTATATCTGTAGTGACAGCATAAATGAGTTAAAATCATCCTGTTTCAAATATTTAATGGACAGATTTGACAATGACATTCTCACATCACGCCTTGCATGTTAAGAAGAGCACATAGGTGTTTGCTCATTTGTATCAGTCTACTGGATACACCTGTGGTATAAATTAATATAAAATTTAATCTTTATTTGCATGTTTTAACTTAAATAAAGGCTTTGATGGAAGGAAATAGTGCCTTCAGTTATTGCTTCTATGGATGATTAGAACTCCTTTATGCCCACCAAGACTATATTTAGCTTATTCTTGTGCAGTTATATGTGTAGAGACAAACTACATATTTTCTTTCTTTCTCTTGCAGATATTGGGTCATGGACGAATATGGTGGAACTTAACCTAGGCACAAATTATCTGACCAAAATACCGGATGATATATCTTGTTTACAGAACTTAGAGGTCCTTATATTATCAAACAATCATCTCAAGGTACAGTATTATTGTTCTTATTTTGTGATGAAACACCTATTTTAATACAGTACTTTTATCTTACTACGTACAGTATGTTCTTTCTCCTCTTGTCTCTTATTCCATACTTTTTCTCTCCTTAATGTGTTGTCCTCCCCCCCCCCCCCTACACTGCCCCTCACTATCCAACCCAGGTGCTGCATTGCCTCTGAGCACCTCTTCTCTTCCTGCATCCTTCTTAAATATATTATTTTATTTATTTATTTATTTTTATACCGGGATTAGCCCACCCGGGCACAGGTCACTGACCCACAGCGGGGCCTGGGGGGGGATGTACTAATAATAGTTATAATTCATAGTAAATAAAATTTATAATACAAAATACAAATTTGAAAATAAAAAAATAATAACAATAATAAAAAAAATCAAAAGTGAGAAACAATATATGTATGTTGTGTTGTCAATAGTAAGAAAAACAATTGAGACCCTGCAATTGTGTGTAAATGAGGCAGAAAATCAGATCAGCAACCTGAGACTTGGTCACCAAATGTTTGATGTAAGGCTAGTTACCTGCAGGTGGCTAATTTGTGTATTTTCTTTAGGTAATGGAAGGCGTTGGAAATGCCATACATATTTTTACCCTGTAATTATGACAAGTGATTCATATGTGTGATTGAGAGAGAGTGAATAGGTTTGTGTACATGTACTTTAAATTTTGAAATTCACAGAGTAACTTTTTCCTTTGCAGAAAATCCCTTCAAGTATAGGCAACTTACGGAAGCTGCGAGTGTTGGACCTTGAAGAGAACAGACTGGAAGGCCTCCCACCTGAGATTGGTTTTCTGAAAGACCTGCAAAAGCTGATAGTCCAGTCAAATCAGTTAACAGTTCTACCCCGGTCTATTGGGTTAGTGTTTACTGTTGTTAGTTGACATATTGGAATCAGCCACGAAAGGAATATATTTTTCTGTGATGAACTTTAGTCAGACTCCATTATTATACCTCAAATACATTAGAACCAAGGAAGGGAAGGGGGAAAATATGCTAGTATGAGAATTACTATTTTTCAATATTAATATTGCTCTTTCTTTGCAGGCATTTGGTAAATCTGACTTACCTTAGTGTAGGAGAGAACAACTTGAGTTACTTACCCGAGGAGTTTGCCACACTGGCATCCCTGGACACTCTGTACATTAATGACAATCCTCTGCTGCACAACCTGCCCTTCGAGTTGGCACTCTGCACAAATTTGCAGATTATGTCTATCGAGAGTTGTCCCTTAAGTCAGATACCTCCTGAGATTGTGGCTGGTGGCCCATCTCTTGTTATTCAGGTAAGAGTGGAGTGTCTTATTACCCACATTATTTACACTTCATCTTGAGTATATAAACAACCTTTTTGCATGCACAAGGAGACGTTGGTAAGACAGAGTGACACCAAACAGAAATTGTAGCAGTTAATCGAGTTTAATTAAAAATTGTTGTTTTGTGGCTTTTATTATTGTTTAATAATTAAAAAAAAAAGAAGGCTGGAGGCAACACAAACAAATAGACTGAGCTAAGAACTGAAAGGGTTAATTTATATATGACACTATGTATTAGTTATAATTTGAAGATGTGAAAAAGTATTACATATTAACTGAGCATTTTTGTTTTGCTCTAGTTTATATATTAGCTGAGCACTTGTGTTTGTCTATTTTCAGTTTTTGAAGATGCAAGGTCCATACCGCACAATGTGACTTGAAGAAATTTTCTCCTAATGAAGTAATGAATGGAGGTTCGAGTAGGCATGAGTCATGAGAAGCAGCTTTTTACAGTGGCTATTGCAGTTTCTGGGAACTGCTTCAACTCTCCTGCAGCGCCTACATTGTTTCTGCTGCTACTACTCCCACACCCAAAAAATTCTAATTGCTGCTTGTGATTCTGGGTGGCACAGCAGCTGGATGTCCATGTTGTTTCCCATTGTGACTTACAAAGGTAAACAGGTGGCCAATGAGCATTGGTGCCTGTTGGCCACTTGTGTCATTGGGTGACTTGAAGAAACAGTGGATATGTGTTAGGGATTCAGGCTCCCCCTGTGAAATGTGATATTGTGCTTTTCTTGTTAGGTATAAGTGTGTGGCCAGGCCAGTGGAGAAATTGGTAGTAATGTGTACCTATCTGGCCTCGGTGTGGTGGTGTGTAGTATGACAAGCATGGTATGGGGCTGTGGTGGTGTTAAAAGGAGGCCCCCCTCCCCCAACTACCCATCTTGGCTAAGGTGCAGAAAACAAAACAACAAAAAATCTAAAAAAAATAAAAATAAAATTATATATATATAAAAAAAAAAAAAAGAGATTGACCACCACCTATCCATTCTGGCTAAGTTGAATGGTAGTTTCTGGTGTCACAAGTAGGAAATTAAAAAAAGCCAAACTCCAACACTGCCAGCTACCAATCTTGGCCATGATGTGTGGTGTATGGTCCAACAAGCATGGTATGGGGCAGCTGCAGTGTGAGGAGGAAGCCCCCCCAACTCACCACTGTTGGTAGCAAGCAGAGAGAGAGGAAAAAGTGCTTGTGCTCAGTGTCAGGTGTTGATTGTGCATGCGTGGCTGTGCGTGCACAGAGTGACGACAGGTAGCCCCCGGTGGTGCGGCTCTGGTCTCCCCCCTATACAATGTCGTTCACTGACCATCAGTTGGAAGCAATGTGTGACTTCTCCCTCCGCTCCACATTAGCTGCCAGATGGTTTCTGGATGATATTGAAGCAGTGCCGACCACTGGATCCCACCTTCACTCTGTGCTGCTTATGTGTGAGTGTATATATGTAACATAAGCCTGCTACTAGGTTGCTTCAAGCCATTGCTGGTTTTATCCTCTCATGACACTGCTGCCTCCCAAACCAGTGCTTCGGTGTGTGTCTGCGAGTATGTGTGTGTTTGTTTTTGTATGTAATATGTAGTGAGTGTTAACTGTCACAGAAATTACACAAAAAATTCTGTGTGGATGTGAATATCAGTATTTTCTAGAAAGGCCTGATTTGCTTTGCCATGTAAATAAATGCTTTAACTAACTCAGTCCAGGAATAATATATGGAAAAAAAATGATCATACTTTGCTTCCTGTGCCAAGCTAAAGGCTTCTTTTTTCTATTTATATAAATTTTTAAAAAATCTCTAATTAGTTATTTTTGAAGCCATGAAACTAAAGATGAGATTAGTTTGGTGGCAACAGTGGACCAGTGTGTGTGTCTTTTGGTGAGGCGAAATTGGTTTTATTTGATACATCCATGCCACGTAGAGCTGGATTGCATAAGGTGATAAACCACAAGTGTATTGATCACCAACAGATGGATGTCCTCTTGAGAGGCACCATTTGTTGGGTGTGTAGTATCACCCACATTACTCCCACCAGTAATAAATGACTAACACTTGGCAAGGAAGGTCAGAGAACACATATTCTTATAACATTACTACATACCCCATTCCCCTCGGAGGCTCATTGGTGCTCTACAACTGGAGCCTCGTCCCTCTTTCATTTTTAAAAGGTGGATGGATATACCCGACAAGAAACATATGTGATGGCATGATGCTTCACCATATCTTCAGAAAGTAATCCCAGATGTGGTCATACAGTGTTATTATGCAAGTTATTAAAGAGACTTTTGTGGAGCAACAAGGATGTGATTATGCAGTGCAAGGCAATGTGGGCATAGGCCAGACAACAAAGATGAAAGCACAATTACAAATGTTTGGAAATGGAATTGTTTAGAGTAGATGACCAACTGACATGACCTTGCACAATTAGTTGCTTGAACACGACAATGTTGTACACTACAGTGTTCAAGTTACTGCTGCTCTGTGTGAGGCAGTTAGGTTTTAGTGTACTTCAGTGACTGCTGCTGCAAACTCCTTGAAGCAGCTGTGAATAATAACCTAGTCAGTGTCCCGTGGGATGATGTGCCTCTAGACTGGTTTGTCACTGGTCTAAGACACCCCCACACCATCCATTGCTTTGTAGCCTCAAAACCCCACAGAAATAACCAATGCTTATTACTCAAATGGACATGCTGTGTATCAGTCGCCTCTCAAAAATGTTACTCAATAAACCTGTAGGTGAAATATTTTTTCATTGCAACCTTTCATGTACTGTAAATATATATCATGTAGGTACCATAAAAAAGTGTATTAATTATATAATTTATTAAATATACTCTAAAACCAAGACTAATTATATTAAAAATTATTTAGTTAGAAATTGCTTTAAAATCAATTTTATCTAATCTCTTCTGACTGATTACTACACTTGGTGATACTTTAGTTATTATGCCGGTGGCAACAGTAACATTGTTTTCCCTGACGGTAAATGGCTGGTTGGGAGCCATCACCATGCGCTCTTGTAAGGTCACCAGCACTGTTCCGTGGTCACCTGCATGAGAAAAGCAATTAAATACAATCAATCTGAACTGCTATAGTACATGATGGTAAGTGGAATTGATACAAACAATTGCTTAGTGATGCTCGGTAACTCTCAGGTCAAGGATAAGAGAATGTGTGGAGTCACATACCTGGCATCAACATGTCCACACCCTCTGGTAAGTCAACACGACAAGTCACATTCCAGGTGTTGCTATAGAGTTGTTGTATGTACTGACTAGTTACTGGGCGAGACCTACCACCTTCTCCACGGCTCAAGAGGTACAATGCAGCTTCAAACCTGAAACACATTGAAAAGTTGGCTACAATAAACTCAGGTTATTTAAGTAAGGTGAAAACATACGACAGGTACAGCATGCATTTAAAGGGATGTAACACCCCAGGACAATGAAGATAATACTGTTAGGAATCGATTAAGCAGACATCACTATGGGTGAAAAACATTAAACAGTGCATACAACATCAGGTTTCTTCCTATGAGCAGAATCTCTCACACCTATCTCAGCAGTGCACTCACCTGTAGAACTACTAAATGACCATCATACATGTACAGTATTTATTCTTGTTTCTAGCCATCATACTTTAAGCTAAAAATGGTATGAAAACAAAGACATATATATATAACTAACCTATTGCCGTATTTTTGGGAATCTAAAGCACAGAGAGTCATGCCTCTACTGAGTACCTCCAGACGAACACCTCGAAGTAATGCACCCAAGTTCTGCCCTGCCTCTACCCTTGGTACAGATTTCTTGAATACCTATGGAAATAGCAAGTGATCTTCAGACCTCTACACAAAATAGGCTTTAAATAAACAGTCATATACTGTATGTATATTAGCTGCATACATGCCTTCATTAAGGTGTATACTATACATAGGTTTCTAAACATATAATTTCCAATACAACTTTCATAATTTAAAAGAATCACTAATATAAATTGAGACCAAACACAGAATTTACCCCAAGATCAGTACAGTAGGCTCCTGTGTTTCCCCAAGAGCAATTCTCAAGTAATGATGGACCAGAGTTAAGGAGCAAATCTAGCAGCAAGAGTAAACCTAATCTTAGCAATATTAATACAGTACCATAGGTGGTAAATATAAATAAAACAAACATGAATAAAAATAATATTAAAAAGCATCGAAGAAAATTTCAAATGAGGAGATGATGCAAGCGATCATATGATCTTACATTACTCATTCTAAATTCAATTCTATGTTAAAAATTGTGCTAAACTTTCTTTAATAATGTAATACCTGTACACTATAAAACTCAATCTATATTTCACCCTTAGTAACTGTCTGCCATACTACTTCACAATTAAACCATTCCAATCACTTAACCTTTATTGTACTGTACACAGTTGTCACTACACCACCTACCTGAAGGTCAGTAACAACAGTCTTTATTCGACGATCAAAGCCAAGTAGTTCTGCCTCTTCTCCTTTTCTGATGATACCCTGTTTGAGAGTTCCAGTTACTACAGATCCACGGCCAGGAACACTAAAGTAATTGTCTATGGGCAGCAGGAAGGGAGATTTAAGATCTCGGGTTGGAATCGAAATATATTCATCCAGGGCTTTCACTAGCTTCAAAATGCTCTTTTCCCCATATACTCCCTGATCTCCCTGTAGGGCAAGGAGGGCAGAGCCATTCACGAAGGGTGTGTTAATACCATCAAAACCAAAATCTTCCAATAACTCCCGAACCTCGAGCTCAACCAACTCTAACACATCATCTTCCACGAGGTCAGACTTGTTGATAAATACAACAACTTTCCCCACTCCCACTTGCTTGGCTAGTAGGAGGTGTTCTCTAGTTTGTGGCATTTGTCCATCACTTGCTGCAACAACAAGGATGGCTCCGTCCATCTGAGATGTGCCAGATATCATGTTCTTCACATAGTCAGCGTGACCTGGGCAGTCAGTGTGAGCATAGTGTCTGTAAATGGCAAAAATTTGAAAAGATAATTCAGTGAAATACTATAGTATTATTATATCTATTTTCATTTTAAGAATATGCAATGATAGATGTTTAAACCTCTTAAAATATGGCAGTACAGTACAGTACAGCGTACTGTAATTAAATAACCAATGAATAAAATTTAAAAAAAAGAAAGGTAATGAAGAAATAGAAAATCTCTGGATAATTCAATAAAGACGATGTGGATAGGTCTAAGATGTGCAATATCAAGGTGTAACAAGTAGTCTGATGCAGTATTGTTCATTGTACACAGTCACTTCTAATGAGGTAGGTGGGAAGAATACCTCTGTGTGTGTGTGTGTGTGTGTGTGTGTGTGTGTGTGTCACTGGAGGAACCCTGAACGCTTAGGTTAAGGGACTTCATAACATAAAGATGTGCTAGGCTATGTGTTTTGGGTCTTGCGATCTCCCTGACCATGCTATCCATAAGAATCCAGAAGCCACATCAAACTACAGGAATCAATAATGAAAAAGTCAGTTGGGCCACATTCCACCTCATTTCACAGCATAAGCAGTCTAGTTTATTATTTTTGGGGCAGAGCAGCAAGGGGATGGAACATGAATGGTACACTGACACATTACCCCTCTACTATTGAGTGAGTTTATAGCTTGAGAGATCACTCATTCTGGCACCTTCATTAAGAAACTAACTACAGTATCACAAATAACAATATTTAGAAGCATATTTACCTTAGTGACGAGGAGTAGGAAACATGTGCAGTGTTGATGGTTATGCCTCTCAATTTTTCCTCAGGTGCACGATCAATCTGATCATAAGTAATGGGGGTGGAAAGTCCATCCTTATGGAGGACCTTGGTGATAGCTGCCGTCAGGGTGGTCTTCCCGTGGTCCACATGGCCGATGGTTCCAACGTTACAAGTTGGCTTTTCTTCTTTTCCATTTGTAGAAAACCATCTTGGTGACACTTTTGGACAATGATTGTCACTGTTGATCCCCTGAAAGTACCATAATCTTATACTGTACTATACCGAGTAGAGGACAGGGGTCCCGGTTAACCAGCTACCTAATGAAAAATATCGAGTAGAAAACTTATTTTTTTACCTCAAATATAAAACAAATCAGGTGGAGGAATAGCACTTTTCATCGTCTGTTTTTCCATAGTTTTCTCATAAATAAATAAAATGTGTGCCACCCGCCTGACATCAACACCATGTTTGTTGCGCCCCTTCAGTATTGGATGCAATTCCTCCACCCAATTTTGTCTAATATTTAGGTAAGAAATAAGCTATCTTATAAGGTAACTTTTTGTTAGGTAGCTAGTTTGCCCAGACTATTACCATATATGTATACATTGGTGTGAGAGTCCTCGGCGGTCCGACTAATTACCCAAATGTAGTAAAATGTAGCCGCAATGAAGTCAAATAATGGTTCTACATGAATAAATCGGACTGCCAATCACTTCTCGACTAGTATTTGGTGTCACAAAGTCACAAAAAATTGGTAAACTTAATTTAATCTGAGTTGTGTTAGGTTAGGTTAGGTACATGCATTTGATCTATTAACTCAGATTAAATTAAGTTTACCAATTTTTTGTGACTTTGTGACACCAAATACTAGCCGAGAAGTGATTGGCAGTCCGATTTATTCATGTAGAACCATTATTTTACTTCATTGCGGCTACATTTGGGTAATTAGTCGGACCCGTCCTCGGTGGTCCGTTCTTGCTTAAACCAGACATATTCAGTCTTTGTTTTTTTTTAGTTTGTAACCAAAAGATGAGGTCACTGTAGAGTTGCTACTAGAAAAGTACCTTTTTAATCAATGAATGAACACTTATTTAACATTGTTTGTATACCTGCACTTACAGTACTATACTGTATACCTATAGGCATTGTCTTTACCTGCACTATGTACACTGTTTGTATAAATACGCTTTATATGCACACTGGATATATACACTATGTAAATGCTAAATCAATGTAAATTTGTATAATGATCTTACTGAATAAAATATCTATCTATTCTATTTGTGTATCTATCACCAGACACGGGGAACCACCACCACAAGACAGTTAACTTACCCATAAAGAACCTATCACAATTTTCTTTCTTCTTGTTGGGAAATTATGATGAACAATCTGTCGTGGTGAGAGAAATAATACCTGTCTTGCCACACTAGTGACAGGAGCACACCAATACATGGCCATCCACCACTGAGGCACTAACACCACAACAACAAGAAATACAACTTAGCTTTAACCAACGTCCAATGTAACAGTAATATTTATATCTAATAAAACATAATTTTTAACTGTTTTTATATCGGTTATGACTATTTTTATCCATCTATAAATAAAGTTCATAAATTTCAAAGTTACCTGGATGAGCGAGTTTCCTTTTAACCCGGCGGACTAAACAAAACAACACTTATTCTCTCCCAGGGCCGCACGGTGTTGGTCATCAAGTCTCGTGACCTTTTTTTTTTTTTTATCCTCTTCGCCACTGATCGGCTCGCTAGCCGCCCGGGCGATCGGTCACTTCTCTGTCACGCACTGTTGGCAAGTACTGGTCGCTGCACCGGCTCCTGAATGTACCTGAACCCGCTCCAGTGTTGGTCAAGTCTTCTCTTGAAAGAGCTCACACTCTGTGCCGTCACAACACTCTCTGGTAGATTGTTCCAAGAGTTCACAACTCTCACTCCGAAAAAGTTTGCCCTCACAGTTTTCTGGACTTGCGGCTTCTTCAATCTTGAGCTGTGACCCCTTGTGGGGCGAGCGTCTGCCTGCTCCAAGTAAGGACACTCAACTGAGTAGTGCCCCCTGAGATGCTTATACACCTCAACTAGGTCCCCCCTTGCCCTAACACTGTGACCTAACACTGTGCTGTCACAATATTCTCTGGCAGTTGTTACAAGAGTTCACAACTCTCTTAAAAAGTTTGCCCTAATATTTTTTTCTCAACTTGTGCATGGTTTCTAAATACCTGAGGCTGTTACCTCTAGTGGGGTGGGCATCCGCTAGTTGTCACAAGACTGAGTAATGTCCTCTGAGGTTGAGAGTGCAGGCACCAGTTTGGTAACCTTTTTATAGACGTTCTAATTCAAATGACAGTACTCCAAGCTGGGAAAGACCTCACATCCTCACCTTGGAAGAACGGGATGATGAGGGACGGTGCCATCAAGGTATGTGTGTGACCTTTGTGTAAGTCCTTATATTGTAATTTGGTTACTTGATTTACCTTCTCACATTGGTCCGAGAATCCTTTCGTTGCTAACATACTCACTCTGGTCCTTTTTACACTTAGTCTTCGTTATTGATGGATGTTTCTTGGGACCTGTGATACGTCTCGATCTTACTATTGGTATGACCTATAGGTCCATCTGTCTTTCATTTCGTAACGTTAAAACACCTTATTTTTACTTACTTTACTTTTACTTTATCCTTTGACCACTCCTGTAATCAAGAGATATTCCTGTAACACTTCACAGTCCGTCTGGTTCTTAATTAATGTCGTCCACAATCTTTTGTATGATGATGACATAAATTAAAGAAAATAAGAACCAGACTGACAGTGAAGCGACAGACACGTCAGGAAACAGTAATGGGTTTTATGATCTTCCATTAAGAGAATTGTTTTTTTTTTCATATTTCTCTTTTCTTTGTCTTGAAAATTCCTGAAAGCAAGATATGTTTTCTCAAATTGTGGTATGACGAACACTAACGTCAAATATATTAATTTTAGTGTACAATATGTAGTTCGGTGAAGAATACAGGATTAATAAACTTTCAGTCTAGTAAAGTGTACAGAGGCTGATCTAGTGGGGCTCTGGGGCAACACAGCAACACGGGGTCCCCTTCAGTATATTAAAACATTAATGTTAACAATAAGCAAACAAAAAAGTTGAAGAGTGACATAATTAATAAATTGTTGATTATTATAAATGTAAAATAGATATGTATTTTATTCAGATGGTACTTAGTATGTGTTATTTAATATTGCTTCTTCAGATAAATGTTCAGTATATATCAGGTGATCAGGTGCCGTCAAGAGAGCTGCAACACTCGAAAGGCTCTCAGTATTGTTGTTCACTTTGTTTGTGTATTATTCTGGATTAATCAACTGTGGCAATTTCAATTTTGATACGTCATTTTTCAGGTTCATGTCAGACACAGGTGATATCCTAGTCGTGCCAGGCTGCCCAGCGTGCCGTGTAAGCCGTGTAGGGCTGGGTCACCCTACAGGGGGAGTGGCAGGAGGTGGGGTCATTGTATGGTAGGCTGGGTCCCCACAAGCCCTCACCCTCCCACTCGTCCATGTAAGGGGCGGGATATGGCGGTGGGGGAGGGCCTGGTGGACACTGGGGGACCTCACACATGTTGGGGTAACCGTAGGATTTATCCCCCAGGCCGCCAAATTCGTCCACGAAGACTCCCGAAGACGTCATGCTGGCGGATGTGTAATCTACTACCGCCGGATTTTGCGACTTGTGGTGGACGGGTGTGGGAAGGGTAGGCTGGGGCGGGACCTGGTGGAGGGAGGGCCCGCGTGAGTGTAGCGTGGTGACCGCAGGACCCATTATCTTGTTGGTGCGGTATTGTCGTGTGGTGGTGGTTGTGGTGGTGAGGGGCTGCTCTGACAGGAAGGTTGCCGCCTCCGTCGCTCCCACACCCGCGTACAGACGGGCGCGCATCGGCCATTTCTGAAACATATAACATGAAGTAATTGATCATTCAGAACTTGACAGGAAATGTAGCTATTCTCTCTCCTGTTCATGTCCATCCACACCCCTAACTCCCTTCTCCCCTTCCTCCCTTCATCGTCCCTCCTATTGACATCTTCACCTACCCGATCCTCAAGGTCCTACAGGAACACTCGCCTTAACTGGGTGGAGGAGGCCCTTCTGCGTGATCCTACGGGCGCCTCCTTCCAGCGTGGTGGTACCGGTGGGGGCATGGTGACTTTGTGGTAGAGGCTTGGTTGTAGTGTTGGTAGTGTTGTTGTTGGTGTCGTGGGTGGCGCGGGCGTCATCTTCCTCCAGCAGCTGCGACAGGTGGGAGATGTAGGTGGTGGCCAGCACCAGCACGTCCAACTGTACGGGGAGGAGGGGAAGCCAGGTGTAGCGAAGGAAGATTACGTACAGGCACGACGTGAAGATAAGTGTGTGTGTGTGGACAAGTTTCCCTGTTGTGACTCATTCTTATTTTTGTTTAGAGTACAATGGCACTTTTGTGTGTGAATATTCCTCTATACAGTAGAGATGCAGCGCCTGTAGAAATGTCTATACCTGCAGATGTTAAACTGAGATGTGACTGGTTGTTTACTATGGTTAGTTTCCAGCACTGAACTGACGCAGCTTTGGGACTCAGCCACGGGCGTGATGGACTGTGTGAAACCCACCTTGGAGAGCTTCGTGTTGGGGGGAACGGAGGGGATGGCGGCCTGCAGCTCCAGGTAGGCTCTCCGGAGACTCTCAACGCGGGTTCTCTCCCTCAGGGCGTTCTTCGACGTGCCTTAACGAGGAAAAGTTTGGCACAAAGAAGGTAAATATTATACACTAGAGCTGTAAATTAGGCGTAGAGGGAAAGATGTGTACAGGGGAAGAGTTAAAAAAGTTCCACTGTTGCGAGGAACAAGGAATACTCGCGCGTGTGTGTGTGTGTGTGTGTGGTTTCAATGGGATACTGATGGCAGGCAGTGGAGTAAGGAGGAGAGCGTCTGGGATGAACTAAAGGGGATATGATTAATTGGTTTTCGTTCGGTGTTTTGACCATTGAAGTGACTACAATAGAGTTACAGCCCTCGAAAGGTTCAGCCAAGTCAATACTGTTGTTGTCACTTTGTATCTGTATTATTGTGGCTAAATTATCTGTTTCAGTTTCAAATAAGGAATAAGGAGGGGGAAGATAGCGAGTGACGGAGACAGAGGAGAGGAAGAACTAGAAGCAAAAGACATCGTTGATAACTACTGTAATTAACTTGTGTAATGTTCCGTCTGCTGATCGCCCAAGCGACTAACGAGCCGATCAGTGGTGAAGAGGATAAAAGTAAAAGTAAGTAAAAAGTAAGGAAAAAGTTATGTTGTGTTGTCATGGTGTAGAGTTTGATCTAACTAGGTTTAAAGAAATATCTGTATCCATATGGAACACAACTTCCAGCCACCTACCTGACCCCGGTAGCTCCCCTGACTCTATCTCTGTTGCCGAGGGCACAGCAGAGAGGAAGTCCCTGCTTCTGCTACCGCTGCTCTTTCTGCTACTCCCGCTGCTTCCTGACGGGGGTAAGTGAGTTAACCAAACTGATACAACAGTCTGAAGAATATAGTTTTATGTAGTGAGGAATATATAAATAAGGAGTGATGGGATGGGATGGGATTGATGTGGTACCTTGTGAAATCTCGTGGTTTACCCTGAAGAAGTCATCACACACTCAAGCAGCGACACAATTTAGAATCTGTCTCTTTTTCGAAACTTAGGTGACCAGGATGTGTTCTTAACCTGTAGGTAGTAGGAGACATGAACGTTCAAACCTTTGAGTATCCTAATGTCTGTTACTGTTCATCCTTACCTTTCATGGCTGACCTGGAGGTCCTCCTCGTCCTGCCCTCCATCAGGCACCCGCACACGAGACTCACTGCACACCCTTGAACATGCAACACGACCCCTCCTTTCCTTCTGTCTCCTGTACCGTTCACTCTCTCCTTTTTCATATAATCTCTTTCTTATAACTTCACCGAGTTATCACTTCTGTTGAGTCTTCCGTTCTTGAAAATTCACGAAAATTTAAGGTGTCTTTCCACGATACAGTACAGTATATACTTTTCTTCAAGACGGCAGCTGGGTTGAGAACACGTCATGAGGTAGTAACTCGAGTCTCCCTTGATGTAGAAACGGAGACTTGGTAAACAATGCTTGAGGTCGCTGGCTGTTAAAACACATATAAGACAACAGTGACCAGGCTCGACCTCACACACAGGAATGAGAGGTACACACACGCGCGCACCGTGAAGTGCCACCTGTACTGCCACAGCACCTCCGACTGTGCCCAGCTTTGTGCCCTCACGCTGTCATATGATATTCGTTCACTACAATTAGTCACCTGTCTGACCCGGCCATAACCCGCCTGGGGGAGGAGCAGTGGGAAAGGTAGGAGAGATGGGGGGAGGGGAGTTAGAGATATGAAAAAGGAAAGGGAGAGACAGGATATTTGGGGAGGGAACATAAGGAATAGGGAGAGATATAGACAGGAGGGAGGAGGAAAGGAAGTGAGAGAGAAGCATCATGAAAGTGAGGTGCAGCAGTGGACCAACTTGTGTGGGATAAAAGAACAAACAAACATTCAATTTACTTGTATTATTTGTTTAATGGCAACGGTACAGGGAATATATTTTATAATTATAGGCAGTGAGATTGAAAACTTCAAAAAGAGGGCTGCTAGACTGGTGCATCCACTCCGGCACATCAGGTACCCAGAGAGATTGGAACACCTGCAACTGTCTAGCTTATACTTTGCTGTAGATGGGCAAGCGGTGACCTAATATAAGTCTACAAGCACCTCAGAGGACATACTGGACCGGCTGATGCACCGCCCCACTAGAGGTCACAACTTCAGGTTGAAGAAGCCACAAATTCAGAAAACTGTCAGGGCAAACTTTTTTGTAGTGAGAGTTGTGAATTCTTGGGATAATCTGCCAGTGTGAACTCATTCAGGGCCAGACTTTACCAATACGTACACAGTACTTGGCAGTAGTGCGTAGTGGAGGTGGTAGTGGTGGTGGGAGAGGGTAGGAGGGGGTCAGCTCAAGTGACGGGTGTAGCCAGCCATCAATCAGTACAGCGGTGGGCCGCTCTAGGGTTACAATCACCCCGGATTTAGTCAGCGTTTACGAGGTGTCATGAAAGTTATGTTGTTGAGGTGTCAGGTGTTAGTCCGTATCCTGGTGTGACATGTTGCACTGTTTTTTTTTTGTATGTGTGTGTGTGTGAGAAACCTATCCATGGCCCCACGCGCGAAGGTAGGAGTACGTGGGGTGGGAAGAGGGATGGTGAGGAAGGGAAGGAAATGGGGGATACAGGGTGTGGAGGGAGAGTGGATAAAGAGGAAGGGAGGAAAAAATATTAAGAGTGAAAAGGATAGAAAGAGAGGTGAGAGGAGAGAGAGGGAAAGAGAGATGGTAGATATGAAGGAGGAATGGAGGGAAAAGGGGGCGGGAGAAGGAATGGAGGTAGGAAGGAGGGAAGGGAGAGTCACGTGACACTATACGCCCCCTTGATCACTTTACAACCAGCCGTGTCCTTCCATGTCCCCATGTCCTATCTATTATTGATATTTTTTATCATTTCTCCACTTATCAACCGTCCTAGCTGTTGGTTTGTTCTTTGTTACTTTCCTATGAACTTTATTGTTTTGTTTTCTATAAATTTCCTTTGAAAATACAGTGGTAAAGAGGATTAGTAAAGTTAGTTGTAGGTATACGTGTATGGTGAACCGATGGGAATCTGTTTAGCGACTTTAATTAAAATAACCTCAAATTAATCAAACTTTCGTCCTCTCATCAAAATAACTTTTGTCTTCTTTAATTTTACTGGATGATGAACTTGTAACGAACAATCATCGATCTATTATTGTTTTGGTAAAAAAGTAGCACATATATATATACGTTGTTGTTTTACTAAAGTCTGTCCTCTATTTGGTGGTTTTCTGTGATTATAAATTCTGGTTCATGGATAGATTTAACCCCTTTTTCACACTAGGGTTAGTACTTTTATAATTTACAGCATTACCTTTAGGATAATAGACAATTCAGAAATATCTTACTCACATGAAAGTCCTTAAATTATTATCATTTAACCCTAATGTTTCCCTCACCAGGGTTAGTTCTTTTGAATTTCCCGCTGTGATTTTTGACACCATAAATGATAAAAAGTCCTTAACTTACAGAGAAGCTATTGGATTCCTTTACTGTAATCTTAAACTCTTTCAGTGTTAGAATTAAATAGTATATAAAGATTTCTGAGGTAGAGGATACTGGAGTTTATTGTACATTTGTTGTGGCCTTGGAGGAAAGAATTTGTGATCGTGACTCATTGACAAAGTAAAGCCAGGTAGTGACTTAACTGTGTAACACTATGTCGTGGTTTGGTGGGAACTCTGACAAGAAGATGCAGGGTGAGTTGATGTGATCACTTTTAGATTAATCACAAACAACTGGATATATCTTTGTCTTTTTTTTTGTGTAAGAATGTCGACCTGAAGATGAGCAAGAGTGAGAATCCCTTGACTTTTTTTGTGATACTGTCTGGGATCCTCATGTTCTTTGTTCATATGTTCATTTATAACAATAGTGTCAGCTTGTGTTCTGTCATATGTGAAGAGGGATAATACAACCATGGTTGGAATATCATAGAATTTAGGGTAAAGTTCACACTAGCTCCACACTCTTGGGAAATGTATTTTATTTAAACATGAAGTAATACTGAAGGAGAGAGGTCCAGGATAACGGCTCCATATCAGGTAAACTTCATAGAAGAAAACTTCTTTCTTACCTTTTAAATACCAATAAAAGTTTGGAGGAATTGCAGCTTTCCCAGTCCGACTAATTACCCAAATGTAGCCAAATATAGCCGGAATGAAGTCAAATAATGGTCCTACATGAATAAATCGGACTGCCAATCACTTCTCGACTAGTATTTGGTGTCAGAAAGTCACAAAAAATTGGAAAACTTACTTTAATCTGAGTTAATAGATCGCGTGCATGTACCGACGGAGCAAGGAATTACCCAAATGTAACCAATTGTACAATCTGAGTGCTGTATAGGAAAAGGATCGGGCAGCAAAGAACATTCCTGTACTGCTCTGGGCTCGTCAAGGTGTGAAGGATCATAACTACTACACAAAATTATTTCAGAAGGTGAAGTCAGTGAAATTACTGCAGTAGGTTGGCCAACTAATTCTACTGACTACGCATTCTGAAATGATTTAGCATAGTAGTGTATGGAAAAGGGTAGCCCATTTATTGGAATCTTTTTATTTGATCTTCACCGCTGTGTTCATTTTAAACTAAAGAATGAAAATTTGGCGGTGTAGCAAGAAAAAATGAATAATAATTCATGTAAGTCATGATTTTTCCTTCAGTTACTGGCATCGTTTCCTCATATACTGTACTGTACAGTAGTGATACAATAGTAATTATTATTTGGTATTTCAGACTGCATGTTCCAGTTGAAGTTCTGTGGCAAACAAATGGAAAGACTCTCCAAGAAGGCAGAGAAGGACCAGAAGGTAAGAACGGAAACATTTTTTTATTATGAAGCTTATGAAGACGCTGTTGATGTGTTATATTGAATGTTTGTTGATTAAGATAGTACAGTACAGTACAGTATAGGGATATTATATGGAATGTTTGTTGAATCAGACAGTTTTGAAGTTTAATACTGAATTGGTTTATGTTAAGACAAGGTTTAAGTTTTGTTCTGAAAATGTTATAGGATACAGTAGAGTAGAGTATATTAAAACATGGTTGAAATTTTCTGCAGTATTAAATGTGTTGAGGTAATGACGAGGATTAAATGTTGTACTGTACTAAATCTTATTATGCTAATGAACACGTCAAGTTTACATAGTATATAATAATGAGAAGATGTAAATTGATACTGACTGATGCTATCAGTTGTATTGATTTGTGGGGGGTTGGAGACAGGTATCCAGGAGTGTACGGTAAGGTTTCCCCTCAGTGGACAGGGTACAATAGCTCTGATATATTTGCAGGTGAAAATTAAAGAGTGCAGGATGTTATGTAAACATAGGGAAGAAACACTGAATAAATGTGACACTAAACTAATATGATTTATTGAGCTATAAATGTTTTATCAGAATTTGTTGCTGTAAAAAGATTATCAACAACCAGAAGGAAGACTGTTCATTTGTTATTCATCATCAGTAATTGTTTTTGTCCATTCTTAGACTGATTAACTTGAATCCTATCATGGATACACCAATAATCTTATGGAAGATTCATGAAAGCCAATTGTAGGTTTTCAAAATTAAAGCATTGATCTAGAAATCCCTTTTTCAGATGGAGCTTGTAGCTAGACATCTAATTATATATACTGTACATACATGGTGTCTGTCATTTGGGAGGCATTCTTTGTTCTTAGACAGTCCCGTTATTTAGCTAGGATGACTCAGAGGACACATGCCAGTCATCGCCACCTTACCACACCCATCAGCCCAGATTGAGATGAGATGCATCAGTTTTTTGAGACTCGTAGAAGAGAATAGTATAACCCTCACACAGTACCACATTATTGATATACAGTGAAGGGATCAATCAATCCTTCAAAACTGGAAAAATAAATCAAAATTGTGTCAATACAGTACATGTAAGTTCAACATTACAAGTGGATTATATAATATACTGTACAACTTGTCAAGGTATAAGGTTAAAGATTCTCCTGGTTTTAAATCCCAACAAGTGCATTTTCCAAACATAGGCAAAGTCTGTGTCCTACTGTGGGTTAACATGCATCTTTTTTTCTTTTCTTTTCCCCGGGAATTAGCCCACCCCGGCACAGGTCGCTGACCCACATGAGGGCCTGGGGGGCAAAAATATAATAATAATAACAATAATAATACCCATAATAATTATGATAATAATTCATAAAAATTTATAAAAAATTATAACAATAAATAAAAATTATAATAAAAAAATAAAAAATAAACCCATGGAACTGCCCATGTCACTAATGTTTCACGGGTTCAATCATAGAATACTGGACTGTAAACTTTAATTTTCACCCCCCATGCACTCCATTGACCAAACCTAATCTATCTAAGCTAGTTACAGATCCCTCTTAAGGGTTTATGAATGATTTAATCTTGAAAATCATATATAGACTCACCAAATCCTCTGGGAAATGTCTTCTTACAAGCTTCAAAACAGCTACTAAAATAAGGTTTTTCCTGTAATGGATGTCTCCTGTATTCCACAATAAGGCCAAGATGTCTGTGTGATTTATTCCTGTCACTCCACACAACTTTTCATCACCCATCAGTAGTACAGTACAGTATATTCATCCCCATAAACTGCTCACCACCACCATGCTGTCTTGGTCTTCATTAAATTTGGTGCTTCTTGGGTGTCCATTCCCTAATTTGGTCCGTCAGAGTAATGACCTTCACCACATACTTGTATGACCTCCTTTTTATGTTTGCCTGGAATATAATATTTTTTCAGATTCAAGAAGGAAAAATCAAGAAAGCTCTGCAACAGGGAAACGTTGAAGGTGCCAAAATTTATGCTGAAAATTCAATTAGGAAGAAGAATGAATCACTCTCTTACTTACGGATGGCATCAAAGATAGATGCTGTAGAGTCAAGGTATTGATTTTTGGGGTATCTAATTTGTGATATATAATTTTATAAGAGTTTTGTAGTTGAAATATGTGACGACAAGATACATTATATATGTATTGTTTATCAAGAACAATGATCTTACTTTGAAAAATCATGGGACACCTCCACCTTACTTTCAGTTTTGTCCTGTAACAGTCTGCTCTTTGAACTCATAAACAAAACTGTACACTTTCAGTCAGTCTTTATTTAAGCATTTCCATGGGGAAGTTTAGTCTTTGCATCAATGATATTCTAGAAGTCCAGGGATTGTGTGACATTTTATAATGATAAGAAACATAAAGTTGCTTTATGACAGTCCGTAATTGATAAATCTTGCATTGTTTAATTCATATCTCTGGAAAGATTGAATACCATGTTCCTTCTCTTCATTATAATATTGATTTCAACACAGGTCCTTTATTCCTGTTATTTAGGATTCAGTCAGCAATGGCTATGAAGGGAGTCACCAAGAATATGGGCTCTGTGGTGAAGGCTTTGGATCAGGCCCTCAATGCCATGGACTTACAAAAGGTTTCCTCAATCATGGATAAGTTTGAAACACAATTTGAGGACTTGGACGTGAGAACATCGGTATGTATCTTTTTACAAGACACTGTGTAACAAAAGATTTCAATTCAAAATACTGTACAGGGGGTCCCCGACTTACGAACGTCTGACTTACGAACACTCGCTGATACGAATGGCGTTAAGCTTTAAATTTACAGTATTTTATTTTCCAAATGACTTCTTTTTTTACTCTCATTTACTGTACAGTATTTTGTCATTCTATTTCTTCTTTTGTCTTAGATTAAGTGATTTTAGATGTACAGTATATAAGGACTTTGGCTATGATATAGTGGGATTTTAAACATTGTTCTTTAAGTATGGGAATGGGGGTTACAGGCAACCCCCGACAATCCTTTGTAGGACGCCGAAGATGTACATCTGACCCTTATGGTGGTAGGCAGTCCAATATGTGTGTGTATGAATAATTTTAATTAAAGTGTTCAGTTTATCTTGGGTGAAAAAGACTACTGTTTTTTGGTAAAAAATGCACTTTACAAGATATATGCTTTTGGTGCTCAAAAGGAAAGGTAATCTTTATTTGGTAAAATTACCATGATGAGCTAGTGTCAGTAAAACTTAATTAGAAAAGCTTAAATCAGTACCTAATAGGTTTTATAGAACATTTTCTTTTATCCAGCATGCCATCAAGTAATCATGCCTAACCCATGTAAGCATAAAGAATGGTTGAAAAATTATGATGATGATGATTCCTTTTATTCACGAACAGGTGCTGGAAGACAGCATGGGAGCTGCCACAACACTTTCCACTCCAAAAGAGGCTGTGGATGCCCTTATCCAGCAGGTGGCAGATGAGGCCGGTCTGGAGGTTATGGATCAAGTCAATGCCCAGGATGTGCCCACAGCAACACTTAGTTCTACTGCTGGTGAACGTACAGCTGACCAGGAAGATGTGCTCACTAGACGGCTTGCAGCTCTGAGAAATTAGTACTGGAGTGTAATGAATGGTTGTGTATCATGTATATATGAAAATGATATCTACTTAAACAGACTTTCAGTTTATTGTAGAATATTGGTTACATTATATTATCTTTGCTGATTTGTTAATGAGGTTATTATCTTTGGAAGTGAAGAATTATTAATGATTTTGAAGAAAATAAGGGAACCTCATCACTGAATGGAATGATAAATCAGAGAATGTTTTTTGTGACATGCAGCTTCCTGGTGTTAAATATGTACCTTGATGTACCTTTATACAAATTAATGTATTTCTTTGTTCTGTACATCATAATTTACATAAATTGTAAATCTCTTCCCGAATATCTGCAATATCTAGATGCTGTTGGATGTTTTGGAGGAATTTTTCCATCTGTTGAAAGTTAAGTCTTGAGGACAAGAAGGATAAATAGTAAGTGGACTTGATGGTCGTCTGGAGAGAACATGTGGCACGGAAAGTGAATCAGAGTGGCTTTGATGCTAATCTGAGGTCATTAGGGAGCACTGCTAATGTTGCATGTAGAATTATTGTTTTGAAAGATGACATTTTGAAAAATACAAATTGGCAGGTGCAGTAAACTCTCGCAATTTTGGACTTAATTTTTTTTTTACACTTAGGCCATCAAGTAAAAGTACTGTACAGTGCTGTACTGAAATTTGGAAAAGTTTTAAAATATTAAATTCATACAAAACTTTGGTGGCCCATTTGTTGAATTGTCTTATGAGTAGCATGTAACCATGTACTTTACACTTCCTCTTTCAACACTTTATGTCATCTCTGCACAACCACAGTTTGTACGAGGTAGACTTATTTTAGTTTAACACTTAGTGCTCTAGTAGTAGCTTCCTTTTAGTGGGAAACACTTCTGAAAATGATAGACTGCTGTAAGTGAAGTGATTGTGTGCTCCTTCGGCCTGCCTACACAAATGCATCTATATTTACTCCATTCCCTTGTGCACACTTGTTTTCTTAACACATCCATGTGTGTTCTCTGCTCAGCCATAGTTTGTATTTATCTTTCTTTACTTTTATTTTTGTAAAACTTTTAGTGCTCTAGCAGAAAGCATCTCAGAATAGACAAAAATGATAAAGCCAGCTTTATGTAGAGTAGTTGTGTTAAATTCCTTGTAAATGCTGATACTGCACTGTACAGTATATGCTTTTGCCTTGACCTCGAGTGGCAAAAGTAAGGTTTGTATACTGCGTGCAGTATAGGTGTTACATTTGTTTTTGTTCTTTTTTGTTTTTTTTAAATGCTGTAGAAAACAGGGCATTAGATGGTTACTTGTGCAAAGGGGTGGGTGTGAGACAAGTGTTATCACTTAATTAACACCATTTTCTCTCAGGAAGTCTCTCCAGTTTCAGAAAATTAAAAATTTGGGATTGAGTTTCCCCGACTAGTCCAAAATTGCAAAGGTTTTCTATATTGTGTAAAAGCAGAGAAAATGCAAGAGTTCTTTTGGCATTTATTAATTGATAATTTTGAAGAAACTTGGTACCTGTAATTAAGGAGAACTTAAAAGTATTGGAGTGGAATGCTAGGTAATTTGGGTTGATTTTATATTAAAAAATTATATTTGGTGCAACATTTGATAATTAAGTCATATAGAGATTGTTTGAGGTCATTTATACAGTACAGTACAGGATTTTGAAAATTTTATGGTTTGCAGATGTACTGTATTTAATGATTTTGGAAGTAAATTTGGTGAATATTGACAATAAGTATTGTTATTAGGGTATGAGACATTATGAATAAGCTAGAGTGTGAATGACATTGTTTGTCTTACGTAAGATCTTTCCTTATCAGTGAATCAAATCTTACGGACATAGAGGAATTTTTGCTGATAGTGATAAAGATTATGTTGGTCGTGGGAGTGGTACTGTACCTAATTTCCACGTCTAATATGCAGGGTGAGAGGCATTAGGGTCACTACTTTTGGAAAAGAGGGAAGTGTTTGCAATATTGGGAAATTTTTTAACCACTAGGTACATGCTGGGAAATTTTATTGTTGTTTTGAGATGCTTTATGTCAGGTACAGATTCTTTAAACCTAGTCTCATAAAATCAGAGGTTGTTGAAAGACCCATTTTTTCCTTAAGTTTTCTTCCTTTGCCAAGTCAAGTTTTGCATCCACTCAACAGACCTGGTTGAATGTTTGTTTTACATCTTAAATAAGAAAATAAAGAAAACAGAATTGTTTGTAAGTACTGTAGTGTAAATTTAAAAGATATATTCAATAGATGACCCATAGAGAGCAGGTAGCATTTGGCATAAGTTACCTTGCCTCTTTAGTTTAATTTCACTAATATTAATTTCAAAAGCTATGTGAAATAATAACAATATTTCATCAAAACAAATGAATATAAAAACCGATAAACAAAGCTACTGTATATATTCATTCAGACAATAAATATAAACTCTGTACTTCTAGCAGATGTCCCCTGACTTGCTGGGATGTAAACAAACCTTTCAACTCTAGCAACTCCCAGCTTCCAAATAGACTACAGTATAGTTAATGTGTGTTTATAAGTTAGTGTGTTTACAGTGATGTTTTCCATATTTTGTTATTTAAGAAGTAAAACCAACATTAGACTAAGTGTGTGTGTGTGTGTGTAAACAAGTCTTGACAGTCTCCTCCTAGGCCCAGGGTACAATGACCTATGACCCAGGAAGCCAGCAAATCCTCAATACCAGTTTAGTCTTCGTCCCATGGGTCCTGGATATGAGGGTTTACACCTGTAGCATAATGGTAGTGAAGAGCAAATACACAAATGGAACATCTGGAAACAGGCTGATACCAACCAGGTTAGTGACTATGTAAAATTTATTATTTTTATTATTATATATATATATTTTTTACATGGAACAATGATATTACCCTGGAGGTGAAATGTGTTGTTGTTATAAACATTTTAATCAGATGCCAATATGTCTCGTGAAGTTGGTAAGTAATTTTATTTTTTTTCTTTCTTTCTCGTCAGTCTGCCTTGAGATAAGTACAGTATGTATTTCAGTTTTAAAGATTCATCAACAAGTAATCCACTGTGATGACTTACAGTACAGGATATTTTGGGTTATGTTGTAGTGTGGTAAGAGTGAAGGAAGTCTTTTTATATTTTTTTTAACATTATTGTACAACTGAACTACAGTATTCCCTTGATGGGTTACTCACCTAGGATCCTGATGTAGTTAGTTCATACAGTGAATATTATCTGTAACTGGAACCAAAACATACATTTTAATCAATACGTACATTTACATCACTTCATTGTTTTCTGACTAGCCAATCACAAACCAAGATGAGAGATAGAGGGCGGGGCTATTTGACATTTCCATAATGAACAACGGTAAAGTTACAATACAGTACAGTATTTTTGCACTTTAGCTGATGTTAAATATTCATCGTATCAGAACTTTGAGAATCAGGTTCTTGGTGATGTTTCTGTTGTCTTGAGGTCTGTGTTCAATGCATTTCTGTATTTTATCTTTGGTGTCCAAATTATTTTATACAGAAGTAGGGTTGGTCATGTATCTTTTTGGATCAAGTTTTTTATTGTAAAGTTCCAGGTCGATGTAACTGACAAAATTGATTTTAAAATTGTTCTTTTGACTAAGAAAACTTTTATTTGTAGATTAGAGAAATCTCTTTGGTGAGTGTCAGAGTTTAAAAATGGAAGTAATAATTCCAGTTCATTCTTACACTGAATAACATATAGAGAACGGGCCTATATCTTTTCAAAGTTTGTATGGAAATGTGTGGCTCTTAAGAATGAATGAATGAGAGGTGTTCCTGACCCTGACCACCCTGCCTTGTAGTGGAAGAGCTTGCAGATGCAAAAAGAATGTATGTTATCTGTAGATTTATGGTTTGAAGAGACATCCTTTACATAATAGCTTGAGGTATTGTCTTATGAATTTGAAGTGTACCCTTACAATGTGGCACTGATATTCTTAATCACGTTAGTATGCATAGTGTGAGTCTGTTAGCCTCTCCCTGCTTGTATCACTTACCATTGATGCCCTTGTGAAATTTTTTTTGCTTCAAAGATTTTCAGAGCCTTAATGTGATTCACAACAGATGTGAACACAATGTCTGCTATACTATACTGTACCATAATTTTTGCTTTATGATATTTCTGAGAATTATTTGTTTTGACGATTGTGCCTTTGATATGTGAATTTTGTATCAGTCATTTTCACTGGAAATTTTTTAATAACAGATGATAAGTATTACTCATGTACAAAGTGGGTTTACTTACATAATACTTGACTATTTGTTAAACATGATTGGTCAGATGGGTTCCATTCCTAATAGGCTCCAACCTAACCTAACCATAAGGATAGGCACCCAATTCTAATGGGGAACTTAAGGACTAGGGCCCATTTTACTGTGACCATGCAATTAGCTGGGTAGGAATATTACCAAATAGATACTGTACCCTCATGTAGATTTGCTTCCAGGTATAATTTTCATTTTTTTCTGTACTTTTCTATTGCCGAGTATCATGAAGTTTACACCAAGAAATGAATAAGATTAAGGTATTGATGCTTGGAATGTATGTGTAATGAATGAAAACCTTCATAATAGGATTGTTTTGTCCATGTATTGTCCTGGTACTTAAACAATGTGATTTCATATTCTATAGTACAGTATAATACATTATACAGAAAATAATAACATTTGACTTCATAACCATATGTATTAATTTCACTGCCTAAAGATGAAGAAAGCAAATACATAGGCATACCAAAGGGGGAGCACAACGGGGGTGGTCGATCCCCCTCGAGTTAGTAAATTATTCCACATGAACCATTTTTAACAATAAGAAGATAAATGAGAAGGAAATAAATAAAAATTCATTTTGTATTTCAACAATACATATACATTACTGTACAATACCTCAGTAGTAAGTTTCATTCAAAGTTCACCTGCCCACTACCTGGCAAATTTCTGGGTACACCACTGGATTTTGTTCACATTTCGTAAAAAGGTACTGTACTCGTTCACATGCTGATGAAGGATCTGGGTTCATAATTTAAATTTTTGAGTAATTGGTGTTAATTAATGACTCCAGTCCATGTGGGCTCAACCTAATGATATTATTGCCCAGGAAAGGAGGGCTGAGGGTAATTATATGTATGTTTATACCTAATAAGGTATTTCCAACATTAAAATCCAGACAGTATTATTTATACAGTCGTGTGTAATATGTATCGTACAATTTGGTTTTTGGACACGCAACACCGTCTTCAAAACGTCTCCCTAGATTTCATAAAATTATTTAATTGTTGTAGAAAAAAGAAATACCATTTTAACCTACTGGTATTTATTAATGTTCTCGGTACAGTAGTGTTCCACTTGTTCTTCTTTTCAATACTGTATTCTAAAACTTCCTCTCTTTCATTTTCACCTTTGTTGAACATCTTTATCATCACATCTCACTTCCATGCATAAAGACATTAAATAACAAGGATGACTTCTTTTCTTGTATTTTAAATAATGTACAAGTTGATATTTCTTGAAATCTACATACAGTACAGTACTGTACTGCATATAAATATATTCAACAGGTAAAATTTACCATGAACTGTGCAGTACATTTAGCTACATATAAAAGAGGGTACACATTCCTTAAAACTATCTTTACTTTACAGTGACCCTAAGTAGAAACCTTTTCTGATAAAACTACCAAACTTAATGAAATAACACTGACGTTGATATAATTCATCCATCTTTGTACTTTGAAGACATAATTTAGGCAATAAGGAACAACCAACATAACAAAGTAGTTTACAGAACAGAAATGGTTTGGACTTTGTGAAATGTAATAACCACTCAATAGCAAACTGCTTGGTACTATGAGGGGCCATGGGGCAAAACATTGAATACTAAATAATGTAAAAAGTTTAAACAGTAAACCCTTACATACACTCAAGCTTTAGAATGAGAATTAACATTGAGAAGAAACGTGTACAATATGGGGGAGAAATACTGTACAGTATAGTTATTATGGTTGGCTGTACAATGCTTGCAGTACCTTACTAAAGATTGTGGTTGTCAAGTGGTGTGGCAGTAATAATTTTTCCTGAGTCAACAGTCTATCTATGGTCACCTTCAAAGACCCTGTTGAAGAAGTTTATGAAGCTGTTACCTTTATTGACAACAAGAGGGCCTTCTCTCTACTTGAGAGGAAAGATTTATGCAACCAGTGTGAGACATATCATGTTTGGGCAGTTAAAGAGGGTGATATACAGATACTAAAGTGACAATGGTGAGATGGATGTGTAATGTGACATTTAGAGACAGGAAAGCCTGTTAGGAGGGTAGCTTAATATCGAGAGCATTGGTGAGGTTTTGTGCAGAAGTAGGCCGAGATTGTTTAGTTAAGTGGAGAGAATGGAGGAGACCAAATGGGTCAAGAGTGTAAATGGGGAGGGGACCTAGGGGTAGGGCAAGAATGACATGGGTCTTTAAGAGACCATACAGCTTGGAGAGCTGCCATCAGGTAATCAAGGGTAACCCAAGCAAGCATGGAAAATTGCTGGTGGGTTTTTTTTTTCTTCTTTTAATACCACAAGTGTGTGTTCTTTACTGCCTTGTGCAAGACAGCTAACCCACAAGCTCACATGGGTGATGGGTACATTGAATACTGTATTGGGTATTAACTTTTGGTAATGGAAAAGGTTGTTCACATATCAAGTATTACTTCTGGTGGGTCCAGAGCCCAAGTAAACTGTACCTATCACTCCTCAACAACTGTCCCACTCCTTATCAACTCTTTATTGTATGTCCTAAAATATATTAATCATTTGGAGTTTAAAAAAAAAAAATACTAATTGCATTAAGTGCCATAAATATCTTGAGCAGAGTCAACAACCATTAGCTATTTCTGCCGTCATCCTGTCTATACCTTTTGTTCACTTTTTTGGCCGAGTTCAATATCTTTTCAAACACTTTGGTGACAACAGTAAAAAATATAAATACTGTACAGTACATCTGTAATTACCAGAGACAATGGTAAGCTCCACGTACCGGTAACATATTGTGTAAACCAAGAATGAAACGGCATCAGGCAAACTGTGCAGTATGACATGGGCTCTTGATAAATCTTTTGTAAATACAGTTAATATTTTTCCCTACATTATATGTATTGCAAAATACAGGTACATAAAAAATAGTGGGTTACCTGTATATTTACAGCCTTCCTGTCTTGAACATAAATTAACTTTCATCCAACCTTACGGCAGATACCAAGTGTGGTACTGAAAATTAAGTTTAAATTTTCCAGATGAAAAATTTTTGTTTCCATACAATATTCAGAAGAACAACTCCTTTGTCTTCTCATGCACACAATAAATAAAGAAACATTTCTTAACAATTTTGAAACATTTGTTGCATTTTAAAAGGATCTTTTATTGGAACAATCAAAGGAGACTCAGACCTGCATTACAAACAACATGTACAGTATAGTCCTGTAATAATTAATCAATAAGAACTTGTAAATAATCATCATGTCTGCCAAAGCTACCAGGACCTGAGGTAATTAACACTGCAATAGTTTCCATACATACACATTTCAAAGGTTTGTACATTAACTGTCACTATCACCCTAACTATTAAATGGTCACCACAAAAATGTTTTACTCTGCTGGCACCACCAAATATGGCTGATAAGGAACAAGTTTCTGCTTGTCACAACAGCGCCATATCCACACAGGTTTGACAAACTGCAGGTTAGGGTTGTCATTCAGAGCCTAGAAAAAAGAAGTGAAATTTTCACTAAAGACATGAGACTACTGGTACAGTACTTACTTCAAATTAGGAGTCTACACTGTTGGTACAACCTGTTAACTTCACAGTGTTTCCTGTAGACTTTACCTCAATCACCAGCCATTAAAGTTCTTCAGGGGTGGCCAATTTAAACCATTTAAATCATTTTTTTTAATCACTGCCTTTTTTCTTGATTTTAATAAGTTTTTATGTCTTACAAATAGTTTTAATGATTTATAAGTTTTCTTACAGCAGCTACACACATCTCAAATCTTAATTATAAGGAAGCCAAGTTGCCATTTTTCAGTATACGTAACTGTCGACTGCTTTTCTTTATGGTTGGGCTCCGAGAGAAAAGGGGTTTTTAGCCATAATCTTGAGATCACCGATTTTGTTCAGTATCTCAATATATGTACTCCAGAACATGCTGATTAAGGATCTGTTGTCTGATACTTGATATCTCTATAATTACTTGCCCAAATGATATCTCAAATATTTTAATTACATTTTCTAATGCTAATTACTCACTACTTAATGTTTTTCACTTCTAAGTAATCAATACTCTATACAAAAACATTAGCCTCACTTATAAATAAAAATGGCAGAGAATATATAAAAACTGATGAATACTAACCTCATCAAAGTTCTTGTCCCATCTGTCTTCGGTAATGACAATTTGCACTTTTTCACTCATGTAATCCTCTAACTCTCTGAAATGGAATACAGTTGTATACAGTAATAGCTGGAACTCCTGAGAGAGAAAAATAAAAAAAAACAGTAAACTAAAACAATCGTGATTTAATCCTGTTGCAGGTAAATATATCACGAGGATGGGCCCGGGAATTATTGTGAAATATTGAATCATGTCACGCCGTTTTATGTTACATATGGTACGAGACGTCACCCTTGAAAATACATCCCAGAACACTACCCCCGAAAATTGCCTGTAAGAATGACAAAATGTGAAATATAATCACAGAAACTTTAAACAATGAAGAGGTACAGCATGTAATAGAAATGTTATGGAAAAAAAAGTAAAGTGTTAGCTTAGTTGTAAAAATTAATGTGTTAAGGCACTCTGAAAGTGGGAGGGGGGGGGAACGTCATTAGTAGTAAATTCCAACATCCTGTATATAACATCACTTCTGACTTTCCTATTTAATCCCCCAAAAAAAACCAATCTTTGCTCATGAATTTATTGTTTTTAAATGAAGAACAATACAATTTATGTGAAATATGTTAAAAAAAAATTAACCCTAACTAATTACATTTAAATTACAGTAATTTTGGCACAGTTGCAGCAGTGTGAATGAGATACATTGGTCGACATTCTCACCCTAGGTTTACCTGACTTCTTACCATTAACACATGCTAATTTTGCCTCCTGGATGATTCCTGCCAGCTCGTGTAATTTACTTGAGTGTACGAAATACTGAACAAAGTTGGAAGTTGTTGAACTTTTGTTAACCGAAGAAGTTTTTAAATTTTTTAAAGCAAATGAAATTACATATAGGACAGACAATGTTTTTTACAAATAGTAAAGCAATAACAATTACTGTAGAGTAGTTTCAAAATTAAGCTAAGACCAACCATTAAAATATCTGAAAACTCCTTATTTGATATTAAAACATCGATAACTAGAAAAAATAAACAAAACCATCATCATCATCATCTTACCCTTTAAAAGCAATAATATAACGTCGCAACAACTGCTTTTTCTCTTCTGCTAACTTTCCATAAATATAAAAATATTTTCCCTTAAGGAAATCTCCAAGGCTGGGTAGTGGCAAAGCTGAGGTGTCTGGGGGTTTCTGTTGGAGAGACTAGAACAGTGAGACTACCAGATAATAATACAGTACAGTACAGCAGTTTCTTATTTGTTTGCAACATCAAAATATTACATTTAATTTGGTAACCTAGAGTATATAGCAAACAGTCCAACATTACGTGACAACTGTCCATAAGGGAAATAATGAAGGGTCAAAAGGTTGAATTGCTTTACTGAAATCTTATCAATGTTCCACTTACCTGTCGAGTTTATTTCATTTACCAGGAGGGGGAAGGGGAATGTCATTCTCCTGTCATATTTATTTCTCATTGTAGAAGCATAACCTATTTGATTTGTGCTGGAAGTACTGTACTATACACTCATGTGAGGAATCAAGCAATAATGTTAGGTTCCTGTTCTGGCATAGAAGTGTTTCCCTGATTCTGAATGACTTTCAACTTCACAAATATACAAGCATCAATTCTTGTAACTTCTATAATGAACATACATACATTCATACACATAATACATACATTCATACACATAATACATACATTCATATGATACATGCATACATACATATACTGTATACTAAACATACATTACATGATACATACCAGGTACTTAATGTTTGCTTCATCTACATCCGTGTCATCATCGTACACCTCGTCATCACTGCTCACTGTAGCTCCATTTGCCACGTGTGTGTCTTTATCTGTTCTCAAACCTTCATTTGTTTTTACTGCCTGAGATGTAGTTTTGTTTTTCCTTATATTTACTTGAGGAGGCAGTTTCGTGTCTTTCTCTACTATTCTTTTTTGGGTATCTGGCCTTGTGTTATTTTCTGATGAGTCTGCCTTCTTAGAGGTTGATTCTGCTTCATTCTTCTTCTGTCTTGCAAGAACCCTATAATATTAAATTAAATAGTAAGTTTATCATGTAATATTATATGTAATTTGCATTGCAGCCGCCACAGTTGGTATACTCTAGAGATACTGTACACTGCTGCCATCTTTTATCAACAATTTATTAATTTCTGGTGGTAGACTATGTGGACTTGTCTCAGGTCGAAGAGTAACACTAAAGTTACTAAGAGATGACAGGAACACACTGTATCTATCATGACACCTCTGGACCTCAGGACTACAGGTTGAAAATGTTTAAAAAAGTTGACCATAAGTGTCCAAGGACCGTCATCATTGGGGATACAGAAAGGGCCGTACCACCAAAACATACAGGGAAAAATACTGATTGATGAGCTCATTTAAAATATTTTAAATTGCATCAACTACCAGATAAGTTTAATCAAAGTCAATCTCTGTTTATTCATATACAGTAATTAATTTCACAAGATGCACAGAGAGATGGCCAGACAGACAGACCGGTATGACCGCATCTCTCCATTGGTGCAACAGAGACAAAAGGCGTCACTCTTAAAAAATCACAAACAGTAACTCACCTTTCAATTTCATCATCTGTATCTTCATTGTCATCTGAGTCAGTATCATCATCAAGTTCTGAAATGCAAAAATAACTACAATAAATGTGGTTGCTATCTTGTACAGTCACCCAAAAAAGTCCTGTCGCGAACCATGAACCCCGAGATTCAGACTCTTGAATCCGAAGCATTTATGGACAGAATAATGTATCAGTGTCTACTGCTTCGGGTTCACGAGTCTGAATCGTGGTTCGCGACAGGACTTTTTTGGGTGACTGTACATACAGTATAGTACAGCAAGAAATAATGTCCAGTACATGAGAAAATGCTGATACGAACCTGGGGTGGCAGTAGCTCCTGGGATAGGTGAAGGAGCGGCTGGTTTTACAACTGGTTTGGATTCTTTAGGCAAAAGTTCTTCCGCCCAGACTTCCTCTTCACTCTCAGCCTGATCACGCCCCTTTTCCAGAGAGTACCTGATGGTACAACATACTGTACAGTATAATATTATGGCACTAGTGCATGTGTTTAATATTATTTGAAGTACAATTTTCTTGAATATATACAGTACTGTAGTTAAAGGTGTAGCAAGTCCTCGATTTATATAAGGGCATGATCCTAGAAATTGCAATGTAAATAGGACTGACGTTAATAGGGAATATTTTCCCAGAGATTTAGTGATATAATTGGGGGTGCATTTCAGGGCCAAATTTTTGGACAACTTAAACTTCACTTAATTAAATATTTGATAAAAGTTTAACAAATTAGTTCAGAAGTCAAAAGAAATACCTAAACAGACAATTAAATGAACACTACATAGGCACTCCTCAAAATAAAATTGAAACTGCATCTTTGTACCACAGTAAGTGTAACAGTACTTGGAGTAAGTTTTCCACTCATAGTTAAGGGGCTTTTTAAAGTATAGCACAAAAATACTCTCAGTGAATATTATTCAATGTTATCTCACTGAGGTAGAGTCAGTGGCTGGGGTTCACAGGTTTGAATGCTCAGCTGTTGGTAACGGTGCTACATGACATTGTTTCTGGTACAGTGTGTGGTATGAATTTTCTTAATTTCATTGTGGCATAAAATATAAAAATATTCCCCAACATAAATCAGCGACTTGCTGTATTTCCTCGGTACTGACAATATCATACGAAGTATTGTACAGTAGAGTATATCTTTCTTGGAGAGTACAATATATTTTCACTTGAACTATCATTAACAGTACGTAAAGTCTTCATGAAAGCTACAATTCTTTACAGTATTTTAGCTCAGTTTACATGAAGCATAAAACAGGAGGGTACCTTTTACAGGGGTATCTAATCTTATTCTTGTGGCAGTCGGTGATCCACTTGGCCGAGACAATTTTACCACGGCCCTTCACTTGTTGGTACTTTGGAGTGTTAGTGAAGGCACAACTGCAAATTTAAAAAAAATATAGAATACTGCTTAAAGTAACTTAAATTAATTTTGCATTAATTTGAAAGTACTGTACCATAATTACAGAATGTGAAAATAGTACAATATAGTACATGTACTGTATCGGTAAGTAATAAAATATTGGGCACAGGAATTCGGGACAGTGTGTATCTAATTGCTTAAAACCACGTGTTAATAATGTTGTTTTTCTAAAAATCTAAACAACATCTAATATGACACTTTTCATATTCAAAGACAGACAATCCATTAGGAATCTTGTAAGTGACACCTCCAATGTTTAATGTTTAACTTCCTCCCTTCTACCCAGGCTATCAAAAAGAGAAGAAAAGAAGCATTTAACGCTAAGCCATTTCATAAGGTCAGGTACTGGAATAACACTACACACTATCTTTAGAACCAACTACATTAAGTCATTTTCTTATTTACATATATCCTCCCATGAGACATTATTACACAACAAATTTAAGATTTTTTTTAAGCATATCTATGACTCCGGCCCATAAACACTCGGTGATTATCTCTATACAGTATGCTAACTCAGAATGTATGGCAGGTCTAAACATGCTCTACACATAATCCACCCAGGACAAAAAGTAACATACCATACACACACTACAATATACAGTATTGTAATCTCCTTAAATCATTTACATTATTTGAGAGTTGGAGATATTTTCAGGCACAGACAAAATGAGAGCACACTGTGATAAATATTACAAGTGAAATGTAAGCATAAACTCACATCAGGTGGGTGCATTTTTTGTCCCAGTCACCCTGGTACCTGGCTCCCATGTCTAACATCATGTCCCTCAGTTGTGACCGCTGTGGATTCTGATAACCGCTCATCACGAACAAAATGTCGTCCATCAGTGAAGTGAAAGGCTTGGACTTCTTAGCTTTCTGTGGCACTGGTCCTGATGCTGTTGGTTTGGGTGTAGTGGCAGTTTGGGTTTTTTCTACACTGCTGTTCTTACTCTTATGTTTCTCTCCTTTTCTCTCTTTCTCACCACTCTCTGAAGGTCTGTGTTTCACTTCATGTTTCTCAATTTTACGTCCATTTACTCCAACCTTATCTCTTTCTCTATCATAACTCTGGTCATTCCTGTGAGGGGTGGAGGCAGAGGGAGGTCGTGCAGGTTTGGACACAGGTGAAGTCTTTGTTGGATCTGGGTCTGTAGATAATGATAAAGAAAATATTTCAAAGAAATCAAATAAAAAACATTAATTCCAATAAATCATTTATCCTCCACCCCATCCACTCAACACCACCTCACACACACACTTAAACTACATGTATTTGTTTATTATTTCTACTTGTTTTCTTAAGACTTAACTGTCATTTTCTACACTTGTCTAGTATCAGTCATTCTCAATACTTCCATCACATCTTTGGTTTTTCTCTTGATTCATCACACATAAAAGTGGAAGATAATTGAAGAAAATATACACCAGTAAATAAATAAGCCAATTGTTTACCCGAAACTTTTGTTTTCTTCAACTGGTAGAATCCTGACTCAGGTGGTGGGTCCTGACTTTTTCTCTTATTGGCTCCTGGTGACGAGACAGAGGCTAGAGCAGCTGCTGATGCAGCTCGGATGCCTGCTGCACCTGTAACATGTATAACATATTTCTCTACCTCCTTTATTTATCTAGCAACAACCTGAGTCATGATGGACCACAAAATGTCAACATCTGATACATATTTGTATACGTCAAACACATCCGCCTGTGTGTGGTATACAAAAATGTCCAGTACTGTACATCTCTGTCTGGTATGGTACTTCACCCATTAAATAGTCTCCATGTACTGTACTGTACATATTTTGGTGACCCATCACTGCCAGCCCTCAAAGCTCTAACACAACATTTTAAATCTTTGCTGAAGAACTCACTATGTACAAAAGGTGCAACTATCAACAGCTTAATTTTTTAGACTAGCAAGTCCTTTCCCACAATGGTGCTGTGCAGCAAGAACTTTTTTTTATAATTTTCACCACTTATCAGCTTATTAGCCAGTGTTAGTACAGGAGGTAATTGGAGTCTCAAAAACCTGTGATGTTTGGTAGTGAGGGTCACACTGGATAACACCTTTCTCACGTGTGTCTGGGCCAAGCAGGACTCGAACCCTTGACATATTGGTGAGAGATACACACGTTACTGCATCCCCTAGATATACTTAACCAAATGTGTTCTGGTCCAAGCATAAGTGATATAATTTGACTCAGCCTAGTGGATTATGTGTCCACAGTTGGTCAGGGAAAGGGATTTATTTTAAGGGCCCATAAATTTCAAAATTGTCCAAAGTAAACACCACCTGTGTTTTGCTAATATTTAACATTCTCAAAAAATATGAAAAATCTGTTACCTAAAACTAAAGTTATTGTAATGAATGGAAACCAAAATGTTAATATACAACAAACTTACAATACAGTATTGTACTATAAAGTATGTAGACAGCATTTCCACAAGCATACAGTATATAAATATGGGTCACATCAACAAATAGGACACTAGTAAATGATAGACAAGTAAAACAGTTCTCACCAGTCCTCCGGAAACTAACCAGATATGGCTGGAGAAGATTCCTTTTCTTTTCTTCGGGCAAATAAATCGCCAGTTTTTATATTGTCGTCCTCCTCCTCGTCCTTCAGCGTGAAACTTCCAAGTCTGGTCATTTTAGGTGGGGACGGTTTGGGGTCCTGAGAAATAATATAAGCAATTAGTAATGGTAACTGGTATACACTATATACAGTACATATATATTATTGATTTATATTAATATCATAAAACTATAACTTTTAATAAATTAATATAGATATTGGGTACGAGGTGTCTCTCTGTGCCGAATAAAATCGTCTGCCATTAGCCAAATAAAAAAAGGTGTCCATTAGTTAAAGGCCCAATGATCTCCCTTTCAAAACACTTTTAAACATCAGATGTACCAATTACACGAATAAAATAGTTTCATGAAAAAAAATAAATTTGAAAATTTTTCTGAACAAAAAACTAGGGTGAGGATAAAAATAGTGTATCATTGTTTCAGGTTCCCAGAAGCTTTACTATCAGGAGAATGGGCATCTTACTATAGATACTGTGCCACCTAAACTTATTTATTTTACATCTAATACAACTTAATAGCTTAACAGAAAAATAAACAAAAAACATCAAGGTACAAAAAGATCTCAGCAAGAAAGATACTGTGTAATGTGTGTACTGTACAGCAGCTACTTACATCTCCAGGGGCTCGAACAGTGATGAAGGACAGGCCATACTGCATATTCTTGTTGAATGGTTGTGTGCAAATAATTTTTAGGCGATCCCACTTCTGTGTTGCCACATTTTTGTTCAGCTTATCAGGACCAAACATGCGGACACGGTGCATGTCGCTGCAATTTCTTGACTCAATAGGAGTCATAAAGGATGAAGCAACAAGCAGTACCTAAAAAGTATATAAAAAATACCAAATTATATTGTCTATATTGTACCTCTATCTAACAGACCCTTAATATATCACCATTTGATACTTCACTTTCAATACAACTGTATTTCACAACACCTTAAATTACTCACATTGTGAAATAAAGGACTCTGACCACGCAATAATGAAAAATGGAAGTGTTTACTGTATACAGTATTTTGAATAATGAATAAATATTTTGTTATGCCCCAGCATAATTTCCTTTGAAAGCAACAGTATCTGTTTCAGAACATGGAAAGAAATTTAACTGATAATTTCTAAACTGGGTAAATTACCAAACATGACCTTATATAAAAAAGTTTATTCAAGCATATCTGGGAAACAGCTGCTGAAGCTCATAACTATACTATCCCCGGTTACAGTCCAGGTAGAGGCTAAAAATCCTGCATGTTCTACCAACCTGAAAAGCTGCAGCTCCTTCTCTGCCTGCCAACACCTCCACAAATGCTGATCCTTCATTGCCGATGTCGATGGACTGGATAGAACTCAACTTTTCCAGCTTCAGTGTGACTGAAGATTGTTTCTCTGCTGTCCCAGGAGCACACTTCCACTTACGAAATGTGTCAGCACGTATGAGGTTTTCTGCTGGATGATTCTGAAAATTGAAGACAATCATTTGGGTTTTAATAGTACATAACTATTTAATGAAGTGCAATACTGCACTGCCCTATTAAAGGAAATTTAATAGTGACTCTTTGAAGCAAGTGCAATACTCTAATGCAACTAGCAATATCATTTATATAAAAATTTCCTCAAATCACTGGATAATGTGCAATACTCTCTTTCATTAATACTGTACCTTAAGTTACTATATGGAATTATATGCACAGTATGTCATAGTGCACATGCCTCTCACAACAGTGTCCTGGGTTAAGTGAGAAGAGTGAAATGACCAAACAAACATGGCAAGTTTTCTCAGGATACTCCAGTTTCCTCCTGTACTAACAGTGGACAAATAAGGTCAAAACAGAGAAAGAACAGACCAACTGCCTGAATAGCTAGTACATGTACTGTAGGCTGATATGTGGTACAAATGCTGAATTAAATTAAATTCATGCAAAGTTTATGAGTGCTGGTGGATGTTGCTGTACCAAAATTAGACACAATTCATCCAATACTTCATTATCGTTATCTACTGGTAATACGTAAGAACAAGGGTCCGGGTTATCCTGCCAGCTAACAAAATATCTCTGCAGAAAAAATTAATTTTTACCTCAAGACTAAAGGAAAATAAGTGGAGGTTTTCCTGTAAAGACACTGCCACCTGCCTACTTCACAACGATATCATGTTTGTGCATCTCTATTAACAAGAGATTCACAGCGATCAACCAACCCAGAGCCCGATCTTCCTTCCTTTCAAACCAAACCTAAAATACAGTAACAATATAATACTGTACTGTCATAATAATAATACACCCGTACTGTGTTTCCACCATTGGATCGGTAGGTTTTGTTGGTTCATCTTGGCTAAGATAAATCTTGACACTGTACAGTGTATAGTGTACTGTACAGGTAGTCATAACAACATCTGGAAATATTACGGAAAGGATGATAATGCTGCTGCTAGGAAGCCACTGCAAATCATTATTATTAAATGTCATTTTCAGGGACAATATCATTATTCTTACCATAAAAAAGATTAATTTATCATCATTGTCTTTACAAAAATTTTCTAAAGCTATTGATGCTGCTCCTGGTGTTTCTTAGTTAACATGAAACTGAATAGCATTATTATGGTCTATGGAACGTTCAGACTCCTCCTGACGTAAGTAAATAAAGAAGGGTCCTCATGCAGGTGTAGGGCAGTGTCTTTTATTTATGAGAAACACTTGGGACAAAACCTGAATAAAAAGTGTGTTATTCCTCTAATTGCTTTATTCTTTAAGTAAGAAAATAAGTTTTCTAAAACAAATATTTTTCTTGAAGTAGTTGGTTAACCAGACTCTTGTTCTTAAGTATTGAGGGACTGTATGTACCTTTTCTATGGTATTGATCTGTACCAGTATTGCTCCCTAACTACCAACTATAGACCTTATCGAAACAGAAAATAAATGTGTTTTTTTTTAAATCATGAGAAGGCCAGAGTGAGGAATATTCTAAAAGAAAACCTACCTAACCAACCAGACAAATATCCACAGAGTATCTCTTATCGTCTATGGTGATATGTTCCATAGTAGATAGTTAATTAAGGAACAGTGATTTGGTCTAAACCTGTATTTAATTATAATTTCACCATCTTATCAGCTTACTAGCCGCACAATCTGTTATTCTGCCGACCAGTGTTAGTACAGGAAGAAACCTTAGTACTTAGAGGGTCACACTGGATAACACCCTTCTCACACCTGTCCTGGGGGCCGTCAATTGACCCCAGGACACAATAGTGAGATATACGCGTTATCCAGGACCAACAGCAACATGTCCTGACTATGCATTATACTCTACTGACCGGATCTTCACTGGAGAACGTCAGCACCTCGGTAAACACAATAGGAGGCATAATGATGTCTGGAGAAGTTTTAATAGAGTGTCATTTAACGTGAACAGTATCAGTCGTTCACTTCCTCTACACATGAAGAGCCTCAGTCAGTCAGTCACTGTTGTGTTGCCCTCAGATCCGGATTAGAAGTGTTGGTCCAGGTGTTGTAAAATCAGGATTCGTAGGTGTTATTATGACGCCATGTGAGCCAATTTGGAAGGGTTTAGCAAACGATTGACCTGTAATTATTTAACCATTCAGTGGTATTTTAATGTCACCAGGTACAAATATGACGGGATTTATAGTTCGGTGAAGAAACTATCAGACGGCCGCCAAAGTCAGACATTAAAATACCTCAAAGTATTGAACAATCAATAATTTAATTATTTACTGGACTAAATTATTCTTTAACTTTAGTCATTCTATCCATACAGACAACAATATACTGTAAGTGGGCGTTAGTCAATCACCGATGACACAAAAATTAGTATCTCCTAACTTATTAGAGTTTGGCATCAGGAGTTATCACGCAGTCTCTCTTGTCTTGTAACAACACTCCTTGATCACCATGACTGCACTCTTGACAAACTTCGAGTAAATATGAACAAGAAACAAAATGGTGAACCAATCTGCTGTACTGAGGGTAATGTGTGGACAAGTAGCAGAATGGTGGATCTAAAACACCGGCACTTAGAACCAGTAAGCAGGCAAGGATTTTGTAGAGGTGTGTACAGTATATTATTTTCTAATTACTAATGATAAGCTTTTGTAGTGTAAATGCTTCGTCTTTGAGTTATGGCAACCTTCTCCTGCAATATTAATACCTCAGAGGTCGGGACAGGGCTGACGTCTCAAACTGTCGGCTAGCCATTAGCTTTACTAATTCTCGCCATGTTTATAACTTTGCTGATTTTGACTACTGACATCTTATAATTATTATGATTCATAAATGCTATGTACAGGGAAATGTTGTTTGACAAGAGCTGATGGGACAGTCGGATCCATCTTGTGTGATAAGCTTGGACCGTGTCGATGGTAGCGAGGTAGTGTTAAGTACGGAGACGTGAATTGGAATTATTTCTTTATCAGGGACAAATATCTACTCCCAATACTTGTCAACAGTGCTTAACAGTGACACAACCGAGAGCCCAAGCGACTAAGAGGCCGATCAGTGGCGGAGAGGATAGTGTAAAGTATCCTGTCTTATCACCATTGTATGACCACTATAAATAGGTTACTTCTGATCATTCACCTCAATATTCCCCTGATGTTAACACGTCTCTACCAGTTCTCGTTAAACCTACCAGCTGCTGCAGGCGATTTTTTTACTCTATTTTTTTTTGCGATTTATAGTTTTGTATCTACCTCCTTTTTATTTCAACATTTTTATTGGGATGTGTTATACATAATTTTTTTTAGTATATCGAGTGAAAACAATTTAAAATATAACGTGTACCCATAAAAGATTATGTTTTCTTTGATATGCTTATAATAGAAAATGAGTATAGTCTGCTAAGTATGGGGATACTTAAATATTTATCATTTCACCACTTCTTAGTAGTACTGTAAGTGCTAGGTCTAGGTTAGTTCGAGTGACTTAGTAAAAGATGATGGATAAATTTCATAAGAGGGAACAAGTATAGATTAATCTATTATTATGAAGAACACCCAACAGTTTTTTTAAGGAAATAAACCTATGTTGTTGTATTAATTTTTTGAAGAATAATAGAATACTATATAAAGCATTGCAAGTACGCCACTAGAAAATGATATCTGAACATTTTGGAAACTTGCCTTATTTGTCTCATTGATAATCCATCCACCACTGCTTACGAACCTTTCATGTGTGTGTGTGTGTGTGTGTGTGTGTGTGTGTGTGAAAAGAGAGTCAGGTGTCATGGAGAGAGTAGACAAGCCCTCCTCCTTCCCCTCCCCCCACACGATCAGCTTGCATGAGTATGTGAGCATTTCTCTCACATGACACGAGTGTGAGGTCAGAAGAAAGGTCACGAGGTCAAGTATCACGCGCCAGCTGGGCAGAGGTCAGGTGGTGGGGAGAGGGGAAAACCTGAAACCACACACACACACGCACACAGTCATGGTGACGCGTCAGTTCTGTGGGAAGGGGTATTGAGTCATTCACGACCGCAGTCACCGTGACACACGTAATGCCTGTGTGTGGTTTTGGGGTATACACACACACACACACACCGCCGACAGTAGACCTGCCTCCAGTTTTTGAGGGGACACAACTTTAAGAACAGTGTTTGTTTTTTTAATTTCTTACTCGATTTTCATAATTTCTAAGACAAGAATATTTAACAATAAACAAGTCCTCTTTACCGTCTAGATAACTTAAGACTAAAGCGCTCAAGGTGACAGAACCAACGCAGTGAAAATCAAATGTCTTCAGTTAATGCAGTCATCGTCACACAACCCCGTCTAGTATGGCAGACCTGTACTGTTTTGACTCTCCATCACAAGAGTAACTAACGGCGTGGTGTGCTTTATAGGTTTCACATCATTTCCTCCTTTTAACTTAAGTAATATTTAATTCCTTCTCAAGTTTTACCCTTCTCATATATCCTGTTTTGGTTTTAGTTAACTTACCTTGAATCGCCGCCGCCTCTTGGACCACCTGCATGCCGTATATTTATCACTGTTCGCTTCACTCACCCTACATCGACCGCCTAACCTAATCTAACATACCCAATCTATTATATTTTCCTCAACTCTTCCAACAACTCGAAAGAAAAGTAGTGAAGTTTCCTACATATACTGTGAGCTGCCGCTGTGTCGTTTGTTCATCAGTATTCCAGCTGCTAATGTTTTTTTATGTATATAGATGCTTATCATTCATTAATTCGTCTTTGTTTTTACCTTGTTTAAGCTAGTCTCTCTCTCTCTCTCTCTCTCTCTCTCTCTCTCTCTCTCTCTCTCTCTCTCTCTCTCTCTCTCTCTCTCTCTCTCTCTCTCCTAGCTCTTCTCACTAGGTGCGGCCATCACCTCATCTCTCTCGCCCACCGCCATCTTGCCTCCCTCTCTGCATCCCACTCTGCAACATCTTCTCCTGACATACTGAAAGACCATCCTTGGGGCTCTTGAAGTCTTTACCCAGTTCCTCATTACTACAGTCATCTACATCTGTTGGTTCATTCACTCTTACGTTTCCTTATGGTTTCTAAGAAGAGCCGCGTCACCCCCAGTTCGTATCTCACTCCCGCGTCATCTGAATTTCTCAACTCTTCCCCCCTCCCCACAAGTTCTTCAGGTCATAGTTCTTTAGGTCATAGTTCGTCAGGTCGCGTCTAAATGATTATATCTTGGGTTTTAGTTCTTGTTCGTGTTATTCTCTACGTTTCTCTCTTTCTAGATAAACCATGAAGTAAGTGTGTGTGTGTGTGTGTTTGTGTGTGTGTGTGTGTGTGTGTGTGTGTGTGTGTGTGTGTGGCTGTGGTGGTTTTGGTATAGTGGTCGGGTCATTGTGGTGGTGGTGGCTGGTAGTGGTGGCTGACCTGTGGTGGTAGTGGTCGGGTCGTGGTAGTAGTCGGGTCGTGATGGAAGTGGCCGGGCCGTGATGGTGATGGCCAGGTACAGGATGAGTGGCACCGCGGGGATTGACTGGTTACCAACACTTAATTCATCATAACAAGACTAACTGACCTGTCTGTCTCAGTAAGCGACCTGTTGCACGTGTCTCACCAACTGATGCCTCTCTCACGACTGGGAGTGTTGATCAAGTAGTGAGGCTTTTTATATCTCTTCTCTCTCTTTTTCTCTCCCTTGGTCTGCCTTTCGCTCTTTCTCTCCCTCTTACTCCTCGCACCAGTCCTCCACTTCTCTCACCTAACCTAACTGTGTATCGCCTTGTTCCCGTCAACATGCCAACGTCTGAAAGAATGTCGTCTGATGGCTTAATCTCTGTGTTCCCAAATACTTGACAATTTATCCCCTGCGTTTACCGAATCGAAATTGTCAGTAGGATGGCTTCGTGTTACAGGGTGTATGTGGTCCGTGGTACAGGGTGTGTGTGGTCCGTGGTACAGGGTGTGTGTGGTCCGTGGCACAGGGTGTGTGTGGTCCGTGGTACAGGGTGTGTGTGGTCCGTGTGGTACAGGGTGTGTGGTCCGTGGTACAGCGTGTGTGTGGTCCGTGGTACAGGGTGTGTGTGGTCGTGGTACAGGGTGTGTGTGGTGTGGCAGTGTGTGTGGTCCGTGGTACAGGGTGTGTGTGGTCCGTGGTACAGGGTGTGTGTGGTCCGTGGTACAGGGTGTGTGTGGTCCGTGGTACAGGGTGTGTGTGGTCCGTGGTACAGGGTGTGTGTGGTCCGTGGTACAGTGTGTGATCCTTGGTATAACGTGTGTGATTCGTGGACCGTGGTACAGTGTGTGCGGTCCATAGACCTGAGTGCAGAGTCTGTTGTCCATGGTCCATAATGCAGGATCTGTGGCTCACGGTCCGCAGTGCAGGGCCTGTGGTCCATGGTCCGTGGTGGTGGAGGTCCGGGTTGGGTGGTAGTGGTGCTCCATTATCCAATCAAACGGCGTGAGGCAGCCGTCACGCCAGGCCGCCCGCCCCGGCGCTCACTAAAGGTACGGCGGTATTGTTACTTGGCCAATATTCCCCCCTTCCCGCCCGCCAGCCAGCCCCTCTCTCCTTGTTCCCACTCATAACTCTCGAACCCTCTCACTTATTGTCTTCAAACTTGTAAGGTAGATACTTTAACGTCGTCTCTACTAGTAGATAAATTTTAGTTGAATTCGGTCGTTGTTTTAAGGTAATAGTGACGCAAAATTTTGAAACTATTTTTTGTATACGTTCTAGCAACTTAAGTTACTGTTAGTGTTGATGTAATCCTTAGTCTCTACCTCAGTGTAAAAATTATTATTATTATTATTATTATTATTATTATTATTATTATTATTATTATTATTATTATTATTATTATTGTTGCTCTTGTCCCCTTTTCATCTTGTTTTTATTCTTGTTCTTTTTGTTATTGTTTTTTCTCATTGTCGTTATTATTAGAGAGAGAGAGAGAGAGAGAGAGAGAGAGAGTGAGAGAGAGAATGTTTATGTATATTTGTACTGTACATAGTGTGTGTGTGTGTGTGTGTGTGTGTGTGTGTGTGTGTGTGTGTGTGTGTGTGTGTGTGTGTGTGTGTGTGTGACCAGCTACGGGAGGCTTTGTGGTGTACCATCCATCTACACCAAAGTACACAGATACTGGTGCGATGCTGGGTGTAGTGAGGGAGTGACACCAGCTACACACCTGTACACACACTCACACCTGTACACACACACACTCACATACATACACTGCCTATTTCGTCGTGTTGTTATTATTATTTTTTCTTTTTACAATTATATTTAATCCTGAGGAGTTGAAGAATGCGGTCAAGGATGTTGTTGTTGTTGTTGTTGTCGTCGTCTGTCCACACTACACTACACCACTCACATCGCCCTCTGCCCCCCGCCCTCTGCCCTGTCTCTCTTCCTCGTCACCCTCCTTCACCCCTCCTACAGGCAGTCTGACACAGTGTCGGGGTTGTTGAGCTGGGGTTGGGGGACTCCTCAGGTTGCAACATACTCACTCGTGGCGGGGAGGTGAAGGGGGGAGAGAAGGAGGGGAGGGGTGTGGGAATGGCGCTGGCTAGTTCAGAGGGTGTCAGGGATAAGGTGGGGTGGTAGAAGGAGGGAAAATGAGGGAGAGAGGTGTGAGGGAAGGGAATGGGGGAACGAGATGCTGGACACTACACACACACACACACACACACAAATCAGCCCATAAGAGCCCGCACTGATAGATATAAGAACAGCACCATCCCATCTATTGTTAAAATAATAAACAGCTCCTGATTTATGTACTATACAGCCTTGTAAATGTATTGAATGTATATTATTATGTCCAAATCACATGTAAGCTTGTATATTTTCAGCCACCGGCTGCAACTCTATTAATAAACCGTTTATTATTATTATTTTTTTTACACACACACACACACACACACACACACACACACACAGACAAGGTTTATTACTAAGAGAGATAACACCAGTACAGTAGCCAATGTCAACCTAACCTAACCTAAACTAACCTAATACCAAGTTTGGCTCTGTTGGGTCCCGCTCACAGCAGTAATTCTCTCACTCTCCCGCCATCTATTGACCACCAAGACGTGATAATATGCCACTCATCCCCCCCAGTGTTTGTTGATTGAAGGAATTATATTTGTTAGTCTCTGACATTTGCCACAGTTGAGGTCGTTGAGTGTTTGTCATGACAGGTCTGAGATGAACAACCTGACATATTTTTAGTTAGGTTGGACAAATACATTTCCTCATTAATGGTTACGTGTCCTATGTATTTTGTCTATGTTATCACGAAGTCAGTAATATTGTCAAATTTAAACTCTGGATTGTTCGTAAAAGTTTAATTAATCATTCACGCAAAATATCAGAAAAATGTAAATGGAATCCAACTTAACACAGTAACGCTGTCATTCAAGAAGGAGCAACAGAGGGGGCGGTGTGTGTGTGTGTGTGTGTGTGACCTTGGTCGGGATGTCTGATACTACGCCCTGTATGTTTAAGCCTGGAGACACTGACCTCCTGAAGAAGTGAGACAACAACTTGAGGGTCACCACGCTGCCACAATGGTGATGTTAAGGGGCAGGGCGGAGCGGGGCGGGGGGCGTCTGTAGTCAGTAATCAATCTATCAATCCGTCAAGATACCATCGTCATGTCTTAGGGTTGGCGACCATGACCCACCACTCCTAAAATATCTTCTGGCTGTGTTATTGTCAAGCGTCCCAGCCAGGCACTGTTGGTCTAGCCTTTAACATCCATCACCAGTCTTGGGTTTGAAAAATAAGTTATATTATGCGTTTAATTATGACTTGAAGCTTCGTTCTTGATACCCAGCCGTTAAGGAAATGAGTCACGTGTTATTGTTGTTTCTTGAGAATAACAGGATCTAGACTGTTTTAAATATGTCAAGCTAATATCCATATGTGATTGTTGTTTTTTTTATCATATTTCCATCATATGTTGTGAAGAAAAAACAACATAGTGGCTGTCACATTGGATGCTTCATGTTGTTGGCATATGAGGGACGAATGAAACAATCACTTTTATGTTTTATGAAATTATTACATTTATTTCTATTTATTATTTACATCTTTACCTTAAGTGGGTGAGGCTTCATCATGACACAGTGCTGTTATTGTTTTCACGGTGCAGCGTCAACTGATCTCTCTCTCTCTCTCTCTCTCTCTCTCTCTTGCTTAGTTTATTTCATGACTGACACTTGAGGTAGATCCCAACACAGGTACAGTACATGGCCAGGTGGCTCCCCTCCTTTTCCTCCAGCACCCCTCCTCCCCCTCCTACCTCTACCAGCACCCTCCACCCCCAGCACCCCTCCTACCCCAGCACCCTCCTCCCCTCCAGCACCCCTCCTCCCCTCCAGCACCCCTCCCTACCCCTAGCACCCCTCCTACCCCTACCAGCACCCCTTCTCCCTCACTAGCACCCCCCCACCACCCCACATAGCATCAGGGGTGTCTCAAAGGGGCCAAGGAAATTGAAGCACTAATGTGGGTGTAATTTATTATATCTGGTCAACACAGAGGATGATGTGCTGCCCTCCTCCACACACACGGTCAGTCATTATAATGAACAATACTGTCGTCCTCACATCACACACCACTGCGGCCCCTTACACAGCACTGCGCCACAACACACAACACTGCGGTCCCTCACACAGCACTGTGACACATCACACAGCACTGCGACACATCACTCAGAACTGTGACACATCACACAGCACTGTGATACATCACACAGCATTGCGATGCATCACACAGCTCTGCGACACATCACACAGCACTGCGACACATCACACAGCACTGCGACACATCACACAGCACTGCGACACATCACACAGCACTGCGACACATCACACAGCACTGCGACACATCACACAGCACTGCGACACATCACACAGCACTGCGACACATCACACAACATACTGAGGCTTAATAGTTAAAAATCACTATTGCGTTATGTCCTAATGTTAAAACATGACTACAACTATACTGGCCAATATTACTCAAGAATAACTACATATTTACAGCACAGAAGAGGCTCTGAGGGTAAGACTGGATCCTGCACAGCCCTGACACACAACCTACAGCGCCGTGTGGTGCTGTGAGGACCCTCTTGACCTACACTACACTTAATATATGCAGGCAGGAAGACACTCTCTGGTATACAACACTAACTTAATCATATTTATACTATACTGTATATATCTACAAGAGGAGCCTTGTGCGGCCGACACGCTACAGGCCCCGGCGGCTGCCCTACTTTTCAACATAAAACTCATAACCTAAATATAAATATATCAATACTTTGCTTAAAGCTAAACTACATCTAATAAAAAATTAACTGCGGTAATCAAAGAGCATCGTGTATCCTTAAGTTAGTGGAAGACAAACAGGGAAGACCTTGTTTGACCTCCGCCCTGGAAGGAATACCGTGCCCCTGGCCCTAGCCGACAGTGTGGAATGGAAGACATTTATTGTTGCTTCAACCCAGAGATTCATACACCACTAGACAACTACACAATACTGGCGACTTAAGAGTTACACGCTCAAGGCGTCTTTGTACAGTACATCGCTGGCTGGAGCGCTAGTAAGTCTACCTGTAAACTATATTATACCATGACAACACTACAGGTTCCTGGCCCACCCAGCAGAAAGGTCTTGTCTCTGACCAGAATTTAGAATAATTACATCAAGTTTAAAATATCAAGATCAAGGGACAGATTAGTTAGTGTGAAGAATTAATTATCAAAGTTTTTGGCTAATTGTAAAATCCCTGATGTTCTTATACTACATTTTATAACAATCTGGACAACTAGTTTTACTGTTTACTAACACTTATGAGAGATAATTGATTACCAAAAATGTGATAGCCAAGGGGAGATTCTGTCTCCATCTGCTGCTGCTGAGAGGCCCTCACTGCTTGCTGCTGCTGCTGAGGTTAGGTGAGGCGCTCCACACGAGTCCACCAAGATAACATTTTGAGATATTGGGGTTCAAAGTTTTTGGTGATCTCTAAAACTTTGTATACAAGACGGATTTTTGGATTGATAGGGGCTAGCTCGCCACATGTCAGTCTAGTGTTACAGAGTGTGGACTGAGCATCTGAAGACATAGAAAACGATTTTTTCGATCCGATCCATGGCAGCCTCGCCCTTGTCATGCCTCATATATTACTTTGTGTTGGAATTTGTTATGATACTTATAAATGACAAGTTTTGTTTTTGTTGCTAATAAACGCCACAGAGAAGAACAAACCCTTACTAGCCGAAGTCATTATTCCTCAGTCAACGGAGGTCTGTAAGTTTCTTTGTACGAGTAAACACAGTCCAGGTGGGTGGCGGTGTGGGGGCGGCAGAGAGGCATCTCCCCGCCCCTCCCGTGGTGACCAGCAACCATCTGCTGGCTCCTCTTCACGGCCGTGTTGTGCATCAAGTGACAGTTATAAGTGGGTCAGGATGACACGTACACATGTGTACTGTTGTACATGTGTCTCACACTGGTCAGTCCCCACACCTGCGGTTCACCCTTCTTATGTCAGCAAACCCACTGGTGTGGGGGGTGGGGATTTATGGTGTGGGGTGGGTATCTATGGTGTGGGGGAGGGGGTCAGTGATGTTGGGGGCAGGGTCAGCGATCCGGGGGGGTCCTCAGATCATGGATGATGTGGCAGGGTGGGGAAGGAGGGGCAGGGG